TCTCCAAAATCATACCTCCCATTATCTACACGGAAAAAATATACCTGAATTATTCAATTGGGGGATGGGTATTTCGATTCGAAAATGATTCTTTTGTATCAGGTAATCTAATATTGCGACCCTCATTTTTTAACCTCCACTTTTTGGCCCTTATATTCTCACACTCAGTGTCTGACCCTTATGTTACACTTGAGAGCGCTTGGTCCAACCCGGGCTGATACGAGTAATCATCCTCGAATTGAGACACCCATCCCCCATTCGAGTATAAAATATACTTGAATCAAGTTTTTTCTTTTTCGTGTACCTGAATTCCCACTAATTCACTCCCCTCCCCCAGATTTTTCGAACACGAAAACAGGACAAATCCCCACGTAAGACCCCCGTGTCTCTCTCAACCGCACCCCTTCCAACCGACATTTTGACACCATCCCCTTTCTCTCCTCGAACGTGGTCTTCTCCCGCCCCCTCCCCCGGCCGTAAATCGTGGCCAAATGAACGAGCGATGTTACGCTAACCTCCACCCCCGGCCCTTCTCACCTCTCCCATTTTCTCTCTTCACCCCCCTCTTTTTTAAAAATGCTCCCCGTAGAGAAATAAATTGGCGCTCGCGTGTTTACATGCCGGCAAAATTAAAATTCCTCGAGTGAAGGCAAAAGTAGTCGACATGAACGAGTAGAAGCGGCCTGAAGGAGTGTTTAATTAATGACCGGGACTAATTAAAAGCAGGCCGAAGAAAAATATGTTGAACCCTTTCTTGTTCAGCTTTGTCGACGCTTAGGGATTTAATTGACACTATTTTCGACTATTATGATTCAAGTTAAGATGTTCTTGTTTGACAACTCGAAACAGGTGGACGATTCCATTTTTTATAAATCAGTTCACAGCAAAAACGAATGCATAAATTTCACACATCTTATAAATAATAAATAAAATGAAAATTTGTTTGAATTTCAAACATGAATTGAGATGTTTGGGCGCCGGTTCGTCTGAAATTCAGACACGGTGATAAGCTACGATGCTATCCTCACATTTTTCAACTTGATCAAGAGGGCATTGAAATAAACTTTTAAAAAAAGGCACCAACACTCCACTTGGGCTTTTTGGGCAATATTTAATTACCCTAACGCAAAAAATACAAAAATTACCTCGCAGTTTTTAAAAATTACGTAGTTTTTAAAAATCCTTAAATTAAAAAATAAACTATTAAGGGTAGAGCCTCTTTAAAAAATTGTGCTCCCTTTTCCAGTAAAAGAAAACATTTCTTTCCAATGCATCGCATCCACATTGAATACACCTCATCAAATCCCTTGAAATTGATTCGATGAATGGACAATCGATCCAAATCATCAGCTCTGATGCACCCATAATCCCGAGCACAGGGCAGCCAGATTCAATTACTCACGGGGGAAAGGGAATATGAAACAATGAAATGAAAGCGCAGTCGCTTTTAGAAAGCAGATAGAGGCGAAGGGTTGACCAACGACGGGTCGCCATGGATTTTGTATGTGAAAACGTCCAACCGGGGTGCTTTCATCGGACCCTCTCGACATGTCGTATGTAGCACACATCCCGTCTGTATCCTTTGAAGGTACACGACGAACCGTTAAATTCAGTCTCGAATGGAGCATTGACGATTTCTCTTGGAAACCGTAATGAAGCAACCATTGTGCATCGGTAATTAGACTGGTGGAAGTTTTTTTCCAAATGCAGGGACACTATCGGATATTCATTAACACATGAAACATGAACTCTATTTTGCTTGATACAGTGAGAGACGGAATTATTTTTTTTTATTTTTTTTATGCTTATTTTATATCGCTTCGAGTCTGATGAGACTATATGGCGATTGATCAAGACTTTAAAAATGGTTAGATCTCACCATTCTACCCGGCCAGGAATCGAACCTGGAACCTATCCGTTGTGAGGCAACGGCCTTAACCACTACGCCAGGCCACCGGGCTCGGACGGAATTATCTAATATAAAAAAAAAAAAAAAAATATTTTGTTTTAACAAATTCGATGGCTTCATTATAGGTTTTAGGAAATCCTTACGTTTTGAGGAAAGTATTTTTTTTTTAATAACATAATATGAGCCACAAACATGTTTCAAATATTTTTTTCCAAATGCAGGGGCACTATCGAATATTCATTAACACATGAAACATGAACTCTATTTTGCTTGATACAGTGAGAGACGGAATTATCTAATATAAATAAATATTTTGTTTTAACAAATTCAATGGCTTTATAGTAGGTTTCAAGAAATCCTTACGTTTTGACGAAAGTATTTTTTTTAATAACATAATATGAGCCACAAACATGTTTCAAAATTTTCTGGAGATTTTCCTTCGCATGAATTCCTTTATTTATTCAATGCAAAAGTCTTTGATTCGTGTTTACACTTTCGGGAAAATTTTATTCGGTCTCTCTTGAACTTTTTTTAGTTTTCACCCTATTCTACTGAAAAATTTCGCACTTTATCTGCGTGTTTTTCTTTTTATAGAAATGGTGAATGGGAAATATTACACGGGGCGAAATGTTGGATAAAAATTACCTAGAAAATCGTGGCAAATTGGTCCCCGGATTTTTTTCCCTGTGAAAAGTCCCCCGGAAAATTTTTCCATTGAAAAATAATATTATATTGCCAAAAATGTGTTGCTTATATTTAAAAAAGTACTAGACTACCTAATCTATCTAAATTACTTAATAATAAATATATTTAAATTATTTGTTATTTGTTTTTTATCTTGTTGTTCTTTTTGTCATTATTTAATTACGTTATAGTTGTTTTTGGTTGCATTTGCTCATTATATTATTTGTTATTATTTTTATTCATCAGAAAGTCTAACCAATTCCTTCAGACAATTTTTCAATAAAAAAAGTTATATGAAAGACGAAATCTACAAATTTTTTCTGCAAAAGGATTCTATTGAAAAAAAAATTCTTCAATAAAATCAGCCAAAAAAATTGTAGAAAATTTCTTATTGAATTCGCTGGGGTTTGCCATTATATTGTTCTCAAAAAATTGAACATGTATTTAAAAAACAATACATTTGTGGCATCAATTCGCTTTTTTCTCAGTGTAATCCACAGAAAATGTGCAATCATTTCCATGAATGGTTGTATTTTGCACAGCAAATTCAATATCAAAACTAAAAATAAATTGGAGAAAACGATCCCCACTTTGAATTGAATCTCCCATTAAGCGGCGAGCGGACTGCATAATCAATTGGTTCCACGGAATTGATTATTTCCTATTTATGGCACACAATCATTTTTGCTTTAATATACATGTTTGGCCGCATCCCAGAAAACTCAATTAATTTAAAAAAGAAAATGAAGATTGAATGCAGCATCCATTTTAATAGAAAACGTCATTGATGGATTTTGACCAATCGATTCATTACTCCGACATGAACTCTATTCAGTGGAGAAAGCTTAATCACGAATCTACAGTTACATATTCGAAATGCAATTGGGCAGCTGCATGATTTTTCTTATTGAATAAAATCATGAAATGGCAAAGTTGCATGAAAAATATCCGACGTGTATTCTTTCATTTTTTTAAATAGCGAACAATTGAGAAGTTACGACAGCTCCATTCTACCTATAAAAGAAAATTTCGTGAAGTTGTTTCACATCGACATTATTTTTAATTGCGTCAAAAATCCGCATTATTAAATGAACTCTTCCATTAGTTTCAATGAATGCAAATGTAACAATGAGATCTGAATCTAGCCAAAATGGACAAAAAATGTAAAAAAAAACAGACCTCTTGTGTACCAGCCACACCCACTCCTCCATCATCAAAACCCAAAACAAAAATGTTAAATTCTGATTTAAACCGAAAACAGTACCTGTACAGCAATTTTGACAGGCCATCCCCTCCACATTTGATGAACGAGCCTGTGTCACGGTACTAAAACCAATTTATTATGCAATTTACCGTGGAGACAATGTAAGCTCGTAAAACAAAGTCCCCGAGTTATACGTCCGTTCATCGATAGCACACGGAAGATAATCCTGGCTACGAGAGAGCCACACGAATTTTGTTCGTTTGTTACCATTCGATTTATTTTCAGGATAACAATAAACCAAAAACTGAAACGGACGAAAAAAAAACAACCATAGAAAAATATATATATCAACAACTACGGCCAGAAATACGTTTTCCGCGTCAGGAAACTGTTTGGGATATACATGATGAAGGCAGTTGTAAATATTCCGTTTGGTTTGGGATATGGTTGGGCAAGTTGCTAATTTAGATTGCTTCTATTGATAAAACTCGGTTTATAAGAGTGATACATTTGTCACTCGTACATTCCCTTGGTGCATGCGTGTAAATGTCACCAGTGCACCCATGTTTATCCCGCAAATGATGATGTATTACCCTCCACAATGTGCAATTGTTTGCAGTTCCCGCAGAATTCAGTTATGCGATGGTTTTGGGGGAATTTTTGTTGGGCATTATTCCCGGGTTACGTTGACAATTTCGGAGATCATTGTTGTGAAAAAATGATGAGAAAAAAATCGGATTCCGGATGAGTTCGTCCCAAACAACTCATTCATAACGGCACTCGTCCCGAAAGTGTTATTTTTCATCGCAATAACAACTAAAATTCCAGAAAAGGAAAAATGCACAGTAACAGCATCTCATAAAGCCGTTCATCTATAATTCTTTTTCTAAAAAATGGCACATCATCGTTTTATCAATGATTTCCGAATGTAGACGACTTAAGAAGGCATATAAAATAAAAGTATGTTAGTTTCTATTTCATATTATGTCAATCTTTGGTAAAACATCTCAAACGTGTGATAGGGACCGGGGGTGTGCCTGTTTTAAGTTACTTATTACCAACGGAATTGGTCGCAATAAAAAAAAGAAAAGGCTAATAACGCAGAAAGTAACTGTCAAATGTCTTGTCGAACAGACTCAGTCCCTTCTTTGTTCATTTCATCCCCCATTCCTGAAAAAAAAAATGACAATAATCTAGCAAAAATTCATCGACACATTCTCCACATCTCTTTATTCTCCACCAAAATCACATCATCATCAACCACATCTCCCCTACGTTTTAAGAAAAGCACTACGAATCCAGTCCCGAAAATGGCTGAAGTACGTGAATCCAGTATACGACTGATAATCACAACTGTGATCCTTGACCGGGCTGACACTCACTATTCCCCGCAAGTACCAAAGGCCATTGCTCTCGAAGCACAAACCTCCGCCACTGTCGCCCTCGCACAGACTCGATCCTAAAAACCGCCAGCATTGTGGAAAAATAATTATCGCAAAAACAGGATGCACATGACGATAAAATATTGGACAGAGTTAATGATCTACCGTTTCTGTAGCCAGCACAAAACTTGTCCGGTGTTATATAGCCCCGGAAATCCTTTGGTACGTCAGCCACACACTGATCAAATGACACGAACGGTACATTTATTCCTTGAAGCTCCTCACTGGGCTCACCATCCAGTGTTTTTCCCCAGCCGACTGCCTGATATTAATTCATTTCACTTGATTTAACAATTTTTGGAGATAGGGGGTACTGGGAATATAGATGAGCTAATCTCACGGCGCTTTTTCGCACCTCTAGGATGTGAGAATCGACTTATGAGACTAAATGTGATCATTCGAGATATTTTAACTCGATGTGACTTTATGACCTGATACGACGTGATTTGAACCTTTTGAAAAGGGACTAGTGTGACGGCGCGCTCACGCATGCGACGTGACAATAGACTGATGATATAAGTGTAACATCACTCGAGATATTTCGATTCGAAAGAACTGTTATGATATGTGTGCACCATTACAGAAAGGATTAGTTCTTTGAAAGATCATTATGGACTCAACATCTGGAGATGCCGTTAAAGACGAGAATATTGCGTGCAACAGGAAAACTGTGAGAAGAGAAAATCATGAGAGTTAAGTTCTTGAGCGTTATTATACAGATGTTCATTGTAGTTCTGTAGAGCAATGATTGTCTTTTATTGGTTATAATGATCTTCGTAAACAAACCATTAATTTCTTGGCTTTAATCCTCTCTTCAATAGTTTAACCAACTGATAATTAATAAAGTACTTGAAGAAGAACGCTCAGTGCGTTCGAAATGTCGTGCACCTCCTCAACTACATCAAGTAGTTTTTTTATCTTGTTTATTCCTGCGGAAGAGATAATCATTCTCTAATAATGAGACTTGACGTGAACGAGAGAGAAATTACTTTCATCTTGACGTATTTCTAGTGACACCATTCAGGAAATTCCAAAATTTATTCGAAGATGAATCGCGCACCAACTTTCGACATATTCCGAGCCGAAAGAATTCCCTGACGTGAACGTATCTCTCCCGAAAGGACTAGCATGACGGCGCGCCTCCATGACGTGAGAATAGACTAATGAGCAACTGAGTCATGTGTTTTGCGATTCAATGCACTTCGATATCGATATGGACACGAATGTTGCAACAACTTACGAGATATTTTAACGCGATCTGTCGTCATGATGCACATGCTTCTTTCAATAAATCATCAGCGGGAAAAGTACCTTTCCATATCTGCCAACTTGTAGATGCTCACGTTCGAGGACGTTGTCCCAGTCCAAGCAAACTGGGTGGACAAGATCAGTCAAGTCGAATGGAGTTTGAACCTCCAAAAGGGCAATGTCCTGGGCGAAGTTGCCTCGAGCACCTATGTACCTCTGTGCGATATTGATAGTCTTGATTCGGGTCTTTTGAGAGTAGTCCTCTTCTCTGCTCCAACTTCTATAGTGTTTGCCAGCTGCCGCGTAGTATTTGGAGGCCGACTTCGGCTCGTTTATACTCTCGTCGTAAAAACAGTGTGCCGCTGGGACATACAATTTTAAGATTATGAGGGCTAGTCGACTGATGTCGGCAACTGGAAATTTTCAATTGAATCGACAAGCTGGGACAGTTTTGACGTATTGAAAGTGTCTACTAATGCTCGCTCCAAGCAGCCAAGTGGATATTATAACGTTTTAAATCCTCTGAATGTTCAATTAAATCTCAATCAAAACTCTCAATTAAATTTCAATTAAATGACATGCGAAAAATCTAAAAAATTCAGATATTTAAGGATGTGTAAGCTATCAAGTGGACAACTCAGTTGAAAACATTCAACTGACGATTAAAATATTCAAACTTCCCCACAACAAAGGAACATAGACCAGCAGAAGTTGCAATTTAAAAAAAAATCATCTTTTGTTCATTTATGAATTTGCATCCTACCTGAAACAACCAGATTGCTGTTTATCAGTGTACCAGCGCAGATTTGCTCGTAAACATGCCTCGACTTCTTCTCGTATATGCCAACGTGCCAGGGGAACACTCCGACCTTGGCGGTAAAACCATTTACGACTAGGGTACTTCCGTGTGCTATCGTCGTACCGCATTCTGATAAAGAAAAATATTTAGATTAGGGAATTTTTTGGTTGAAAATTTTCATCTATAATTTGCATAAGATGAAACTCCCAGATTATTTTAATTCCACGTAAATTAATGGGCTTTACTCGATCATATCTGTTTTCTGAGTATTCATGACATTTTTTATGTTGCATCTTGGAAAAAAAGTCGAAGGATTTTCTTAATGTGCATTTATTTGTAAAAATTTAGCCAATAGTGAAAAATTTTAGGAATAATATGCGAATCCATGGAATTCAACTGTATTGTATTTTCTATATTATGTAAAATCATCATCGACAAGGCAAGACGAGACAAGACAAGACGAGAGTATGCTTCAGCAATAAGAATAATTACGTGACACAACATAAAAGTGCGGTGAAATACCCAGGGACAAAAATTTATAAATTTTCCCCCTTGAGTTCCAGAAATTTTATGCGTCGAAACGCAATTTTTGGCACTCGATAAAAATTCACAGGGAGAACAATGATTTCGGTGATGCAAGTAGCAGTGCATCACACTAGGGAACGTGCATGAATTTTTGCAATTGTTAAATTGTTTTGTTCATCTTCTCCAGCGACGTTATTTCAGACCCCATCAATATTATCAGAGTATACATAACTCCATTCCTACAAAGTGGTCCCTTTTTATGCGGACATCCACAAATCATTGTCTTAATGAATCCAATTCGGATTTAAAGTATTGTTCCCAATTCCATCTTGACCGAGTTCAGTCATGAGATTGATTGCGTCAATGAATAATGCAATATTCAGGGAAAGGTAAAAAAATTAACGTTGGGGCAAGGTTGACTACTAATGTTGGGGTAATGTTGGATGCCAACGTTGGGGCAATATTGAATTCAATGAATCATTGAATTTTGTAATCCCATAAAATCGGTTCTAGGAAAGATGTTCCCCGGAAAATTGTTCCCGGAAAATCGTTCCCGGAAAATCGTTCCCCGAAAAATCGTTCCCCTGGAAATTCGTTCCCCAAAAAAATGTACCCTAAAAAATGGACCCGGACAGAATGGTTGTTCCATTGGTCCATTGTCATGGACTGTTGTTACAACAGTTTTTGGAGTAGGGTGGGGGGTATTTGCGTTCCACATTTTTCAGGTAGGCTAATGGAAATAATGGATGGAATGGATTTTGGATAGGTGGGAATTCCTACTCAATATATTAGTCTACAAATAATTCGAGAAAAAATTCAGATATTTTCAGACCAGGAATCGAACCCGGGACCTTCCGATTACCAGTCGGGTGCTCTTCCCAGCTGAGCTATCCAAATATATACTGATTTCCATTCAAATTATTTGTCCATATTGAGCCACACCGTCCTTCATACGGCAACCATATTTACAACAGTTTTTCAAGGTAAACACTCATCACCTAAATGAATAAATATAGATGAACACGAAAGATTACGAATAAAGGGAGATTTTGTTGGCCATCCTAACAAAATAGGGAACAAATTTCCGGGGAACAATTTTCCAGGGGAACAATTTTCCAGGGAACAATTTTCCGGGAACGATTTTCCGGGAACGATTTTCCGGGGAACATCTATCCGGGTACCATAAAATCGATATAATTTTGAGTCAATGGTGTCACCCAATAATATCGTGAGTACCCCCTCGTCATCGATCATAATTACTTGGAAGACACCTAAACAATTGTCGATCCCAGACTCCATCCTCCAAACACCTGATCTCCCTGTACGCTGGATCCTCCGTCAACGGAATCTTGTAAGAGTGTTTGCAAGCAAGAGTTGCGCGTGTACCAGGTGCAACGGGCACATCGCATGCCACTTCACTGTCCCGTAACTTGCATGTGATATCGACACTGATGCTCTCCAATGGTGGACAAGTTCCTGTGACACAAAGTCAAAGACAGCCGTCACCTTTGGGCTCTGGTTTCGGAGGGGGGAAGGGGGGGGGGACTTTATAGCGCCCGTATTTATGGCTTGTTCGGTACTCACTCAGGCACGAGGGTGGCATATACCACGAGTCGTTCAAACATACTGACACTGCACTGCCATTTCGCACAAAGCCATTGTCACATGTGTACGTTAATACACTCGTGTTGGGTACAAAATCACCGGGCTCTTTATCACAGGGCGCATCACAACCGCCGAGATCGTAATGACCGGCTCGGGGCTGACGAGGGAGGCGACAGCCGCTCTCTGATACATCTTCTGGTCTTGATGTTGTTCTGGAAGAAATTTTTAGTAGAAAATCCCCTTCATGAAATGCCCCATCAGCTTACGCTGTTGGAAAAAAATTGAAATTTGACGGATAGGTGACTTCGCGGAAGGAATCTAAGATCACGTAGGGATCATGTACATAAATAATTGTATCAATTACAAACAAACTTATTAAATACCTTATTAAATACCTTGTTAATAAGGTATTTATTAAGTTTCTTTGTAATTTATACAATTATTTTTTGCAATTTAGTTGAAATAGTATTACAATAGAATTGTTTGATCTTGTTTTGGTTGTACAGAATAAATTATTGCCCTGATGAAGGACACCTTGTGTGTCCGAAACGTTGGCAGAAATGGAAATCTTTTGTAATCTTCTGTTTTTTATCAATTCGAGTGATTAATAAAATCATTCTAATTTTCATGGATTTATTCCTAAAATTTCAAATTTTTAATGACGAAATGCCTTGAAATTTCAGTCCAACTGAGACATCATAAAAAATCCCAAGAATTGCACCGAAAATTTCAGCCAAAAATTGTTCACTGCGTACACTGAGGGCCAAAGATCTATAATATTAACAAAAAATTGAAATCACATGGACAGTTCAATAAAAGGGGGAGGGCACCTCATAAAATTTCAAATCGCCCTAAAAATTCGATAGAATTTCAAGTTTGTGACCCGAAAAAATTGTCCAACTTATTTAAATTGTCAATGAAACCATGGATATCCGCAGTTATGGAAACCTACCTTCGATAAGGTCTAGTTGTACTCGTCTCGTGATACCCCCGGGTCGTCGTTCTCTCCGTCGCATACCTCTGTCTCCCCCCAGAACCGCTCGCAAAGCCCCCACCGCCCCCCGATGGCTTCCTCCCATCACCCCCTTGTAAATTTGTTATCGATTTTCTGTTATTTTCATCCCTTCCTCCGTCATCCGCATCCTCCCTGTACCCTCTCGAAATCTCAGGTCTCCGCACATCCTGATTCCCCCCGAATCCATTTCCACTCCCAGGTCTCCTCCCATTACTCCCTTGTAAGGGCTCTCTCCCCGGTCCATCATCATTTCCATCGAAACTGTCATCGATCCCGCTACTGTATCCATTTTCACTCTGAGATGCTGCATTCGCATTCAGCGAATGGTAACCTGAGTTTTCTCCAGACACTTGGGGTCTGCGTCCACCGCCTACATTTACATTTCCATTAAAACTATCAACTCCAGATGATATTCCCTCGTCGTTACCCGGGTAACCGCTTTGACCCAGTCGTCTTACCGCTTGGCTGTTGCTATCGTAGTGATTCTGTCGGCCAGACGACTGAGAGAGTACTCCACCTCCGTAAATGTCTTGATTAGGTTTTGGACTCCTTATTGAATCCCCTAAATTTGGGGTTAAATTACTCGTCCCGCGATTATTACTATTACGATCATGACGGAAGTCTTCAGGGGACTGACGCCCCGAGGATGAGCTAAAATGTTGACGATTAATATCAGAACGTCTATTCTGATCATTCACTTCATCATAATGATGGCCATTCTGGTCTCCACCCGGATCCAGTTGGTGGCCTTGAAATGAGTTCAGGGAGAGTCCGCGAGAGGCATCGGATTTTGAATGGCGGTGATTCTGGCGCACAGGCCGGGTATTCCCCGGGAATCCGTTCCCATTCGAAGTATCAGGAAATTCTGAGGGACTGCTCGATGGATACCGGCTGCTACCACTGTCCTCGGTGGATGCTGAGGGGACATCCAATATTCCAATGTTCAAAGAGATACTGGGATTCCTTGTATTCTTGAGATTCCCGCTGCTCCTCACGTTCGCTCCATTACAGACTGCGGAAAAAAATGAGGGGGAAGGGGACGCAGGTATTATTTGCTATCAGTCGAGGAATTGGGGTTCCGATTGCGGTTGTTTATAAAAGTATCTAAAGATGACAAATGTCTCTAAAGATTATGTGTGTTTTCAATTGAAAAGCAGAGATGTCAGACTACATGTGAATGTTTTTTTGGGCTCAAATGAAAGAGCGAGTCTCAAATGGCGTGCAAATATCGCCACTGTTATGTTTCTAAATGTAATATAATATTTATAATTATATTATATTTAGAATTATTTCGAATAATATCAATAATTATAATATGATATAATTATTTGTTTTACCAAACAGTTATTTATCATTTGAAGTGACTACTTAAATTATTCACAAAAATAACTATATATTATTATTTTTTTTTTTTCTGAGGTTTTAAGGATATCCAAGTATCTTTTACAGTTTGGTACCGACGATACTATAGATTCAACTATTTTCAATCCTCAAATTTATCAATTAAATTGCGGGAGAAAAATTGGAACACAAAATCATGATTATTCAGCGTCATTTAAATTACATTTTGCAGAGAATTATTGTTTGTGAATAAATAATGGAAATTGTTTAAATTTTCGGAAAATTCATTTTTTATGCGTGACATCGATTTCTGGTAAAATTCTGAGAATTAATCAATTTGTTACGATTTCGAACAAATGACTTGTAGGGTTGAAAATTTATTGTTTACAAGAAAAAAACGTATATTCATAAAAAATGCTGTTAACTAAAGGTTTTAGTTACTCAGGACTATCATTAACGCGATGCATCAATCATCATAATTTTTTAATCTCATTTTCGTTTGACTAGTCTTTACGTATGTTATTCAAGTTCCATTCAGTATAATTCTTGAAGACTAGTTTTACTCATTTGTTGCTTTTATTCACATTACAAGTTTAAGTTCAGCGTAATTATGCTCGATGCCTATATTTTATTTCACGTTTCAAATGAAAGTGTTTTTTTATTTTAGACAATTTTCGATCTCACAAAATCTTCAAGGAATCGAACAATTTTTCACTTTTTCGTGATGATTTTCGATAAACGACGACAAAAATTCATTAATGATAGTATTCAATATTTAGATAATCTCACTGCACTCTACAGAGTCGCCTCGGGGCAACAAACCAACCGAGACGAAGATGCTACACGAGTTCAAGGCCAACCAGGCGCTCTTTTATTTTCATTAAAACACGTTTACATACTGGTATTATCGAATGTTCGCACTGAAGATTGGAATTTATCATCTGAATATTAAAAGCCTTCTACTGATTAAAAAAAATTGACACGACTTTCTCACGAATTGAGAAAAAAAAATCACTTGTTATTTGCTATTGCGGAATACGTGGGGAATTCCCGCGACGCGATGACTCCGCGCATACGCATTCACGAATGGCAATGCCAAATTTTCCATTCATTTTACGGATAAAAATTTACTCACTAAAAATACACAGCATGAACAGAACCAATTCCACAGTCTTCGACGTCCCAACAATTCTCATTTTCCTATGAGAAACTTATTTATTTCATGGAACACCAGTGAATGCGGCCGTTGATCACGACAGTCGAAATATAAAGCTCGTCAATTAGAGAACTATCCCGGGGGACTCGAGAATTCGATGAAAGACAGAGTGATGCAAACTTGAATTCAACATAACCGCCCTGGGAGCTAACATTTACATGTTGGGGTTCAACCGCAGAAACTCCAAACTGTGTACAGAAACTAACTCGATGCCCGTTGCACTACGTATCATCGCTGAAGATGGCACGGAAAATGAGGAGATGAAATAAATGTTACTGACGCTGTGGCGCTTCGCGATCACGCGAGTTCTGCTACTGTTCATGAGAACAACATTAATTGATCATGAATGATGCATCGGATGCTCAGCTAGTGCGTTAACTGAATACACTTTCGGGAGTGAGTGGAATATTTCGACTTTTGAGAGTGGGGAATACCTGAATGGAGATGAAATTTATTGTTATCATTATTGGGAATCAATTGTGGGTACGCGAGAAAATATTTCAGAGGAAGACTTGGTGAATTCGATGGGACATTCTATTGGGTTTCTAAATGCCATTAGATTTTGGCTGATTTTGTTGAAAAATTCTGACACTTTATTTTTTATTTTTTTTTTATCGTTATTTTACATCGCTTCGACCCGGTTAGGGTCGGAACCTTTCACATGTAGCTGACACTTTATTGTGCGTTTTTTTAAATAAAAAATGTGCAATTGAAACTATTTCACGAGAAAAATCAGCAGAATTTTGTTTCTATACAAATTTTCTATTCAGACATTTTCTTTTCTTTTCTATTTATTTTTTGTGAAAGTGACTAAATTCCAATTTCATTCCAAGTAAATCCTCTATTAAGATCGTATTCAGAAGACATTTATTCATATTAAAACACTATTCAAGGTCAATATATATGCGATTGAAATGCAATTAAACCCATTTGATTTTAATAAATCCATTAAGTAAATTTTTAAACCACATTTATCTAGACGATGATATCCTTAAAAATGCAAAAAACAATAATTGTAAACAATTATATGAATATATGTAATTTATTGCTATAACAGGGTACAACCCTCGCACAGGGAATGAATGGAAATTATAAAAAATTTACTAAAAATTTTATAAATTAACTCATAAAAGTACCCATGAAACTTGATAAAATTTTTTAATGAAATTATAAGCATTTTACATTTGTTTATTTATCTTTAAAACATTTCTCTAGACGTTGATACCCTTTAAAAATCAAGAACACGTGGGCCCTCACACCACCAGGATACTCCCTAAACCTAGCGGATTTCTTTTCATTAATAAAGTCGAAAAAAACTCAACTCAATACTTTATGCAGAAAAACAAAAAATTGTGGACTCTTGCAATAAAAAACTTCAAGAACCATAATTAATCCATTAATTCCTCGACGAAGAACTTCATGAATTTTCCTCCTCAGCAGATGCTCAAATGTTTCTTACGCTTGAATGAGATACCAATGAAACCCATATCAATAAATACGAAAATCTTGCTTAATGAATTACAAAAGCATCTCCACCACAATTCCGCAATGAACAATCTCCTGCAGAATCACGGAGCAAAATTCATCTGCAAAGTTCCGGATGGCCTACGAGAATTATGCACAGACATTTCTCGCGAGGTACGTTCATTTCTCCATTCATCATGTTTTCTTCATGAATAAATACCGCAAAAACCTCCCCAGGTTCTGCGCGCTCAACCATTCCACATATATAACTTCATCGCGGAATACGTTGAGGGTTTGCGATTAACCCGGGAGAATGCAAAAATAGCTGTGAAATTTGTTGACAGCATTATGGCGGATAGCGAGGGCATTGTTAATCTTCTCAATCGTTGTGGACTAGATTTGAAGGAAATTGCTGCTATCGCACCGAAGCTCCAGGCAATCTACACGGAGAGGATTTTTTAGAAAAATTCTAGTGCTAATACGGGAAAAGAGGCGCAAAGTGACGGTCAGGAAAAAATTCCAGTGCCGACACTAGAAATTTTATCAGAAATACCAAGAAATTTTACCGTAACAGCACTAGACTCTTTCACAGCCGATGGATTGTGATTTTTTCTACTACTCGTACTAGAATTTTTCTAGAAAATTTCTCTCCGTGTACCATCTTCTCGCACTGATAGAAAGGATTAATTATTCTTAACGAATGGATCTGGTTAGAGACGAGGGTCTACTCGGTCTCACCAAATATTCATTCGTTAATATTTAACAAATGCACATTTGAGGAGCCTTGTTTGACGATTTTCACTTTTCAAGTGAACCATTTGTTAACTATTAACAAATGAATATTCATTTTAAAAAAATCATATTCAACTCTACCGTTCGTTAATAGTTAACGAATCTCATTTGGAATAAATTAATCAGTCTACCAGTGCACTCTGTAATTATTTATTATGATTTTTTGGTTATTCACAGGGAGCTTTTCGGGATTATGTCGACGCTACAGATTGCACCTGTTCAATCACTTCGGATGTGTGTGTCGAGGAAGATTGTAATGAAGAGAACGAATTGACTATAACGAAAATTGTGGAGAATGCCGGGGTGACATTGGAGGTCGCGGAGAGGGCGGCCGTGACAATTCAGGTCGCGTGCTGTCATTAATGAACTTTCCATTGACTTTTCGCAGATTCTGTTAAAAAATTCCAGAGCTTCTCAGCACGTTTTTTTAAAAATAGAAACAATTTAAAACGTACTACTTTATGTTAAGATTTTAAATGTCTTGAAAGTAGATTTTCAAGTCTTAATTTGAAGCCTGAACGTTTTAAGGGTATCCAAGTATCTAGGAAATTCATCCAGAGAAAGAGACGTTGTTGTGCACAGAGAAAATAGTTGAACCAAAATTATCTACAAAATCGTGGCAAATTTTGCGGTACGAAGGGTAATTCTGGCGTGAAATGTAATTCAATAGATAAATACCGGGTTGCGAAGGATATTTTACGATTCGTTCGGTAAAAAAAAATCTTTATGGATGTAAAAACTATCCTCCTGTAGCGTTCGGTAAAAAATTATTCTGTTACAGAAAAATTTCGCGCAATGTTGAGCAATAATGTATATTTATTGGGATAATTTTTAAAGGAAATCAAGGTAAATTTTACAGTTTCAACACAAATTACCTTTACGTTCAGTAAATTTTCCGGTGCCAACAGAGAAAAATCGAATTCGCTCCACGATTACTGAACTTGTTCAATAATTTTTTTTCTAACTTTCTTCTCCGTGTAGAAAAATAGACTCTCGATCACTGGCGCTCGGCGGCCTGCCTTCATCCGTCGCACGGTCAGCGCAGCGCCGCTGGGTTAAACCGGACGCGCTGTTGCCACGTTGGCGCTTACCGCTACGCGCGTCTTCCGTGTGTGGCAGTGAATGTATCAACACTGGCGCTCGAGCGGTCGACAGGAACTCACTCGCACCGCGCGGCGCCGCTTTTCTGTCCGTTCGACGTTTTTTTTTTAGCTAAACAAATTTCCCGGACAAAAACGGACAACGCCAACGCTTAATAAAAGGATTGAACTAGGAACTTCAATTTTTCATAATTTCTAAGCGTCGAGAAATAGGCTAAAACATTAAAAAACGAAAACGAGCGGCACCGCGCTCATTGAGCGAGTGATCGAGAGTTAATAGAATTATTTAGTAATTAACTTCACGCGACTCATTGACCAATCAGAATTGAGGATTAGCAATGAGGCACAAAACAATTTCCTGAAACTTCTATCTTTTAAAGATTGTATCAGTTCTCAAAAAATAATAGTTGCCTTCATCACCCACAGAGAGCCTTTCTTCAACATTATAAAAGAATCACTCAATGTGAATTCACCAGTGAAGCGTCATGGAAGACAGCAGTAATGAATACCATTGAGATTTTGCGAAAATTCAGTCTATCAGAACGAGCGGCTGTGAAAACCGCCCGATCAATAGAGGTAAAACCCCTCGATTTCCACCTGAAATAGTTAATGAGAGATTAGCCTAAGAATGCATTCTCATTTGTCCGCAGTCGAAGTACCACGAGTACTACACAAGAAGAGATGAAATGAAGTCGTACGATGGTATGAAAAGAGGCGATCGGCGGCAAAAGAATTCTCTTTAAAGAGATTTATCGATGTGAAATTGAGGTTTTTCCTCCCCCCAATTTTGATTTGCGAGGGTATTAAAGTCATACTTTTCATTTTCATTTGATTCAGCGGCAAAAAATGAGGGGGATGGCAAGAAGAATGGATTTCCACGGACCAATGAAAGTATTCAAGCTGTCGCTGGGTTGAATATGATGTACGACTCCGGGATTACTCGGGAGCAGGCCAATCGAGCTGCAACAATTATTCAAGTAGCGAATGATATACTTGAATTTAAAGCACTGTGGAACATCAGTTTTCTGGTTATGCATGAGAGCAACATGAATGAACAAATTTCGTAGCAAAACCTAGCTATTTATCCCAGAATTATGCATTTATTCAGTAATTAAGTGATTTAATTTACACATTTATTAATTAGGACATTAACTTTTTTTTTTTCTATCAATTCACCTATTTATTAATTATTCATTTTCTATGACATTTTCTATTGGAATTTCTCGACATGAATTTTCCATGTTTATTCCCACTGTATTTTTCTTTTCTTTTCATCAGAAATATCAACCAAAAAAACGTGGAAAACTTGAGCCGAGAAAATTCTATAGAAAATATTTTAATAGAATAAGTTGTATAGAAAAGTTTAATTCTATTGATATTTTCTATAGAACGTTTCTTATTGAACATTTTCATGGAAAAAACGGACAGATAAGCTGCGGAATTTTTCAGTAGAATCAGCCAAAACCTAATAGAAATTCAATAGAATTTCCTAGCCACCTCCTTAGGTTTTGCTGTGAAAATTTTCTACAACAACATTTTCGTTATTCATAAAAAAGTATTGAGCGATAACAAAAATATTACGATAAAATATTCGCAATTATCCAGCTGTTTCAATCGTTTAAAAGCGCATTTTCCGTGAGTATCGATCACGCAAGAATTCCAGCCTACATCCCTCCACCTCAACGGGTAGTATGGCTGCCAGAGAAATTCTCGACAACTTGCATCAGAGAATCTTCGACAAAGTTATATCGGGCGAGGCAATTCCCGGGGAGTTTGGCACGATCCAGGAAATCGCTAAGGCAACTGAAAAACTTTCAAACGCCTACGAAGAACGCCTCGATGGCTCCAAATTGTCCCTCGATAATGCAAGTAAGTGCAATACAACTTTTTTATTGGATAGAAATATAAAACACTCTCCTCTGAATAAAACGGTGGAGTAATTAATGTTGATTAATTGCTTTCAGAGAGTAGTGAGGAGGAAACGGTGGAAGAGGATTTCAAAGCGGATAACGAGCATTTGCATGACTGAAGATTTGAAGATCCAATTTACAATGCTGAATTCTGCGAAATGCAGAACTGAAGTTCTTTTTCCAATGGAATTCTGCATGAGTTTGTTACTTAATAGGAATGGTGGATTTAAAAAATAAATGTGTAATTATTTTATTCCAAAGTGAATGAATATGAAGTAATAGGAAACAACACATTTAAAGTAGCTCTACCCTTCGGCCGGGCTACGCCGCACTTTTGGATATTTTCAGGTTTTAAATTTTTCAACTAAATTGCATGGAAAAAATTAGAAAAAATTCATACCCAGTCTGTATTATCTAAATTAAATTTCGCAAAATATTAAAATTTTTTTCAAACATTTCCTTCTTATAAATAAATAATAAAACTTGTTTGCAAAACGATGGATTATTTTTTATGAGGTGTTAAAAAAACTTGATTTTTTTACATCTAATGAAAAAAAATTCAGATTTTAATCTTTGATTACAATGGAAATGTTGATTTTCACATAAAACCCCGGGTTAAATCCTGATTTTTAAACATTTCTTCTTTGAAAAACCAAAACGATAATTAAATTGAGAAAAAAATTAGAATTCCGAATCTAGTCGAGTTTTCTGCAATTTTTTTGCAGTTTTCAATAATCTTTGAATTTACCGTAAGGGTAGAGCTACTTTAAAAAACCACCAGAATGCATTATGAATTTCAGAAAAATTCATGAAAAATTCGAAATTTTTAATAATCGTCTATAAACTCAAGTCAAACAATATAGCTATCATAATCATATTTTAACTTTGACTTAATGACATTAAAACAAATATTTTAAGTTATAATTGAATTTATTTGAAGCATGATATTCAAAGATATCCCCGGAATTCTGATTTTCAAAAAATAATTTTTTTTTGGAAATTTCAAATAAATCAAAATAACGATTATTTCTATCGCCTGCATCTTCCAACTCGGTCAAAAGTATATCCAAGGCCATTCGGAAAGTAAAAAGAGCAATGTGAAATGAAGACAAAAGCAATTCCCCGCTTGTTTCAAGTCTGGGGATATTCGTACCTCTATAAAAATCCTCCCTCTTCCGAAGAGAGAAAGTTACACGAAAATGAAATGTGCAACTGAATAAAATTCACTTTGTCCAGCCATTTGAGTGATTGATGTTTTTTAAACATTCATGGACTTCAACCAGAGCATGTGCGACATTCCACGTGAATAATTCCATTGATTTTTTTTTTCATTCGACGATGGGCGACACCTCCCACTGTATATTTACACGAACGATTTGGAGTATTCAGTATCCGTTGAATGTCATTTTACATGACGTTCCAATAAGCCCGAGCCATTTCCAGCGCAGATTTTTTGACATTTCATAGAGACGGGAGGACTTGATGGCTTTCAAATATTTTATTGCTAAAAATCGGTTGATGTGATGGTGATTTTTATTTTTCTACCGTAGAATTTATTGTGAACGTGTAGAAAATTTGCTTGGCATTGCAATACTATGAAAATTTCTCTAGACCTTTTAGTTTTTTAATGATTTTTATTGAAAATTTTACAGCTTTTTTACGTGATTATTTGACTGATATGTGATAGAAAAAGTCAATAGATTCTGAATTTCTCATATGACTGACTCTCCTGAGATAACTTATGCCCAAGAATTCTTCTAGGAAACATTGTAGCAGAAGTTCTGTATAAAAATCATCTATTAATTTTTGTCTATCAAATATCCATTAAAAAAATCGTTCGGCAAAATTCCATAATTTTAATAAACAAATGAAAAAACAAATGTAATTTAGAATACAATTTTCCCAAATCATTTTCTAGTGAATGTTGTAGGTTTTCTATGAATTTTTTTCATGCTCACTCAACTAAAAAACTTCACGCACGAGTAAATTTAATAGAAAAACCTAGCGAATTCGAAAGAAATTTTATTGGATTTCTATTGAACTTTCTGTTAGTTTTCGGCCGATTCTATTCAAATTTCCAACAGGAAATATTCAATAGAATCGGATTTCTCTATATGACTTATTCTCTTCCGATATTTTCTATAGAATTCCCTCGGCTCAAATGTTCCAATTTTTTTGTTCTATTTTTTTCTTCCCATCACGAAAATCAAACAAAAAATTTCACCGGAGGAAATTCTATAGAAAATATCTCAACAGAACAAGTTCTACAGAAAAATCGAATTCTTCTTTTGCTATAGAATATTTTCTATTGAACGTCTATTAAACAGAATCGATCCAAAACTAATAGAAAATTCAATAGAAATCCAACAGAATTGCCTAGCGAATTCGCCAGGTTTTGCTATTAAATTTCTCCATCCCTGAAGATAAACTCAAATAGCTGTGGGCGATTCATCCTGATAATGAACTGCAAGTTTTGTGAGACGCGATCTCCTGGACTTGTGTTTCAATCGATCCGCTAACTTGTTGAAACGTAACTCCTTAGTGGACGAGTTTTTCCGAGTACAACAGGTCTCACTGTCGACACTATCCTCGCAGCTCTTGGCCTCTTCAGTCGTCTCGTTCGACACGAGATCCTGTATTCCACTGCATGACACCGTTTCACTTATCCCACTGCAAAATTCTCCAACTTCGTCGCTTTGCTCGTCCTGAATGCTCTTTGACTTGAGCTTCTCCACGAGGATGTCCACCGAATCCCTGTGCTTTATCTGGGGGACGTTGTTCAGTGACTCCTCGTCGTCAGTTTCACTGTCTTCCGTGCGTGAACACATCCCTGAACTGGACATTTCAGCAATTAAGAGTTGTTTGAAAATGTAACATTTTACACACGAACAAAATTGAAGGGGTTTTTGACGAAAATCCAATAGAATTCCCCCCAATTACTATCGGGTGTTGGCTCTGGAATTTTTTTTCATCAGGATTTTGATTACATAAAATCTTGCACAAAGAGCACAACACTTCAGACATTTTCTATACACTTGAATTGATAATGAAAGTGTTCGTCGTGCAACTGAAACAAGAATCCCCGGAGAGAAATGTTCTGTAAAAATTACGGAAGTCACAGTTCGCTCGCCGATTACGGAATCGACTCCGAAAATTCAAGTGACGGAAGCGTAATTTTTCACAGGAGATGCAGATAAAAATTATGGAACACTCTGGAAAAATTACGTGACAGTTCCGTAAAATTTCCTACAGCCACATTTCGCTCCGGAATTACGGAAAAGATACGTAATTTTTATTGAATATTTCTGTCCGTGTATGTCATAAAATACTTCAGGCCTTCACGGACGAAAAAATTTAATAGAAAAACCTATCGAATTCGTTAGAAAATTCTATTTAATTTCTCTTGAACTTCTATTAGTTTTTGGCCGATTCTATTGAAATGTTCAATAGAAAATATTCAGTAGAAAAAGTCAATACAATTCAATTTTTCTATATAACTTATTCTATTGACATATTTTCTACAGAATTTCCTCGACTCAAATTTTCCAAGTTTTTTCGTTTGATTTTCTTGATGAGAAGAAAAGAAAAATAGAATGAAAAAAATTTAGAAAATTTGAGTTGAGCAAATTCCATAAAAAATATATGAAAAGAATAAGTTATATAGAAAAATCGAATTCTGTTGATTTTTTCTATTGAACATGTCAATAGAATCAGCCAAAAACTAATAGAAAGTTTAATAGAAATTCAATAGAATTTTCCAACGAATTCGATAGGTTTTTCTATTAAATTTTTTCGTGCGCGTTGTGACAAAAATTACTATTTGTCCTACCATTGGGTACTATTCGATCCAGAATGTAGTTTTTTTCTGCAATAATCTTTGGCCTCCCTCTCAACATCGCATTTCCAATGGTAAAGGAACTTTGGGCATTGCCATTTCGGGGGAAAACTCAGGCGGTTCGGCATCAGAATGGAGTTCATCGGCTTGGATATGCACTTGGGGTAGTGGTGCATCTGGCAGTAGTGGGAATGGCACTGCAAACTTTGACATTTGGGCTTTTGTTTAATTCTGTTTCTCCTCTGGTACAATCGCTGCATCTTCATCAGGGATTCTTCCCGACTTCGGCGCTCCCACTCGTAAAGTTTACGGGGAAAATCCAGCGATTCATCATCATTTCCCCTGTCATCTGCAAATTAATGGATATTTCATTTGTTCGGAAAAATTATTCTCCCATGGTACTTCCAGGATAGACTACCCATCTCAGGAGATTCAGTCTTGCGGAGTTGATTGATGGAATCACCATCGCCCGGTTTTTGATGGAGGATTGACATTCGGTTGTAGCAGGAGCAATTCTTTTTGAAGGTCGGACGGGGGCTACCGATCTCACTGGAGACATCAAGTCTATCGAAATTTTTCACAAAGAACAAATTCCAAGGAAACGAAAACGAATAGCACAGACGGAAATATTTGATTTAAAAAACTAACGCTTTCTCTAACTAATTCTCATCGTTTTGCCTCGATTTCTATTGAACATTATGTGGAATCTGTGAATACATAGGATAGCTGGTGCCTGTACCTTTGTTCTTCTTTTATAATGCAAACATTTGATACCAACAAGTAATTCCAACAGAAATTTTCAATTTTCTACCGTAGAAACATCGTTAAAAAAATCCAAATCATTTCCTACCGAATTCTTAAAATATTTCGACCCCAGAATTTACTATTTTTCAAATTGTTAATTGGTCCAAAGTCATGGAAACAAGGTGGGCGGTATTGGACGCTGCCGGGCGGTATTACCCTCAAAATTCGATTCCATCGCTCACTGGCCGATGGCAATTGAATTACATAATTAAATGTTTAATGTTAATAAAAAATCTGTTCTCTGCACATCTTCGAGTAAACAACTCGAAGAACCCATTCTAACCGTTTATGACTCCTTGTAGAGTGCGAGGCTGGAAAAAACGAGTCATTTCCCTCAGGTGGGCCGTACATGCACCAGCGACCCGATTGATATTTAGAATAAGAATTCATTATAGCCTAATTATTAGAAACGACAAGTTTTCGGGAAATATTGCGAAATATTCCGTGGATTGAACAACTGAGAATTGCGTTGAACAATAATCTTACACTCGATACACCGAAATATCCTCTCACCTATCCTGCGCATCTTTAAATTCTTCCGTCTCGTTGGCCCCAGCACTTGGAGCATCCACTGGAGCATCCGGATACTTTCTATTCGATACAATTTTAACAAAATCTCTGACAGCATCGCGGCCCGTTTTTTCCTGATGAAATGCACTCTCAACTGGCTCACAATTTCGCCCACAGCGAAATCCACTCAGAGCTCTCAGTCTCGTTGAATTCTCAGTCTTGTTACTCACTTGAATGCGCTTCAATCCAAAATGAAAATCACAATTCCACCCAATTACCTAGGTACAGAATATTCTCAATCTCCACTTGGGTTATTTACCTCGGGATTTTTGTATGTGGATTCACTGACATGTTCTGAAAATTTACGTCGCGCACGGTGAAATGCTATTGCTGCCGCTGCGAGCTGTTGAGATGCGGTTGGAGAAATTTCTGACATTGTGCCATTCGGGGAAAATTGCGTTTCGAGAGGTTAAAGTGTTGAGGTTATTGATGTTTTCTTTTATTTTGAAATCTGTTGATTCTCACTGGTTCTACTTTATACAAAATGTTAAACTGCAATACTACCTCTCACGCTCGGAAAAATTTCGTAAAAGCCTAGCGTATTTGCTGGAAAGTTCTATGGGATTTCAATTAATTCTTCTCATATTTTTTAGCCTATTCCATTGAAAACTTCTGGGAGATTTTTCTGTATCAACTCATTCTATTCAAGTATTTCCTATAGAAATTTCTCGGCTTTCGAAATTTTTTCATGTTTGATTTTATTAATTGAAAGTGAAGAAAAATAAAGTAGAAAAAATCCACAAAATTCATGAATGTTGAAGCGAAACAAGATGGTTTTCCATTAATTCTGCATAAAATTCCCTTCATTAACCGGCAATTTCATCAATCTCATCCAACAGACAGTTTCTAATAGCATCATCTCCCCGATTATCTCCCTCACAAAACTTCCCTGATGAAATAAAAACTCGATATTATCTGACAGGATTACCATTCTAATTACTCCCCCATTTTCCCCCGAATCCTATCAACTTCCTTATGGAAACATGAACTCACAATTCAGTATCATCACATCAAACCGTAATTACGTCGAAAGAATGAATTTTTTGAAATGAATAATTAGAATAATATTGAATTACAACAAATGTAAAGAAATAAGCGTCGTCCTGACATTAAAAGTAAAAGAAATGGAACATTGAACAGTAAATCTTCTACACGGAGAAAATTATTTGAATTTCTGCAGTTAGTTGTTGAACTTCAACAACTAGTTGGTGAAATTTAACAACAAATTGCAGATTAGTGCAAAACCTTTCTATTGCGATAACAGAAAAAAATGAGATATTTTCTATAGAATTTCCTCGGCTCAAATTTTCTAAGTTTTTTCGTTTTATTTTCTTTATGAGAAGAAAAGAAAAATAGAACGAAAAGAACTTAGAACATTTGAGTCGAGCAAATTCTATATAAAAAATATGAAAACAATAAGTCATATAGAAAAATCTAATTCTGTTGACTTTTTCTATTGAATGTTTTCTATTGAACATGTCAATAGAATCAGCCAAAAACTAGTAGAAAGTTTAATAGAAATTCAATAGAATTTTCTAACGAATTTGATAGGTTTTTCATTAAATTTTTTGGTGCGTGTGACTCCAGGTCAATTTATCTCATCTCGGTTTCCAGTTTTTTGCGTTTTTTACATGTAGAAAACCGAGACGAGACAAATCGAGACAAAAACCGAGATTTTACATTAAAAAACATGGAAAACGAGAGCAAAGATTTCCATGTTCACTGAGACCGAGATCATCTCTCCAAAGTTTTGTCTCGTAAAGTGTCTGGCGGCATCACTACTCCGAACATAGTACACTGAATATCAAGAAATTTTCCGCATCTATTCATCTCCCACGCAAATACCCGACTCAAACGAGCTTTTGGTTGACAACATTGGCCCCTAATGAGCGTAAAATCACCGTGAATAGACCATAAAATCTCGATTACTCGAAAAAAAAGGAGGAGAGGGGGGAGAAAAAATCGACGTTAATGCAGCCAGCGTTAGCCAGATTTATCGCCGCAACCAGGTGTACTGTATTTACCTTAGTGCGGTTAAATATTCGCCGTTGGTTGGGAATACGATCTCGTTAGCACCTTGGAGAAGTGCCCTCTTAACTGTACCAATTAAGCTTTTCCTCTGATATCTACCTACTGTAAGTAGACGCAATTATAACGATACATAAACTTGAAAACCGAATCTTCTTATCCGTTAAAGCTTAATTCGTTTAATGAGTCACTTACTTGGGACTCGCGGAGTGAATTCGCTTCGCGAACGGATGAATGTATTGTAGTCCGTCAAATTTTGGATTCAAAAGGTATCAACTATTTGAATGAATCCATTTATTTGATCCGGATAAAGTATATTTAAACGAGACAATTTAAAATAATTTGAGACTATTTTGAAAATTACACTTTTTTTTCAAATAATTTATAAACAACCAAAACCGAAATTTCTGTTTCGTTGAAACTGAATTCAGGAACTCAACAGGAAATAAATTCGTAGTCGGTTAAATTCTCCACTCAAAAAATTTTGAGAAATAAATACATCGACTTTTACGGAAAAGCGACACAAGTGAATCCAATGAACCTCTGTATTTTAAAATATTCTATTCATTTTATCAATATGTTGTTGGAAACTAATGAACTCATAAGTTTATAACATCTTGAATCACAAATTTTTAATTCAAAGAATTTATAACAACGAGTTTTCCACTCTGAAAATGATTTTTGCAATCGTAAAAAAATCCCCAAAAATCCGTAGCCTTAAAATTTAGTCACGACAATATTACAGACTATTCAGAATGCTCCTGACAGCGGTCCAAAGTCTGTGTCTCCTCAGTCTCCTTCCACCTGTCCTCAGTGAACAGTGCGATCATCCAGAATGCTATGAGCACGGTAAATGAAAAAACGCGTAAATAAATAACAAATGAGTAGAATCGATTCTGTACTTGAACACTGGCTTAAGATACTCTCTTGCTTGTTAGCAAAGCGCCTGACGGAATCGATCAATGACCGAGTTGATGCCTGCGAAGACTTTGTGGAGTTTGCATGCGGCAAACAGTTTCCGTTATTCGAGAGATTGAGTGTGTTCAATGGAACGGGTGTCGTCCAACCGACTACGTATCACCTTCGACTTTGGTGGATCAGAAGGAAATTACAAGCTATTTTAGATGGACCTCTTGATGGCGCTGATCAGAGGGGAATTCGTCTCGCTAAAATCTACTGGCAGAGTTGTAAAACGGGTGAGAGCATATTTTTATGGAAATGATAGCGGAAAATGTAATTGTTTCGGTGAACAACTTGGGAATACATCAAACCAAATATTCAGTAATTAAATAGCTTGAAGAGAGGGAGGAATTATATCAAATACTCGATGAAACAAAAATATCTTTCTGCTGAATTTTTTTCTTTTATCTCTCCCTTGCCATCAATGTTCACCGAAAAATTCCACTGTCGAGTGCAAAAAACAGTCCCCTCGTTGTAGACAATTGATGAATGCAAAAATTATAGTACACAACCTGGAATTGGGTTGCAATTTCCACAACCATCGCTGCGCTCAGGCATTAATTGTTTCCGTAATCCCCAAATTCCCGGGCAACAATGACGTGACCATCACTGGAATTACCGTAAAAACTGATGAATATTTTTTTTTCTCTGTCATCAAACATCCTTTAGTATTAGTAAACTAATTATTTATTCCATTACTTTTTTTTTCTCATTATTTCAATTTTATTGAATTTGTTACATAAAATTTTCCTGTTATCGCAATTTGTGAATTTTTCATCAATCATTTTGTCATTTGTTGAAAGGCCGAAATCAGTAGAAAAATGAATTGTTTAATTCCGTTTAAGCCACTCGATTAATGAAACGAAACTACTCAACAAAAAATACTCAACAAAACTGAAGAATCTCTCTGGTGAATTTCCCCTCTCTATCATTATTCACCGAAAAATTCCACTGCCGAGTGCCAAAAACTCTGAAAGTAACAATGTCAAATCAATGTTACAAATGCAATTGCAGTTCTCTCGTTGCAAACAATTGATGAATGCAAAAATCCTAGTGCAAAACGTGAAATTGAGTTGACATTTTCACAGCAATCGTCGCGCTCAGACACTAATTCTTCCCACAATCCCCAAATTCCCGGGCAACAATGCTGTGACCATCACCGGAATTACCCTGAAATCTGATGAGTATTCGTAAATTTTTCATCAATCGATTTTTTTCTTTCCGTTCGAACGATGAAAATTGGTTAAAAAATGGATTGATTAATTCTGTTAGGATTACGCGGTAAAATGCGGTAAAAATGGAAGAGAGTAACAAGAAAAAAAATTCTTGAAACTTCACGCACGAAAAAATTTAATAGAAAAACCTTCCGAATTCGTTAGAAAATTCGATTGAATTTCTATTAAATTTTCTATTAGTTTTTGGCTGATTCTATTGTCATGTTCAATAGAAAATATTCAATAGAAAAAATCAAGAGAATTCGATTTTTCTATATAACTTATTCTTTTCAAATTTTCCAAGTTTTTTTCATTCTATTTTTCTTTTTTCCTCATCAAGAAAATCAAACGAAAAAATTTGAGCCGAGGAAAATCTATAGAAAATATGTCAATAGAATAAGTTATACAGAAAAATTGAATTCTATTGACTTTTTCTACTGAATATTTTCTATTGAACATTTCAATAGAAGTTTCTAACGAATTCGATAGGTTTTCCTGTTAATTTTTTTCGTCCGTGTTCAGTTAAAAAATATACTCGATGCCTCTGCAATGCACCACTTGTTTCAAATATTTCTCACGCAATTTAATTGGCAAATTTGACGATTGAAAATGGTTGAATCCCTAGTCTGGTCTAAACCAAACTGTGAAAGATCCTTGGCTCCCTTAAAATAAAGGGAACAATGTACCGACCCGAAAGGGTACTAATAAGGGCATGCGACCGAATAAATAAAATTGAATGGGATGTTTCAATAGACCTCCCATTAAAATCCAATGCAATTTTCCACACAAAATTTTGTCGTACGTCTGCTATTTTCATTCTTCTCCCCAGTAAATACAGAAGACCTATTGGGTAATGTGCGTTTGCTATTCAAACAACTGGGTGGATGGCCAGCAATAACTGATGCCTGGAACGACAGCCACTTCACTTGGATGGAATTCAGTAAACGCTCACGACGTCTAGGATTTTTGCCAAGTATGTTCATTCACGTTGGAGTCAATGTCGATGACGTTCACCAGCCGTGGAGTCCAAACGACACAATAAAACTTACGGTTGTTAAAAGTTAAAAGTTTTCTCTCATCATACAGTTTATGCTTTATTGAATTAAGAAGTGGTCTGACCCCGATAGTTATTGCATTCGTAGATACAGAGACCGGTGCATGGCAGTCGCTTGGTCGAGGAGAGCCTCGGGTATTTGAGGATTGCTAAATTCCTCACTGAGTCCAAAATGCCCGAGGCGGGCGAGATTGAGGATGCTCTCAAGTTTGGAAAGCAATTCGAGATGGTAAATTTTTACCGCTTTTTTTGCTGTTTGAAAAATGGGGAAACTCAGGTTTAGTTTTATTTTGAAAGTATGATGTATGAAAAAAATTCAATAGGAGTGCGAAAGCATTCGATATGAAATTCTAAGAGCTTTATTTTGTAAATGTTTAAAAAAAAAAAATTATGTTTTAATTAAAATTCTAGGAGTTTTAATGAAATTTATGTTTTTCTATTAAAATTCTAGGGAATTCTAGTTAAAACTCTATTTGTTTTTTGCGCTCGTTCTATGAGGTATTTGATAAGAAAACGCCAATAGATTTCAATTTTTCTACATGACTATTCTCTCGGAATTTTTTCTCTAAAAATAATTGGCGATGAATTTTCCAAGTTTTTTTCACTCGGACCCTATAATGCAAAGCAAAACAAAATGGTCAAAATAAGGGTCACGAGGGTCAGAGTAAATTTCGTTTATACGTGCACAAATTATCATGATTATGCACTGCAATGATTTTCTACAAACGTTCGCAAAAATCTTCGAATGTCGCATTCTCCTCTGCCGTGAAGACCATTCTTACGGCGAATAAAATATATCGAATTCTTCATTCCGTCTACAAAAAGGAAATGAACGTGAAACGGAGTTACAATGATTGATTTTGCAGCTGCAGTGCGGTACCAGCGGAGAAATTCACATGACAGAAATGACAATAAAAAAACTGGAGGAGGTGTATCCAATCGTCAATTGGATGGAATATTTATCAGAAATATTGACAGCCGAACAGCGGAATCTGCTGTCATCGAGTGATCGGGTTATCGCCGACACCTGCTTCCTGGCGCTGTTCAATGATGTATTTGGATACACCGATAAACGGTATTGCAGTGGGTTAATTGGACCCTTATTTCGGGGGTGTAATTGATATTGCATGAGTAATTTTCAGGGTGCTAGCGAATTATGCATTTTTAACGGTGATTGATGACTTGTTCCGCCTCATCAGGCCGGAACTGGCGTTGAGCTTTGCGGAGAGCCAGCGGGAAATTGACGAGATCTGTTTCGATTCCACTGCGACAATGTTAGTTATTGAATTTTTTAGAGACATTCGGGTGGGAGTTTTCCATTCAGATATCACGCATAAAAAATAATTTTGTCGAAGTTGTATTAAAATTTTGTTGTTATTCTATTGAACATTCCGTTCATTATCAGCTTTGATAAAAGAATCGGCCAAAAACTAATAGAAAGTTAGAATTGATTCGCCGGGTTTTTCTATGATGAAAAACAGCAGTGCAAAAAAATCTAGAATTAATGTCAAGAAATTGCAATTAAAGAAAAAACTATAGATTAAATTGAACAGAAAAATTATAATAGAAATTTTCACAGAGAAAATACACGTGAAAACTGCCGAAATTTTTAAACAAATAAACACTTTCTCATACGTAAAATTCATCAGGAATAAAAACCAGGGAAGAACAATGAATATTTCCATTTGTTAAATGCATTTCTCTCATTGACAGTTTTGCGAAAGCCCTTGACATGATAATAGTACAACTAACGCCCCAAGAAATCAAGGAAAAAGTTCCGGAAATGGAAGGTCGGCTGCTGGATAAAATATTCAGATCCATTCTCGAAATTCCATGGATGGATTACGAAACCCGGTGAATTCTCGAGCAGACATATAATTCCACAAGTCTCCATCTATTCATTTAACAACTCCTAAATATTTCAGAATGAGTATAGTCAACAAAATGGAGGAGTTATCCTTCATAAATCTCTACCCAGACGGCATACTCGATGATAAATACTTCAACAGGGTAATCCCATGTAACGAATTCAAAATGCACCCTAATGCAATATTTATGTTAAAAAATACCGCAAGCCGTCGGGCTGTTTTACATTGATTTTTTTCAGTTGGAGTTGCTCCAAACGGACGCAATTCAAATATACTTTCCTCAGATCAATGGTTTTCTCGTTGATCATTACTATCTGCAGGCGGGAAGGCAGCGGAATAAATATGTTATTTATGGGCGTAATGAAGAGAGCATAAGTTTCTTGGATATATTTTCACCGAGTGATCTTATTATTAGACCCGATGGCGTGGGAAATAGAGTCTGTAAGTTTTTTTGCTCCAGAAAGGGCAATTTGTAGACCTCGTCTACGTCTACGCTAATAACTAGATAGAATTGCATCTTTTTTATTCAAAGGTGGGGATTGTGGAGCCCGATCAATCGCCATTAATTAAATTTTAATTCATCGATTGTTTTTTTTTAATTTTTGAGTTTTTTTCAAAATCAGTTGGCCCACGATAACTAAAAAAAATGTTCTGAATTGACTGAATGATGGTTTAAAAAATTTGTTTGGATGCCCTTTTGACCGAGTTCGAAGATGAACGATAGCAATAATCGTTATTTTGATTTATTTTAAAATTTGAAATAATGTTTTTCTTTTGAAAATCAGAATTACGGGAATAACTTCGAAGTCGAAGTTAAAAGATTACGATAACGATATTGGTTGATTTGGTTTTTATCATGATTGTTGAAAATTTCTAATTTTTCATGAATTTCCCTGAAAGTGAGATTTCTGATGTTTTTTCAAATGTTTCAAATTCATTCGAGTATGTATGAATTAAATTTTTCTATTATCATTTTATCGAAGGGCTGAGGGGAGAGATAGAACCGTAAAAAGACAATCGGTTGTATAGAAGCAAGGGATAATAAGAATAATGATGATGATAATATTCAACTGAGTTGAAAATCTGACAGAATTACTTGAAAAGAAATCTTATTCAATTTAATAAAATTAAATGAACAATGAATTATATATGATAGAAGGAAATGATGTGCAAACTAACAGATCAAAATGTAGCAATTAAATTTAAGAAAGTCCAGTGGAATCTTCTAGCGAATTCCCCACGTTTTACTATGAAAATTTTTCACGAATACAAATGTACACAATTTCCAGATGTCCCAGCGGCGTCGGTATTGAGCAGAAAATGGCATTTTTCACCACAACTCGACTTTCTGAATTATGCCTCAGTGGGACGTGAGATAGCAACAGCCCTGGGCACAAAAATATTTCAAAAAAATTGGCCTACTCCCCCGAACTTCGTCTCACGGGGCCACACTTTGTGGTCGAAATCAACGCTGAGTCGTTTCATAAGCCGTGAATCGTGTTACACCATCGCATTCACCCAGGTAAGGCAAATACCATATACCTGACGCTCCCCAGTGTCCGAGAGGAATAATCCCGGAAATCCCATTATCCACCGAGCTTGAATGGGACTCAAGAGCGTCTGGATGCGTTAATTATTGGAATCGGGCATTGATTGTACACCCAGTACAGCTAAGCATCCTCGAAACTAATATTGATATTGACGTTTGAGTTTTGGTATGTTGCTGTAGTATTCCAATCGTCTCAATTATTCCATTGATTGACAGGCTAGTGGTGAATTTCATTCAGCGGCACTCATGTTTGCACTCATCGGCGGTGCAGAAATTACTTATAGAACAATATTCGATGATTGCCGATTTAGAGACTGCGCGACGACGCTTCCAAGTGAGTTCTTCAATTTTTAGATTATCGAAGCACTTTGGAATTTTTCTATTTGTTCGGTCGCCGACGATTTTCGTGATATTTGCATTATTCATTTTAATTCTATCCGAGAATCGTATCTTTTCAAATGCTCCTCAGAAATTTCTAGTCAGAAAAAATCCAGCAGCACGCACCAAAAAGTTTAATCGAAAAACCTAGCGAATTCGCTTGAAAATTAGATTTCGATTCAACTATTATTTTTATTACGTAATAATAATCCGATACAATTTTTAGTCTCCAATTCTCGATTTTAAATATTACCCAAATGAGGTGTCGAATGACTTTTGTTTTGTGTTTGTTTTGATCACAAAAAAACAATAATTTTTATTCATCTTTGACATAACTCCTCTTCATTCAATGTTGTACCATGTGAATTACAGAAAAAAATATTTATATAACAAAAATAAGAATGGATAAAATTAAATTAATCTAATTGTGGAGACGGAAATGAAAAGAAAATAAAATAAAGTAGAATAGTATAAATAGAATAGCAATCGGGCGCGAACCGCCCGTTCGCTAGTCAACTATTAATTAGATTTCGCTTTAACTTTCTAATTTCTCGACTCAAATTATTTCACTTTTTTCGTTTGATATTTTTTTTACGAAAAAAGAAGAGAAATAGAGTGTATCATCGATCAACAGTCTCTCTTACATTCATTCAGATTTCAACTACACCCCTCGCCAACTATTCTGGATCGACGCAATCTCCTCCGATTGCGACCGCGATCTGAAATACAGGTACAACACAATGTTGGCGAACAACGAGGCGTTCGCCAGGGACTTCAATTGCAAGGTGGGATCAAAGATGAATAATCACAAGAAATGCACATTCTTCTTATAAATACCAACAATTTTATTTTCATACTGTACACAATAAATCCTGTATCTCTACTCCAGCAAATTTACAACTGTGTTGCATTAAGGGCTTCAGAACGTTATTCAAGCCGATTCGTTGATAACATCAATCAAAGTAGCCGCTCACGATATTTTTCGTTTCTCCCACGAGAAACATTCGTCCGCAGTCATGCCTCCATGATTATTGTTCAGTAACAACGTTTTTAGTATCAACCGCGACTATAACACAATCTCCATATTATACAATTCAATACAAAAGAAAATATATAATTCAGTTAAGGATGTTTATCCAAAATCGCAAGTACTTAAAAAAATTGTTTTCTTTCACTTTGATACAAATTTCAATCCATCAACCCATGTTCATTATTTACAAATGAAATAGACAAAATGCACCAAATGCATGCGCTAACATGCGCTCATATGGGATAGAATCATTCAAATATTTCCTCTTTTTGCCCCGGGTACCCCAGATTTTTCTCTGGCCATTGGATGCAGTATGATTTTACACATGACCTTCTATATTTATCTCTATTCTTAGAGTCTTCTAGTGAATTGTCAATATCAATATAAATTTCGTAAGAGCCCGTGTCAAAGGAAAAATTAGTAAATTCATTTCTGCCGAGACTATTGCAATTAATTTTTTCTCAACACTAGAAAAGTTAGTTTTATATATTCTGCTGTCAGCCGAAACAATTACAAAATTTTCCACATCCGAAACAATTACAGAAAACACATTTACCGCCAATTTACCGACACTGGCTAAACATCCTCAAGAGAAAAAGATTCAACAAAAAATACTGAATATTGATGAGCGATTCAGGATGCATTCAATGATTACGAGTTCATCCATGGTGGACACGAGACAGGCGGCTGATAACCCTGTGAAACAGGAACTTGATATTGTTGAGGGTACTGGGGTCTTTGTTGATGATGATGTGGAGGTGGTGGCGGTGGGGGAGGTGGTGGATTGCATATTGAATGCATCAATGGAAGTGAATTGTAAGGCGGTGGCTTTCCAGCGTATGGGGGAATTTGATTGTACTCGATATTGACGTGGTGCTCCATAGTTGATTGAATCGACAAGCGATTCTGATCGCCGTCTGATTGACCTGCAATGGTATTTTTAATTGAGCGCCTCGAGCGAGGAGAGAGAAAGAGAGAGAGAGAGAGAGAGAGAGAGAGAGAGAGAGAGAGAGAGAGAGAGAGAGAGAGAAAGAGAGAGAGAGAGAGAGAGAGAGAGAGAGAGAGAGAGAGAGAGAGAGAGGGAGAGAGAATTTTTTTCATTACCTCGTGATGGCCTTATTTGAGGGGGTGGCATGTTTGTGGGTGGCGGTGGCGGTGGCGGCCGAATCCAGGACATTCGACCGTCGTGACCCTGCCAGGGGGCGGGATGCGGTGGGCCTTGCACTGGTGGCGGTAATTGACCGCATTCTCCGTCGAAATTTGAATCGCTGCCTGGACGGTATATTTTGATTATTGTTTTTGGTTGTGGGGGTTGGGGGTGTTTATGTGTGACGGTCTCTATTTGCGGTTAAAAACTTTTGGGTGAAATTTCCCAACAATTTTACGCTTATTGGATTTTTTGTCTCATTTGTTTCGCGGAAATTTCAAGGAATTTCATCATAAATTCAAAATTTTATGGAAAAATCAGTGGAAACGGTAAATTTCAGTTCAGACATTCCACGGAAATGAATTGAAATCTGGAAAAGTCAAGTAAATATATTCTTGAATTTTCAATTATTTGAAATTAGAATAAATTTAATAATTCATTCGATACTGGTGAAGGACTTATCGTTCTCTGGACATGATTTTTCTCTTATTAACTTCCCGACCCGAAGGGAGGAAGTTATTGTTGTTTTTGGTTTTAGGGGTTTGGCCATGTTTATGGGTGACGGTCTCTATTTGCGGTTAAAAACTTTTGGGTCAAATTTCCCAACAATTTTACACTTGTTGGATATGTTTCTCATTAGTTTCGCGGAAATTTCAAGGAATTTCATCATAAATTCAAAATTTTATGGAAAAATCAGTGGAAAAGGTAAATTTTACTTCAGACATTCCTTCCTAATGACAAGGAATCGGACAAATTCTGGTAAGTACATTTTTGAATTTTCAATTGATTGAAACAATGTCAGTTTGTACAATGTCAGATAGACACATTCTGTTTTGGATCCGTTCTAGGAAAAATTACGACAGTACGGAAGGCGATGGAACTGATGGGCACGGAAATTTGTGGACATATTCCCGGATAGACAAATTCTGATCAGGTGGGTAAACAGGGCTCGGTATTGGAGATATTGGAAGGTTGATTCTGTATCTACTAACGATTCTGAAGCCAATGGAGCCGTCAAAGGCGCGGAAAAGGTCGGAATAAAAAAAAAAAATTATGTTCACATACCATGCATAACTCCACTGGGCTTCTGCTCCATATTAAGTTTCTCACCTGCATGACGAATGCAAACCAGATTAGTTGAACCATTACACCACCCTCAACATCAGTTTTCTAATTATAGAGTACATTCTACAAGATACGATAAAAAAAAGTATACACCAGAAAACAGGAAAACTGAGTAGCACCGTCTAGCTGGAATTTAATAATCCAGAAGAAAGAGAAATTAATTAATTTAGCATTTGCGTAGAGCCTCGGACCGTTCTGATTTCATCTGAAATAAGATTACGTTCTTTTTCGTTCATGAGGTAATGTTTCCCCAGGGGGAAAATAAAACCAGAAGCATGTAAAAGTGCAACTCCACCCCGAATCTGAAATTATCCACAAAGTAATTACGTAATATTATACAAATGGGGTAACAATAGCTGCTGCAAGTAGAAAACACCACTCTCTCTCTCTCTCTCTCTCTCTGAATTCACATCAGAATCTGCAATAGTTCACAATCCCATGCGCACAAATATATCAAAGGATTAGCTTAATCAAAATTGTCGTCAGCATTCTGGCAAAAGTCTAAACTAACGAGAATAACATTAGCCATAATGTTCCTTAGATTACAGTCTAAGAGTATCGGGAAATAATGGCAGATATTCAGTATCCTCAGCATCACTGGTATTTCAATGTTAAGGATATCCAAGTACTCTTATTATTTTCTATTGAAATCTCTTTCAACATTTGTAATTACAAATGTAAAGTTTCCATTCAAAGGATATTTGACCCTAGGTTACAGAACATTTTGCAATGATTTTATTGGTCAAACTTTGAAGGTTTTAATTTCGTTTTATGTTGTTAACCGTTAAGAGATGTTTTGAAAATCTGCTGAAAAATTAGAAAGTGCAGTTTTTCAGGAATATTCATAACATAATTGAGAACTTTCCATTTTTGCTTCCGAGTGGAAACTTTGTAATCGTTCAAATTCAAGTTTTGGATTTTTTGTCTTATATCGACACAGTATGATCCAAAAAGGCGGAAAATGCAATTTTTAGTCATCATTTTATTCATGTAACAAAGTTTTTCTTCAATTATTCGCTAGTGAATGGATGGAACTGAATCTCGTTCTTCAATTGTAGCTATTATTGAGCCCTATCAATCGTCGTTAATCAAAATTTAATTCATCGATTGGTTTTTTTTTAATTTCCCAATTTTTTCTAAAGCCAGTTGACCCGCGGTAACTAAAAAAATGTTCTGAATTGATTGAATGATGGCTTAAAAAATTTATTTGGATTTTTTTCATTTTTCTTACGAAAATCAATTGAAAAATTTGATGATTATTATCATCATTTAAAAAGCTCCATATAAAGCTGTAAAAGGCACTTGTAAATCCCCAAAAAAATCCACAAAACCCCATATCCAATGATGCTGAAGAGCATTCTGATAAAGTAACTGAAACAATTCGAATACCTCCCATTTTTCCAAACTCAAATACTCTTAGCTACAGACCTGGATGTGTAGGTGGCATAGGCGGCTTATTTCTTTCGCCATAGAGTGGACCAACACCTCCCGGTGGTGGACCATGTCCGTGTGGCAGCAGCCTTTCACCATCACTGCTTGAACAATTCAGTCAAATTGATTATTTAATAAAAAAAAAAAAAAGTACCAAAAAAACGGTGCAAATGTGAACGATATTAAGAGTTAAATTTGATCATTTCGGTTGTGGCATTGATCCCTGGATTCTGAAATGTCAAACGATATTTGTATCTTCCATAAACTGCGTTGCAGAACGATTATTAACATTAAAAATGCCATTATTGGATAGTTCTCCTGATCTTTGCTCTATCTAACAAGTCAATTGTGTATCGTTTATCTCCATTATAATGTCATATTCCCGGAACCTTTCTCCATATGACCTACACTGTTAAATTTTTGGATGAAATTTCTGGTACACTTCTTCGATATTTGTGTTGCGTTGTAGTTTCACTGAAATTTCAAGGAATTTCGTCCGTGGAAATGGAAATTTTCAAGGGAAAATCAATGAAAACTTTTAATTTCATCCCAATTGTTTCATGAAAATCAATAGAAATCTAAAAAATTCAAGTTGTGGAGCGAAAAATCAATGGAAACTTGTAATTTTATTTCAATTGGTCCATGAAAATTTTAATATTTCAATAGTTCCACTGAAGTTATCAGGAATTTGTCTTTGAAAATGGAAAATTTCAAAGGAAAATCAATGGAGACTTTCACTTTTATTTCAATTGTGACATGAAAATGAATATAAATCAGAAAAATCCAGGGAAGTACATTCTTGAGTCTTCAATTGATTGAAAATTCAAGGAAGTTATAGAATTCTCGTCTCAAAAATTTGGAATTCCATTGAATTTTCAGTTGAATCTGGAATTTCACGATTTCTTTCCCATAAATCGATTGCAATGTAATTCTTTTGAAAGTTACTTGCCATCAATCCACGAAATTTCAATTCTTTCAACAGTGTACTTCATAGCCTATTGATTCAATTCAATGTATTCAATGAATTAATTTTTGTGATACAAATGATGGATGTCAGATTGGTACTACTACCCCATCAATTTCTATTAATTGAAAAAAATTATAAATAAGCACATTGATGTGTCACACTGAGTGAGCCCTTATCCTATACAATTCATTAAGATAATGAAAAAAATTGAATGATTAATTCGTTACTCTCACAAGTCCCCAGGGCAATTATTTATACAACTCGATGATTCATAAATAATTTCAATCACTTCTGCAACAAATTATCAACAATTACACTGGAATAACACATGGCCCCTATCTCCACCGTGTGCCAATGCAAATAAATAAAAGTAATTGTATTTTATCTGTAAATGAAAATCAAAGAAATCTGCCTCGATGGAATGAACACAAATTCAAGTGATAAATTAACGCTTTAAAAAAAAAATTGGGAAAATGTCAAGGTAATTTTGTTCCTGCCAACTGCTCATTTTGCCTGCTCTATTTCCATTATATTCCAGTTTCATTCTCTAAGGATAGCAAAATTATAATTCTTATTTTCATAATTAGAGTGGAATAATTAATCCTCTCCTTTGCAGCTTCTTCCTTACATTACTCTTCTCCAAGAATGTTTCCTTCATTAATTAGGTGCTCTGTATTTTAATTTTACTTTCATCAGTTACGTAATGAAAATTTCCATTTTTTTTCTGTTTTATTTTTGGTTTTTAATTCGAGACTCACCCATTTCCGTGCCGATGAATTGGCAGTGGTGCATTGTGATACGGCGGAGGCTCCTGGAAAATTAACGAAGAAAAAAATTAACATTCTGGGATGGAATTCAATTACATTAGTCTGTTGATTTGAAATTAATGAATACCTGGGGACCCTCAACGTCGTTGAATCTCCTCTTTACACCGTGACCTTTTTGCTGCTCCGGAGAGTCTGGATTATGCATTTCAAATGGCTGTTGAGGTGGCTGGACCGTATAATGGAGTTGCTCCGGCATTTGTCCATTCTGATAGTGCAATTGTTGGGTGTAATGTATCTGCCCCGGGGGAACATTGTGCAGGCCCTGTGGTGGTGGCATTTGCACCTGGAAATTCATTAATTTTCGGGTATTGAATGGATTATTCGATATTTAATTTCGAAGGTGACAAGTATTTTTATGTAAATCGCCAGACTCATTTAAGAAAATCCAAGTACTTTTGCTATTGCTTCAGAATGGAAGCAATGTAATAGTTCAAATTTAAGTTTTGATTTTTTTGTGTCACATCGACTCAATATGATTCAAAAAGTCCGAAAATGCAATTTTGACAAATTTGATGATTGAAAAATAAAAAAAAATTAACTTAGCAATTCCCTGCAGAATGAGTTCTCTGTTTGAAATTCTCATTTCACTATTCTCTTGAAGAGAGATTATACACAACATATTTAAATATGGCTTTAGACATTTCAGTTCAACTCGATTTTGACGATTCCTCAGTTTTCAGTGAATACCTCAAAAACTATGGGAGATATCAAAATTTTTGCCCCCACCTTTTTAGTAGCCATCAATTTGCTCTACAAAAAAGGTCATTAAGAAGATTTCGCTATCCCCCTTAGATTCGGAGATATTCCTCCAAAACTCATCAAAGGGCCAAGTCCACTTAAACTTACATGATAAAATGCTTTCAATCAACCAAACTAAACATCTATCCCCAATTACCTGCATTTGGCCCTGCGGTTGTTGTCCAGCATACAACCAAGGTGCATTCTGACTCCCCCCCTGTTGATTGGGTGGTGGTACACTCGTTAAAACATTCATAGAACTTCCAATTTGATTGGGAGGTGGCACCATTTGAGGTGGTGGAACTGGTTGTGGTCCTTGTTCGAGTCCACTCTCATGATGATGTGGTCCCTCGTGAATGGGCAGTGGAGCACCAGCCGGCAGATGATGAGGTGATTGAGAGTTTGGCACAAGAAACGTTTGTGTCGCTGGTGGTGGCATTTGTATGGGATAATGACCAGGACGTTCGTCAAACTGCGGCTGAATGAGATGTTGATCTGGATTTTGCTGGACTGAGGGAACTATTTGCTCTGGCTGAAGGACAAACTGTTGACCACTCGTTTGCACTTGCTGGTACTGTATTTGATATGTCTGGGGAACCGGTGGTGGCGGCTGATTGGGGGGAAAATTCGGCGGGGGAAAGTGGAGGTGGAGGAGGGGTGGGGGAGGCTGATGAGTTATGTTCAAAGGTGCTGATGGGGGTGGCTGTTGCAGATTGACATTCACTGTCTCAATTCCAGTCTGGCAGGGGGTCGAGGGTCGTGGCATGTTTGGCTGGGTGTACACATAGGATACAGCACCACTCACTGATCCACTGCTGCTCGATATGAAGCCAGAGTGACCAGGACTCGCTGGTGGAGGCTGACTCATTACGTACATTTGTGCTACTGGTTGAGTGGAAGAATGCGACGATGGGGGCACTTGAATGTGCAGTGGCTGACCTGAGTGGATCTGGTACTGCACTTGGCTCACTGTTGGTGGGGGAGCGATCAGCTGGACCTGACCCACTGGCGGCGGGGGGATGAGGGTCTGGAGGTCCTGAGGTTGAAAAGAGAAATATCGTTTTCAATGGGGGATTTTAGGGACAGTGCGAGAATTTTTAGATCTTTCGAACACACTAAGGGAAAAATTAGGTTTTCTGGAAGAGATCTTTTGTCGTTTTGAGTCAATTTACTCGGGAACAAAGAAGAAAGTTTCCATCAAAACATTGGGATCAATTTCATTTCCCCTTTCATAACAACCAAAAATTCCTACCTGTGCTTGAGTGGGAGGTACTAGAGGCCCAGCATGAGCTGGAATATGCACCCCAGGCGGTGGAACCCCAGCCCCAGGAGCCCCAGCCATAGTAGCAGTGAGAATCGTAGCTGGCAAAGTAACAACACTGCTCTGTGGATGCTGAATGATATCCTGATGCTGAATTGTAACAACATTGGACTGCCCCAGAGCCCCAATATTCATGGTCTGAAAGTGTGCCTGCTGAATCTGCTGGAGTTGCGATGTCTCAATCACCTGCTGTGACTGAACAGGCGGTGGCTGTTGCTGAATGTACGCCTGCAACTCTGACTGCATCGTCTGGATCAAATTTATGGCCAATTGCTTGGCATTCTGCAATGCCTCGGGCTTCGAGTGCTCAATGTACAGGTGAAGGGGCTCAGGGGATTCACCACCCAGCACTGGATCCATGAACTGCGATCCTCGACCCCTGAGGGATACGTTGGCACCAGTTTCTCCTCTTATGTACAGTAAATTAGCCCCTCCAGCCCCAACGATTCTTCCTCTGAGGTCGAAACCCTGGGGGGCATTCTCAATGCCCACGCATATCTTCTCGACTGAGGGGGTGCCTGAGTGCAGACTCATCAGGGGTGGTGGGGCATTGGTGAATCTACTCGGACGGCTCAACGAACTCTGGTGCTCGGTCTTTATTATCTCGTGGATCTTCTGAATCGCTAGGTCGATGTTGTGCTTGCTGTGCCCCTGGATGTAGAGGTACAGGGGGCGCTCGGCTGGGGATCGAGACTTGTCGGCTTCTGTCATGAATCTACCGCGAGTTGATACTGTTGCACCTGGGGAGGGTTTTAGGGGCATCAGGGTCATTAGGGTCTCACATCTTTGCTGGGGGGATTGAAATCGAGGGGACAGTTGACTAGCAATTTACAGGGGGGGACATTTAACTTGATTGCGAGGGAAACAAGTGGATAATTGCATTTTTGGTTCCAAATAGAAGCTTTGTAATTGTTGAATTCAAGTTCGCCATTAATTAAATTTCAATTCATAAATTAGTTTTTTCAATGAATTAATTTGTTATAATTGGATGATGGCTTACAAAATTTGTTTGGGTGCCCTTGAGTGCCCTTGAGTGCCCTTGGGTGCCCTTTTGAGGATTCGAAGATGAAGGCGATAGCAATAATCGTTATTTTGATTTATTTGAAAATTTGCAAAAATTTGTATTTTTTGTAAATTAGAATTCCGGGGATATCTCTAAATATCACGCTTTAAAGGAGTTTAATCGTAGCTTAAAATGTTTGTTTCAATGCCATTATATCGGTTGATTTGATTTTTATGATGATTGCTGAAAATTTCGAATTTTTCATGAATTTTCCTGAAAGTGAGCTTTTCTGATAGTTTCTTCAAATGTGATGTGTCAAATTCATTCACGTATAAATAAAATTTTTCTATTAGTATTTTATCGAAGGGCTGAGGGGAGAGATAGAACCGTAAAAAAGGCAATCAATTGTACGGGATAATAAGAATAATGATGATAATAACATTCAACTAAGTTGAAAATCTAACAAAATTAGTTAAAAATAAATCTCATTCAAATTAATAAAATGAAATAAACAATGAATTCAGGAACGAAGTAGTAAAACGGTTTAAGTCGACTTATCTCCCAGTTGAGTTTTTGAGGAAAATTGCCGAATCTAAGGGAAATAGAGAAATTTTCGTAATGACATTTGTTGTAGCTCTCAAGCAGCTCTACAAAAAAGGTTATAATACAAATTTTGCCATCTCTCCTAGATTCTGAGATATTCATTGAAAACTGGTCAATAGTCAAAATTGACTTGTACTGTTTTACCACTTTGCTACTGAATTGGGTATGATAGAAGGAAATGATAAGCAAAATAACCACTCCAAAGCATATTGTTAATTGATTACGCTATTGAGACAGAGATGCTCGAATAAATAAATAAATAAATCAATACAACCCCCTCCATACCTGAGAAATTATTAATCTCATCCTGTATGTATCCTTTAGTGAGAAGTGTCCTGGCACTCGGTGGCGTCTCATTGATCTCAAACTCAGTCGTAAAAATCTCCGAGTTTTTGAATGACCCATTCGTAGACAGAAGGGCCTGGACAATCAATATTTCCAGGATTTAACAATTCCCAAGATAAACCCCCAAAAAAATCTCCCCAATAATCACCTTATTGTTCCCATTGGAACCGCGATACTTTCCCTTAGCCATGAGTATTGGAGTAATTGATCCAGTAACATGTGTCACCGTTTTCATAAACACCATGTCATTCCAGTAGCATCACAACTGTCGGCAGCAAAAGAAAATGATTGAAATTAATCGTCTCTAATTCGACTGATGAACCATTTAAAACGTGTGAGGTTAACCTCACGTCTAATTAGTCGACCAATTTCCCTTCAATTCCCACTGAAAGCCCTTGAATTTCCATCACTACACGACTAAAACTCAATTTTTTCGAACAGTCACCAGGAGAAATACGGAATTGCGACTCATCATCGACTCTTTTTATTTTTCTGCTAAAAGAACGGAAACAGTGGGAGATAAATCGATAGACGTTGTGTTATGTCAGAACTTACGAAATTGTTTACGCGAGGTGTCTCCTAATGACGATAAGTCCCCCAAAATTCCGTAAAACTGAATCACCGACTGAATGCCCATCGAACACATTATCCACACGTTATTCACTCGACACTGAACTGATCACAATGCCTCGTACTTCATTATTGATTGGGCGAATTTATCCTGCCCCTCTCTCTTATAATCAAGTGATATCACTGTATTTTTCCAACAGAGGAGAACACCAAAAGACTGATCGATTGGGGCTTAACAATGGCTGACGATTCAAAAAATCTTGGGAGATGGGGATGAAGAGAGAGATGAGAGACAGTACGACGTCACTTTTTTCGGGTAATTAGCCCTCTGGCGGCGGTCGAGCGAGTTGCGGCGCCTGGCGGAGGGTGCGGGAAACTTCTAACCGCAGAAATGGCCATTTGGCGCGAAGCCACTGCCGAGCAGTTTGTGTACAGGTGGATATTGGGTTTGAGGAGGATTTTATTGGGATAATTCGTCAGGTGGAGATTGATACAGGTAAGGGGGTGAGGCAATTTGTTGGGTAAATGGTTGCGGAGGGGAGAATCCCTGGAAGTCGGAGGGGCAGTTGTGGTTTTTGCGGATATTTTGCTTTTTTGGAGTTGAGGTTAGGGTGAGGGCGACCGTTGGAGCATTCAGACGCTAATTCTTTTCGTATAATGTCAGCTCGTCCTATCATGCTTCTGGCCTAATTTTTTTTCGTCCATTTATTTTGAGTAATGAGTCCATTTGTTTTGATTAATGAGTAATTGGATTTGGGGTCCTTGGGTTCGTGTTTATATTTACCTGTGTTTATTGCCCCTTTATAATATTTTTTTTTTAACGAAACGAAATGCTATTGGATGAATGGTTTTCTCCCCAAATGACCCCCACTCTAAAAACTTCTCGGGCCATTTCAAAAATTTGCATTAGACTGCTCTCTCCGTATTACCCCTCGATATTTTTATATCAAATCGCCTCCTCGACGTAATCCCCACGTCTCATTTTATTGAATAGAATGGATGAAGCAGTAGAAGCACGTCTCAAGGCTTACGTCATCGACAGCAACGATGCTCTCGAATTCAAACTAGCGCGAAAAGAGGAGGATGTGGAGGACGATGAGACGTCCTTCTCACCCGAGATGTCCCACCAGGTGTTTGGCGACAGTGAGACAATATTCGGATACAAGGATCTGAAAGTCAAGCTGTACTACTCCGCCGGCTGTCTCGAAACGTACCTCGGTATGACGTACTCCGAGAAACTCCAGAAGGGAGTGTACGAAGGGGTTGAGCCTGACGAGGTCCTCTCCAAGATGACTGAAAAACTGCCGCCCAATGTTCATGATAAGTTGGATTCTTTCATCAAATCACTCGCTAAGGATGACAATTTCAGACCAGCTGGCGAATTATTGCACTCTTTTTCAGTTAATGGCAAGTATAATGATTACGATAATTGTAAACACTGATTTTAGAGAATTCATTACACTGTTAAAAAGTTTTATTCTTAACATCGCTAACATGCTATGAAATTTCATGGATTTTCGTCATTGAAAATTCAAACTTTCGTGGAAAAATCCATGGAAATTTTCAATTTTAATTCAATTATTTCGTAACATTTGATAGAAATGAGGAAAATGCAAGCAAGTCGAGGAATTCTCATCTTCCTGCTGATCAAAAATTTTGTACTACAAAATCCATAATAACAAACTTGCAGAATAGTAAACATCCATTCTGAATAGACTTCCCCCCAAGAAACAAAAGAATTAAAAATTGAATGGAACGTCAATAGAGCTCTGATGGAACTCATGAGACGAGTTCCATTCAATGACATTCGCTAGAATTTCCTCTCACTGGTATGCATGTCTCTATTCTGCAGATAACGACGAAGTTCGTCATTTCGAGGTCTACAAAGCTGACATGACGTGCAAAGACTTCAAAGAATACCACGATCGTCTCCAAACATTCATACTGTGGTACATCGATGCAGCCAGCTTCATTGATGTAGACGACGATCAATGGCATTATTTCAACATGTAAGTAAAATTCCAGATTCACCCGTAATATCATGGAGAACTCAATCAAAAATTGAATCAATTAACTTATTGATTCAAGTCAACTGAAATTGCTTTTTGTTCATTTCAGGTACGAAAAATACACATCAACATCAGGTACCCCTCGTTACGCAACAATAGGATTCGCCACAGTGTACCAATACTACGCCTATCCCCACCACACTAGGCCTCGAATTGCCCAAGTCCTGATTCTCCCCCCCTTCCAGAAAATGGGGCTCTGTGCCCACTTACTGAAGGCCATCTATCGTCAGTACATTGGGAGAAATGAAGTCAAAGACATCACCGTCGAGGACCCAGCAGTCTCTTTTCAACGTGTACGTGACTACGTGGACGCCACGAACTGCATGACCCTCCCCAGCTTCAGTCGAGAGCTCCTGTTGCAGAGCTTCAACAAGGAAATGGCTAACGAAGCCAGGGAGAAGTTCAAGATCAACAAGAGGCAGGCGAGACGTGTTTACGAGATTCTGAGACTGAAAATGACTGATCTATCGAATGAACAGGAGTACAGGGAGTACAGGCTTGCTGTCAAGAGGCGTCTCAATATTCCTTACAAGAGAGAACTTCATGACTTGAGGAAACTGGAGTCTGCACTCAGGAACTTGGACAAGAAGGGGAGTGTGGCCATTCCACCTGCGGAGCAACGAATTCAGACACTTGAGAAGGAGTATCGTGCTCTTGAGGAGGATTACAAGAGAGTCATACGACGACTCGAGGAGGCCTCGGAACAATGAGCTGGAGAAACTGCTAGTTTTGTATTTTTTGCGTGATACAGTTCTTGATACATTCGTACTGTTAATTGATTGAAAAGTGTTCGATGGAATTAATCCATGAGTGAAAAAAATTAGTGGAAAAACCTGACATTTTCTCTAAGAAATTCCGTTGGATTTGCATTTGTCTTTCATAAGAAAGTCCTGTGGAAAAATTGCTAACAGAATACGTTATGCAGGTAAGAGAATATCCAGTAAAGAACACGAAGCAAAGTTGCACTATTTTAATAGAATTGGCGCAAACACAAATAATTATTTGATAGAATTCTTATAGAGCTCCCATAGGATTTCTTGGGAAAAATGTTGGATTTTTCAACAGAATTTTTTCATATTTGTTTCGGTCGTTATTGACTGGATTCACGAGGAAATGTCAAAATAATTTTTTGAAGGACAGGAAATTTCGAATAAAAAGAAATTTCTGATGTTTCCCTTTAAACTCACTGGATTAGCGATATAATTCAATAATTGATAAAGATTTTCTTCTACGAGTTGAAAATGTTTGTTAATTACAGAATTATCCAGTTAATTAATTGAAAATGTCACGAGTTTTTTTGTTATTGCCGAAGTATCTTTAAAAAATGGCTCGTAAACCCGCAAATTGAAGAGAATCTTATAAATGCTCGAAATATTATGTTTCTACGAAAAAATAAGAACTTTAATCATGGAAGTTGTCAAAAAATGTCTCCTGATGTTTTCAATTAGTAATAAAATGTGGAAAATGAACTCATTAGGGTTGACAACACCACTGCTGATTATTTTCTCTCCAATGCTCATTTATAATTTTCTGGAAAAGTTGTGATGAGCGTTATTCCCTTTTTTCTATTATTTTATTATATTTTTTCATTTTTTTTTAAGTTTGGTGTTGAGTTTGAATGCTGAGCGTAGCTTGTGAATAACAATCGTTACTGTACAGCAGTTAATAAAGATGAATGATTTTGCACGTATTCTCATCTTTTTTTTCATCCAAATTTACATCCACAAGTATTCGTTGTTATTCGAGAGAAATTTATGAGTGGAAAATGTGCCGTTCGCTTTATACTCAATAAACCAACAAAAAATTCATAATTCGTCATCAATTTTTATGCACGACAAAATTGGAAAAATAAATCGTCTTCATACAAACAGCGGAGAAGTGTAAATTCGGGTCTTCTGTCAAGTCCACAATAGCTCAACATATGAACATAATAAATATCAATATAGTCAGGGACATGATTAATGCGGGTAAAATGGGGGTTGATCACTCGACTTTAAATGTAAAGAGAGCCATCAGCAGGTCCCAAGTAGCGCATGGAGATCAGCATTACGTCGATTAAGGTCCAGACACCTAGACCACCGAAGCTGAAGAGTTTGCCAATCCCCTCTTGCCAGTGACCCAAATAAAATCTGAACAAGAAAACAAAACAAAATGGGAAAATTCGAAATTTTCGACAATCACCATAAAAATTAAATCAACCAGTATAGCTATCGTAATCATCTTTTCACTGTGACTTAATGGTATTAGAACAAACATTTTAAGCTATGATTGAATTCATTTGAAGTATGATATTCAAAGATATCCCCGGAATGCTTTTCGAAAAAATTTGCAAATTGAAAAAACTAATTGATACACTAAATTTTAATTAATGGCAAGATCCATTCATTAACGAACAATTGAAGAAAAACTTTGTTAAATACGAGGTCTAAAAATTGCATCTTCGGACTTTTTGGACCATACTGAGTCGATATAACTCAGACAATCCAAAATTAAAATTTTAACGATTACAAAACTTCCGGAAGCAAAAAAGTTTGGCATACAAATTTTCCATTTGCTTTGAATTTAAAAATATTAAGAAATCTCATCACATTGATATTTTCATAATTTACGAGAAACTTCTAAACAACAATTTCCATTCAAATGGAGTATACTCTCTTCACATTTTTAAACATAATGCATTTATGTATGAAATAGGCATAAAATAATATTTACCTGTCAGCCCCAAAGCCCCCAAGTGTTATACTCAAAATGAGCGCTGTGGACCATCGATATCCCCCCGTCCAATTGCACTTCAAATTCTTCATGAATTTTCTCCTCCCTAAGCATATTATATCGCCATTGACTGTACAATTTGTCCTGGAATATTTGTCACAAATGAATTAAATTCAACATTCATAATTATTGAATTATTTCGTAGTTGTTGGCCTCTGCGGTCATTCGCGCCTTCGAAGTGATGAGATTTATCATTTGGACATCACAAATTCACTTCGAATCAGTAAATGACGCAGTGGCCAAAAACTACGAAATAATTTGAAGAATTCGTTCGAGAAACTTCTCCACAATATAATTATCGAATAAAAGCCATTATTTACTTATAATATTGCGGGGGTGATGACACAGAGCTACAGCTACTCTTCTGTTGACAGTGGTGTTCCCAGTGTTCAGTCTGATAGCAGTATCTGCAGATATATTGTTTCGAGAACGTTCTCTCTCCCTGAAATATACGAAATACTTTAAAGATTGCTCAATGTCACTCGAAATCAGACTTTTCAATCGATTAATGCTGCATTTAAGAGTTTTTTGGAAGAAGAAAGTCAACAGCTTTTTATTTTCCTCTATGAAGTATTGTCTTGAGACTCTTCGAGATTAATTGGCTAAATTATTGATGAATAAATTACTCTAGTAAATTAATTCTAGTTGTTTTCAACAGGGACTGACTGAACTCTTCCCGTTTTCGTGCTCTTAATTGATGTGTTTTACAAGTTTTTCATTGAAATATTGACGTACCACACAATCAATTGGCTCTGGAGCAGTGCAGTTAGCAGTATAAGTTGCTCCATAAACGCAATTTGTTGTCATATCGCATTTCAGGCAGTCACCACTCAAGTCTGTACACATTTTACCAATGGGACACATTCCATACAGGTCGTCCTGTTATTAAAGATCACGATTAACATACACCCAAAAAAATAATAGTTTATTCTAATATTTCAAGGGTCTATTTCAAAATTTTCAAAAAGCTTAATGCGAAGCCTGAAATTCTCAAATATTTATTTTAAGAATTATAATTATTATTTATTTATTTATTACTATTATTTATTTTAAGTTGTACTTTAAGCATTATAATCTCAAATTGAGACTTTCGGACCGCTCAATTTGAGATTATAATTCTTAAAATGAAGATTGGGTGTAAAATACAATTTACCTCCATAGATCAAATCAGATAGAAATAAATAAGAAGTATATTAAAAGAAAGCAGAATAGTCAAACATCTAATAAACATTACCTTTTTGTTACTATTATTGTAGGTGTAATTGGTATAAGCATAACTCATCATGTCTTCTGGAATGAGAACCAAGAAATTAGCTGATTATCATTTTGTTCAGAAAGTTTGAGCCAAGGGAAAATTTGATGTCTACAGAAAATAATTCCATAGAATCAATTGTTTATAAAAAACGAATTCTACTGATTTAGAAAAAAAATGCAGATAAACTGCAGAATTTTCTAGCGAATTCGTAATTTACTTTTTACACTTCTGCAATTGTAATTACTCATTACCATATCCCATGTGAGCATCGTTGACAGCACTGGACATGAGTGCCAGAATAACAAATATCACATTCTTCAAATTGATCTTCACGATATTCATCACGACTCTCAGTGCTCGTCTCCCTCAATTTCACAAAAAACAATTTCCCAGCACTGGCATGTGCCCACGAGCATTTGCTCTCTCATCGCGAATACCGACACATGATTTAACATTCGTTTCGTTCCAGTGGCAGTTGATTAGATAAAAAAATCCTTTCGTTGACTCTCCTACTCCCCTCGCTCTCGAGTCTCCATTACTGCTTCACATTCTTCATATTCTTCTGCTTCGGGGAAAATATCGAGAGTCGAACACAATAATCGGTATCGAACACTGAATTCCGGCGATCGCGGCACGAATAAATGAAGAAACTAATGACTTTTACTGGAGAGTAAATACTGTTTTGGAATGCACGAAGTACAATGCACGACTGGCCTCTTCCGTCGAATCAGCTGACTTCCGGGGCTGATGTTCCCAGAAACGTTAGTAACTCGCATTCATTCCCCTCATTAGCACCAGTGACAGTACACGTTTCCCCGTTTTATCTCACGTAAACAATCTACAAAAAACAAATTGGGGCCTCTTGATTGTTAAATATCGATGAAGCTGAGGTAATATGCACAGCAGTCGGTCTCTGTGTCGTTCAAGTCAATTCAGGTACTTTATTTCACTGTCGTTTTTTTTTGAGGTTGAGCACGCTTTTATAGCTCGTGACGCACTTTACTCCAGACACTTGGCAGAAAATAATCTGCAGAGGATTTGTTGAGAGGGTTTGGTGGAATTTTCTGTACTCGGGGGGAAATGGGTTTCTGGGGGGCGGGAGGGACTCTTCGGGGGTCTGGAGTCACTGCGGGATGGGGATGAACATGTGACCTTCTGCAACAAGTTAAATATTCATGGGGTGTCCAGCGTTTTTTCACAAGGTTCTTTCACAATTATTTTGGGATTGGAGATTTCAATTCGTGAGATTTTTTTGTGTGTTGGGAGGTGTTTCTAAACAGTTGGATTTTTTGGAGCTTTCGTGATGTAAAAAGGGACAGACTCTGGTTCATTAGGATTTGTAGAGTTTAGGGGAATGTAAAACAGTTGAAATTCTTCGATTTTGCGAGTTTTAATTGTCATTTTTTGAGGGGCCATAATATTACAGAAAACTCTGTGTAAATGTTTTTCTGACTGTAGTTTATTTCAATGTCATTGAAGGTTTTAGTTCGAACATTCGAACATATGAACGTGTAGAAACACTCTTTGTGATATTTGATAGTGTTCAGTATTGACAAATCATATTGATTTAGTTGATCATCATCAGTTGCCCCATTTAGCTGACCTTGACCTCCATCAATTTACTGAATGATCAAAGAACCATCTTGAGATCGAACATGTTAATTTATGAGATTTTTTTGCTGAATGGGGATGTATTTGTAGAAGAGACGAAAACATTGAAAAAAAGTCAAATTTTCGACACTTTAAAATAATTCTTGTAATTATTTTTACTATTCCTGATTTGTTGAACCGGTTTGAGGTCTGATTATGTCCAAAAAAATATTACGTCATTTTTCACACACGAAAAAATTCTATAGAAAAACCCAGCGAATTCGATTGTTTTATATATTTTTCTTATTTTTTTCAGATATTTTCTGTAGAATTTCCTCGGCTCAAATTTTCATTTCTTCAATTTTTTTTCCTTCAATTTTGCTTTTCTTCTCATCAAGAAAATCAATTTTTTAAAACAAAATTTTGCTTATCAACTTTTTTTATTATTGGGAGTACTAATCAGAATAATAATTTTCCCTTCCCCTGATAGATCAAACCCAGAGTCAACTCTGGGTCAGTAGAATGGAAAATTATTGAAGAGATTTGACGTGAGAAGATTTTGTAAATGGATTAATTGAAAAGAGAATGAACCAGTAAAAAAAGAAAGTGTGATCCTGACTTACAAGACGAATAAAACCTTACTATTCTCATGAGTACTCCCAATAATAAAAAAAGTTGGTAAAAAAAAATTCCGCTTGAATTGCGTCAAATAGTCGTTTTCGTGTTTCATGAAACGACTTCAGCCCCCCTCCCCTAAGTTACACAGAAAAATCGAATCCTACCGACTTTCTCTATTCAACATTTTCTATCAAACCCTTCAAATCAGCCAAAAACTAATACAGACTTCCATACAAATTCAACAGAATGTTCTACCGAATTCGCAAGATTTTTCTATTAAATTTTTTCCTCCATGTCATATCGTTACTATTAACTCTAAAAATAAAAATCCCCCTGTGTCCATCGCCCGCCCTCCCCCTCGCCCCAAAATTCACAAAGCGCTATTCTTCCCAGGCAGGCCACAGTACCCCCCTCCCCATTCACCGCGACGGCGGCCCAACGATGAACTCTCAAGAAAAGCCCCCAAAAACGCGAAGCGAGATGGACATCGAGTTGGACGAGTCCTCGCCGGCGAACGATAATGAGTCCCCAGACCCGCGGCCTCGCAAGCCATCAAAGATTCAGAACGGCGTGGATCAATACAAGCTGAACAACAACCTGGGGGAAGAGCCCCCGAAATCCCTGAAGCTCCCGGGCATGTCGAACGGTTCTCCGGAGGAGCCGATGTCCTCGAGCCGCTTCAAGCCCCTCAACGCGAACTTTCCGAGTCCCCAGTCGTCCCCGACGCCCTCCCCCTCAACGGGGCACGACCCACACGACGACGCGGACATGCGGAACAACGTGGACTACGTCTGTGGCATCAACAAGTGCCCTCCGAAGGTCTCCTGCAGCTCGAGCTCGAGCCCAGAGGATTACGCGTCCGTCGGAGCTCTGAATAACATCGGGGGCTGCATCGGCTCGACGAGCCAGGGCACCTGCGGCTTCCTGAGGCCTAACATCAACGGGAGCCGGGAGACGCCGGGCCCCAGTGGCTTACAACGACCCCAAAGAGAACGACGAGACTCGAGTTCTGGGAATGAGGGGGACATGTCCGACGAGGACTACTGTATATACACGTACAAGGGGAACGACGAGGCCGACGAGGATGACGACAGGCTCCAGGGGGTCGCCGAGGGCCAGGAGGCCGCCGGACAGCCCCTCAGTGGGCGATCCAGTCCCGAGATGGACTTTCTCGAGATGGATTTCGATCCTGGACCTTCCTGCGAGCAGGACACCGGCGACAGCGATCTCGCCTCGATCAATGAGGACATTCAGAACATCGCGCTCGATCACGCTGAGGACCCGGTGTTTCTGAATGACTTGAGCGGGGGGAAGGTGGTCTCCAAGAGCACTGGGGCACAGGAGAACCAGAGGCAGGAGCCCAATGTCTGCTGCGAGGTGGAGAACGACGTGAATTTGCCCTCGGGCAGCGGAGCTGGGGAGAGCCAGCAGGGGGGACACAGCTCCGTCTCCGGAATACGTGAGTGGAGATTTTGGTGGGAGGGAAATTCAATGGATCATGAAAAAATTGGGTGAAAGCAACGAATTTAGTTATTTATTTATTGCGAATTATTTTTAATTTATTTTAACGAATTTTTCAAGCCTTTTTCTCTGGAATGCCATAATTAATGAATTCAATTTTTCGAAACAACTTATTTTATCGAGATATTTTATAGAAATTCCTCCAAAATTTATCATTTTTATTGTTTGATTTGTTTTAACGAAACGAGAATTAAAATCGAGTGGAAAATTTTGGAAAATTCATGTCGAAAAATTCCTATAGAAAAACTTGTATAAAAACATGAAATTCTGCTGATGTTTCTGTGAAAAAATTCTATTGGACATTTTCAACTAAAAAAATGCGCAATGAAACTGCAAAATTCTTCAATAAAGTCGCCCAAACCCCAATACAATTTTCAATCAAAGTTCAATAGAATGGAACCCAATAGAATTTTCTAGCGAATTTACTAGGTTTTTCAATGAAATTTTGTCATGTTATCAGAGAGGCGGAAGACCCCATGTGCTCACCGAAACCCCGGACTCCTATTCCGAGAGTCGTACGGCTACCACAAGACAAGTGGCGATTTAATATCCCCAGGCGAAAGTAGAGACGCTGATTCTGAGCTGTGGGCTGACGCTGCTGCAGTGCCACTGCCAGAGAATTCAGCCCTCAACTCTCGAAAAGTCAATCTCTCCTCGACCCTGTACCATCGAATGATGGCGAAGAAACTGATGCTCAATAAACAAACAGCTTTCAACCAGAGTGGTGACTCCAATCTGGAGAGTGAGTTGTACAACGAACGACTCGAGGGCCTTCTGCCAGTGGAAAAAGTCATGCTTTGGAGTGAACAAGAGGCAACTGTCAAGCAAGTTACGCAGATTGCAACGTCCGCCTGTGCTGCGACATCAGCTGTCAATGCACTTCTCGCCCTCGATGTGCCATTCTCCCTCGAGGTTCTAGTCAAGAGCATTGCGACTAGACAGAGGGAACCTGGAAGCCCTCTACCTAGGTATCTCGTGAGCAGATCACAAGCTGGTGCGACGCACAAGGATCTCATTCGGGGATTGTCACTCGCTACTAATGGGGCTGTGATCTCAAAATTCTTTGACTTTTACCCGGAGAGAGCGATATCGTTGTCACACTGGCTGCATTATTGGATTTCTAAGGGTAATTTCTTTTTTATTCGTTGCGTGAAGGGGGATTGACGCAAATGACATTTCCACTCGTGCGAAAAAGCTTTAGGGAATGATCTAGGGAGTTCAGAAAATTCTGTTGAATATTTTTCATCAATAGATTTTTCTATGCAACTTATTCTGTTGATATATTGCTTATAAAAATTCCTCGGCTCAAATGTTTCATTTTTTTATGAAAAGAGGAGTAAACTTGGAAAATTCTTGTCGAGGAATTTCTATAAAAAATGTCCCATTAGAAAACGAATAGAAAGATGCAATTCTGCTGATTTTTTCTATAAAATACATAGTAAAATTGAGAAAATCCTCAAGAGAATTGGCCAAAAACTAATAGAATTTTCAATAGAAATCCAAAAGAATTTTTCATCTAATCGCTATGAATTTTTTGTCGTCTGTGAGCATTCGTTATTTCAATTACTACATTTCAATTTTTAATTAAACTCATTCTCATTAAACAATATAATACAATTAAGACGATTATTGTTAGAATCAATAACTCAATGGGTAGTTCGATCAATTAATAACATTCAATGATTTAATGATAAACTAAAATTGAAGGAAAATTTTCTCATTAGATATTTATTCTTTTCGAACTCTCTGCAAATGTCAGAGCTATGTAAGGATGGATTTTCTTATGAAATCACGTGCTGATGATGGATTTGCTCAAATAATACTAGTGCAATTGTCGTTAGTTAAAAAGAATATTTCAAATCAAGACTTTTTCATTGTCTCCAGGTGCTGCACCAATAGCTACGTTGAATCTCCAGAATTATGGAACAGGAACGAAAATACCTGATGCTTGGCATCACCAAATGATCTTCGGGGTCAGCCCAGCTGGCATCTACTTCACTAATCCACTTGAATGCCTTCCTGAGCATGTAATTCATTTGATTTAATGGAGATATTGAGGATTTTGTTGACATGATGTTTTTTGGGGTTTCTTTTAATCCATTGGACTATTTTATTTCTTTCCTCAGATTGTATGGCATCAACTGGTGAGCCCCAGTGTTCTATTGATTCGCCGAGCAGACGTTTTAGCACACTGGAATCCCACAACTGATTTGACACCACTTGCTCAAATGGATCATCGCTGGAGAAGGCTCAATGTTCTTGGTAATTATCATCTATTTGCTAGTAATCTATTTGTTAATTATTCTTCGCAAAATCATGAGGGGAAACTCCAGTAAATTGATTACGTCAATAATTGAAATTAATTAATAAAATTGAGTAATGGGAAGTTATTCATAATTTTTCAGTTGCAAAGATTAAATAGTTGGTAATAATTTAAGAGGCTCAATTTTCTCGTAAATGATTCTCTATTTCTTAAGTTCTCTACTCAAAATGATGAGAAAATTTTTAAAAATTGCTTGTGTCAATTGAAATGAATTAAAAATGAAAAAATTAAAAAACTACTAACAGTTATTCACTTGAAAAGATTGAATATCTGGAGCTAATTTAATAATAACGATAAAAGGATGATTTTTAATGGCATTAACAGGTCAAATAGTGAATATGATACGTGAATCAATGGATCCGAGACGTCCACCTGGATCACGTACCACTGGACCCACTCACATTCGCATACCAGCATCGTACAGCGCAGGAATAACCCTAGTGATGCGCTCTGAAGCACCTGCAGCTGATGAACTACTGAATGCCGAGCAGCTTCCTCTACTCTAGTCCGAACCTTGCAGATACTACTTTGATGGTAAAGAATTATCAAATGGGAAAAGCTGATGACTGGGGGATAATGGCAGTTATTAATGACGCACAGAACAGAACAGAATAGAAATTTACCAGTCAAATTGGGATAATGATTGTAATTAATTGTGGAATTCAGAAGGAGAGTGGTCGGAGGGATAAATCAATTTTATTTCACTCTAAATATCTCGTAATATCTCTCATGAATTTGTTAAACAAATTTTGATTCACTTTTGATTTTTTTTGTTCTGTTGAAATTTTTTCATAGATTATTGTTTCAATCAAAATTCAATAGAATTTCTAGAAATGCAGGATTTTTAAATCAAATTTTTGTCCAATTTTGCTGGACAAAAATGTTCCTCAAAAAGTTTACTATTCCCATTAGACTTCGAGATATTGGAAAAAAAACGATTCTGAAATTGATTTAATTCACTCCATTCTACCATTCCACAACTGAACAAAGATCTGATTTGAATGAATTAGGATTTACAATAGAATGTTCCAGTGATCTAGGGCCTCATTTTTCTGACAATGCAGAATTAAGCACATGAATCAAGAAGACAGTATATAGTTTTTCAGTTTTATAACTGAAATTTTCATAGCGTGTACTATTTATCAAATCAGATTCTCCAACGAAATAAAAAAATGAAAAAATTAAGAAAATCGCGTAAATATCAATTTCCTGTCATTGGAGACACGGAATGTGTTCAGATCAAATATTACTAATTTGTGTTTCGATTTTGTTATTAATCTGCAGCCAATGAGTATTCAGTGGCTGCTTTGGTATTACTGTATATATCTTATTCATAGATAATTAATTGGCCTGCAGTTGAGCCTCAAGTTGAAACGAGAAATAAATAATTGTTTTTCTTCTTTTCCAACAAATGAGAAAATTCGATGACTCTGTGATTTATGTTTGCATGGAATAAAGAGACAATCCTGAATTTCAATGAATTAAATTTCACGCTCATTTCCATTTATCATGATTTATTCCTCTATTTTATAACTCGACTGATTAGGACAGATCAACTCTTATGTCAATTAAACCTGGCTTCTGAGAGGAAGGAAATTCATTTTGGTTATTAATCCCTCTTTACAGGAGCATTAATGTGAATTATGTACAGGCATACATCACGTTCTTATTTCATCCAGAATTTATATTTAATGGTTGGCAATGGCAGTTCTCCTAGGACATACTGAAACCAAAGAAAACAATTAGTTTGAAAATAAGGGAAAATCTGCTTTCTTTCGGTGAAAAATGGTTTCACTCACCTTTCTATAAGTGATGCCCTCATGTTCGAGGTGATTGCAGCAGGTGTTGCCTCGTTAAGCTTGAATACACTCTCGATAACCGAAAGTTCAGTACCAGTGGTGTCCATACCACAAAAACTCGCCCAATCGTTCACTACCATTCCTGCTGCTATGATGTCACTCCCTCTGTTCACTGTTCCAGCCTGTAAAAAGGATCTTATGGTTAAATTTTAATCATTTAAATATAGATTAAAAACACTCCTCAACAAAAAAACTGTTTTTTAGCATAAACAAATACTTTTTTCATAAATTTGTGCCAGCAAAGCTCAAAAAATTAAAGCAGATTGGGAGTTTCTTCAGAGAAGAATGAATAATTTTCAAAAACAATCCCGTTTATTATAATTTGAGGTCAAATTATCGTAATGATCGTTACTGTTAATAAGAGTTGACACTACAACATAAACTCTAACGAATAATTCTCTGAGTCAATGATTTTTGTCTAAAGAATTGTGGCCAGATTTTTTAAAATTTGAATACTTATACAGAAATTTAAGTTCAATAGACATTTGATTAATTTAATTCGTTAATACATATTTTTTATTTCGTTAATAGATATTGAATCGAAAAAAAACAGATTTTGATTTTTCAGAACGAAATAATTCTTTCTATTAATTTTTTAACGCGTGTTGAAATTTTTTTTTCTGTAATTTCACGGAAAATTGAAGATACTCACAGCCAGTGGGACTTGTAGAAGGGATGACAACTCATCCTGATCCTGTATCGAGGTTTTGGGATGCACAAGACCCCCTTGGTTCGACAAAATAGAGTATGAACCTACGAGAACATTACTGGCCACTGTCTGTCTGAAAACTTCGACTTTCAATGTGTCCGCAAGAATCTCCTCGGTTTCCTAAATAAAACAAGTGGAAAATTGCACAGCTATTTCTGCAAATAAATCAGTAGTATGCTTCCGAATGGTCATTTGGTACGGCGTTTTCTGAATTATATCTCTTCTTCAATCAATTGTGATAGATTTCTTACGAAAATTCTTGTGTAAATCAAATTAAATGATGACATTGAAACGATTATTTTAAGCTATGAGTGAATTAATTAGAAGCATTATATCCGGAGGTATCTCCGGAATACGAAATTTTTGAAAGTGATCCCATATTCCATTTCAATGAATTTAGAACATTTTTTTAAATTATCCTGGGACAACCGATTTTTGAAAGAATTCGAAAATCCAAATAAATTAATTTGAACATTTGAACAAAAAATGAGATTAAATTCCATTGATCCATTAAAAAACAATTAAAGAAAACCTTGTCCAAAAAATCCGAAAGAAAAAAATCTGATATATTCATTTGTTTCAACATTTTATCTCGAGACAACTGGCAACAATGAAATTAAGTGACTAATTCATCCTGTGAATTATCGACTCACCCTGTCGAGATCCGGATGGACCAGAGCAACGTAATCATTGCACGCAATAACATTGCCAAGTGCAGAGAGCCTCTCCTCGACTCTCTGCACCTTAACAGAATCTGGTAATGAGTTGCGAATGTGTTGAAGTTCAATGTCCGTTGTTGTGTTTGGTACCAAGAGACCATTTTTGTTTCCTGGTGGAATTTAGAGCAATTATAGTAATTATTGAAAGTCTACATCATCTGCTTTGGGGATTTTTTGAACTTACCAACAGTCAGCCGACCAATGATCCTGCACCCTGCGATGGAGGCATGGATCACTGGCACTGTTTCGGATAATTCAGCCTCGAAGACACTAGAAATATCATCAACGCATTCAAATCTTCAATTCATTTATTATTCGGAACAAGTGCAGTGAAATAATAATTTTGTTCTATACTTGAAATCAGCTGAAAATTGAGTGAAAATTGTGTTTAGTGGTTCATTTTCAAGGACTTTCCTTGGGAGATATTGAATGTTTAGAATGCCATGAAAATTTCGGTTTATGCTCAATTAGACACGAGTTCAGTAAAATAGAGATTTTAATGTGCTATAAGCAGTACAGTAAAAATTGAAGATTTTTTTTCATTTTCAAGGCCTTTCCTCAATCGGCTGAAGATTTTGAAAATGTACCAAGTCGTAAAACCTATTTCGAATCATCTCAATAACTTGAAATCAGTAGAGTGAAAATTGAGTCCTTAGACTTTTTCTTTCATTTTCAAGGCCTTTTTTCAAGCTTTAAAATAAGATTCAGCTTGTCGAAATTATATAATTAGTTCAGAAGATATTGAAGATTTCTAGCGCATTAAAAAATTCAATTTATCACCGATCAAGAAATAATGCAGGAAAACAGAAATTTTTCACGTTAAATATCTCCAAATCTGGGGAGGAAAAATTCACTATTTCTCATCATCGTTCTCAAGGTCCTTTCTGAAGCTCCAAAATGAGACACGTCTCGTTGAAATCAGAGCATTAGTTCGTGAGCTATTAAAAATTTACAAAAATCCATTCCGATGAATTTTCGTCTCGTTGTCTTTAGCGATGAAAATAATTGACTTGTTCATTGTTTACCTGTAGAAATTTTCTGAGCCACCGATAGCCACAAGACAGTACGAATTCGTGAGTTTGGAAAACACGCCGACTTCATTGCTGTTCTCGAATTGTACTCTTACTGCCATTTTTTCCTCACTGAAGATTATTCACATAAACTGCGGAATTACCGAGAATTTTGATGATGTGTTTCGAGAAGCTGGAGATCAGTAATTTACTGTCAAAAATTCGGTGGCTTCGGTTAACCTCAAATCTTCAAGTGTCTTGACGCTGGTAGCACGAGGCTTTGCTTCACCACGGAGTATATACCACGTGTAGACTCTGCCGAGTGTTTAGCTTGCGTGACCTTGCGCAATGGCAACAGTTTGAGAGGCAATAGAATGAGTCATGTGGTCGGCATTCTAGAAATCGTTGTTTCCACTTCGGGGAATTGGAAGCCATCAGTGTTGACATTTCAAATGATTGCGCGAAAAACGGCAAGAATTCAGAAACAGACATCGGCATAATCATAATTTTTTTTTAATTCGACTGGATTAAAAAAAATTGTTTCATTTGAAAATAGAGAAAAGTAGAGTATCCAATGAAGTCACATGGATGTACGGAAAATATGTGATACATTTCTTTATTACGGTTTCTCATTGTAGTGACAAGCAAAAATTGAACTTTAATTCATACATGAAAAAATTGATAGAAGGACCTATCAAACGCTAGACGATTCTACTAGATTTCTATGGAATTTTCTATTAGTTATTAGGCCGATTATATTGAAATGTTGAATAAAAAATCGAATATTTTTCGACAATATTTTTCTATTGAGATATTTTCTACAGAATTTCTTCGACTCACATTTTCCTAGTTTTCCCTTTGATTCCATCAATGAAAAGAAGATAAAAATAGAGTGGACAAAACCCATGGAAAAATTCATGTCTAGCAATATCTGAATAGAATAAACTATCCTGAAAAACCAGTTTAATTGATTCCATCTCTAAAATATTTTCTCTAACATTTCCATTATTGGAAAACAAAATCTACAGGAATCCAATAGAATTTTCTGCCGAATGCGCAATGCGTTTTTTCATAAAATCCTCACTAGTCAGCCCAATTAATTCAAATGATCCCGCTCTTGAAGAGTAACACCGCACATATAGTCCAACTGACGAGTCCGTCCCCTTCGTAGCTAAACCCACTTTGGCCAATCGCACGCACACCCCTATCTCCCACCTCCAAAAACGAAGGGAACGGACTCGTCAGACCGACAGTGAGACGAGACAGTAAATGTTGGTGGTCACGTCACAGTCTGAAAATAATCACTAAATCGTGTCAAGAAAATTTATTCCGTATCGACAGTTGTCTCCCCAACATCCCCCGTAAAACCCCAATCATTCGAGATAAATCATTCGAAAATGGATAAAATGAAGGTGAGTTCATCGGGTCTGGAGCTTCCACCCCTGCGTAGCCTGGACGACTTCGTCCTGGAGTCGGCTCGCTTCCAAATTCCGAACTTCCGAGACCTAGACAAGTGGAACAACAGAGTTGTACAGAATCTGCTGTATTACCAGACCAACTACTTCTTCATGGCTATCATCATTTTTCTGATTGTTGGGTGAGCAAAATGTCCATTCGAACGAATAACGAACATTCATCAGCAGGAATCAGTGCAGAGGGATTCGTTAATTCCAGGTTAATTCACCCCGGTAAAATGCTACTGGGGATGGTAGCAATGGCTGTTGTGCTCGTGATTTTTGCCTACATGTCGACTGAGGGAAGAGCCGTGCACATTTTCAAGAAAAAGAATCCCATGGCTGGGTTGATTGTCATTATCTTTGGAACTGCCTTTGTCGCGTATACACTTGGCTCACTTCTTGTCTTCCTCGTCGGCATTCTCTTGCCTTTCTGTGGTAAATAATCCTTAAATTCCATGTACATGAGTAATTGAAAATGATAGGACACGTGTGGAAAAATTTTGGGGAAAAACAGCCTTTCAGAAAATTCTAGTCGAGGTCTATTAGAATTCCATTGAATGATTCTGTTTTTTTAGGGATCGATTCTATTAAAAATTGTGCAACGTCCCCTGCGTTTTCAACGGATATTTGTTTATGGAAAAATAGGTACAGAGGTTAATTTTTCTATCAGATGTCAATTTTTTTCATTCGGATCCTGCAGCAGTTTTAATAGAAAATAGCTCAAGGGAAAAATTCAAACAGAAAAATCGAATTCTATTGACTTTTTCCTAACAAGAAATCTAATTTTAACGAGAATTCTCTAGAATTTTAATAGAATCCCCATAGAATTTTTAGAGAATTCCAATAGAATTCTCTAGCGAATTCGCTAAGGTTTTCTATTGAATTTTTCCATACGTGAACGCTTTCCGGCGAAAACTAATTTTCGAAAAAAATCGAATTATTTCACTTTACTACTGAATTTTCATGAGAAGTCCTCTAGAATTACGTTGGAACTCTAGGTCCTTCCTATTAAATTTGGTTCCACGTATTTCAAAATTGATCTGTCGGAAAATACAATAGACACATCAATTTCTCAATTAATTCCTGAAATAAAAATGAATGACTCGCACTATTTCCATCAGTGACCTTCATCCACGCCTCCCTGAGACTGCGAAGTATTAAGAACAAAGTGGTGAACAAAATCGAAGGAATTGGACTGAAACGCACCCCAATGGGTGTCTTTTTGGAGCAGCTTGGTATGGAGCAAGACCTCTTCGCATAAAAATTTCTCAATTTGCAAAGAACTCAGTTTATTCCGCAAAAGAGATTGTTGATAGAGCAAAAATATTCAGAGATTTATGGAAAAATAACTCAGCCATTTTTAACGTATTATTTCTGACACTAATAGCTTAATCAATCTCACGCCAGTGATTTCATTTGTCGTTAATTATTTGAGTCCACTAAGGATTTATAGATACTAACGAGAGAATATTCAATTTATTGAATCAAGTAGTGAAAAATATTTTTGTAATCATCGATTGCTGACAATCTGCTGTACCTAAAAAATTCTAATCACTTCTGCTTTTATCATTTAATCGTGATTATTTTGTTCATTTGCAGACAACTCGTTAACGCAATTGTTCACAAAGCTTGAATCATACGAGAATGATATTAATAGTGATGATGACGAGAGGCTAGAAAAGAATAAGAGAGATTAGGTAATTAAAATTGAAATGGTTGAAGCATTTGATTACTGTTGCGTTAACTCAATAGTGAAGTGGTGAAACGAGACAATTGGGATTCTGCATAACTTTTCACACACCAAAAAATTTCATCGAAAATTCTATTGAACTTCTATTGGAAATGTATTCAAGAATTTCACAGCTTTGCTGTGTTTTTTCTTATGGAAAATGTCCAATAGAAACTATTTTACAGAAAAATTTTCATTTAGACATTTTCTACAGGAATTCGTCGACATGAATTTTCCAAGTTTTTTTTACTCTATTTTTTTTCTTTTCACTAGAAAATCAAACAAAACATATTGGAAAATTTGGGCCGATGAATTTCTAAAAAACAATTTTTTCTATCCGACTATTGACTTTTTCGATAGAGCATTTCTATAAAAATACCGAAATTCAATAGAAATTCAACAGAATTTTTCAGCAAATTTCTCCATACGAAAATTGGATGATCAATATTAAAGCTAAATTATGAAGAATAAATAATGTCAAAATGATTTCTGATAATTTTTCAAAATGAAAAAAATACGTATCTGCTATTTTTTATTCGATTCTCATATTTCATTGTTTTATTCAACAGAAACTTTCATGTAACAACCCATGCCACACAAAATAGGTTTTTACGAAAATTTCCCATCTCATTTTACCATTTTGTTATTGACAAATCGTGCCACTTCACTATTGAACTCATGACTCTCATCCACAAATCTAATTATTTTACTTCACTTTTTTTTTCGGTGTCACATGGTACAGATGACGTTAGCGGCATTAAATTACGAGCTCAGCCGAGTTACACGCTAAAACCACAACATTAATCAGCTTCAAGCATACAAAATCGTCACTCACTTCTGCAAGAATTATATTTATATTTTTATTCACATCTCGTTGCTGCGCGATGTAGAATTTGATTATTCATCACGGGGTGAAACATTGTTAGTTGAGATACTCTGGCTCCAAATAATGCTTCAATCGATTCATAGATTGTGATAACAGTGATACTAATCCGACCAAAATTTATTTAAATTCATACGGAACTGTTTATATAGTTTACCACAATATTTTTCGTGAATAGGTTCATAATTTCCTGTTTTCCAATTCACTGCTGAATTTACTGTCAAAATGTACATAGTATGAATCAAATGGTTGATTAATGTGCTGTACACATTTTAATGAAATTATTTTTCTTCATTGTGTGATGTTACTTACATATTATAATTACCTATTATACCAAATAAACGAGAATTATTTGTACGAGTTAAGATAATTAATTGGACTCGATTAATCGTTTTCTTCATCTTTTTTATTTGAACATTTTCATTGAATTCACTGAGAAACATCAGGGAATGTTAGTAAAAATGACGATATATTAAACAAATTTCCTCGTAATGTTGAATTTCTTCTTTAATGTTGGAAATATGGATGAGTTGAATAAAATATTTTCTATGAAAATAAAGGAGTAACGGAGGAAGACTGATTCTTGTTCCTGCTACCCTGAAAGTAATGCAACAGAATGAGACGATTTCACGTGAGGATCACATGTTTTATCAACTTATCCTGAAGTTGCCTCATCCTGTTTTATCACTTCACCACTGAAGTGTAAGGAAGAACCGAGACATCAGTTGACTGAGGCGAGATATGGAATAGTAATAATTAAATGTGGCAGTATCGAAAAGAGAGATTCGCATAATTCTTCAATTTTCTACCATTTACCCAGCAGGACGAGTCTGCATTGTGAGCAAAAAATTTTCATAATAAATGGCAGTGTCCCAGCTTTTGTCATTTCAATTCGAAAAGTACTTCACGACCTCTGCTGCAAACACCTTCTTCATTAAAAAAACTCACATCTACTGCTTTAAACTTTAGTGATGAATACTGTGTTCGAGGGGTAGAGAATGGTGTCAGACAGCAGAGTTTGCGATGGCAGAGCACCCACGTTGGTCTTGGGGAAGGGAATTAGGTAGGTGTGGTCTGATGGAGAGTAGCCCATCTCCTCCATTCGTTTTATGAAGCCCTGCAATCCAAACGCATGGAAATCAGTCACTCAATCAATTGTAATCGCATCTGATTTTAGTTGATGAGGATTTACCTCTATTGTGTCGTTGGCACACATGGAAACTGCCTCCTTGCCTCCGGAGGGCAGTCGGAGACACAGTCTGAGAGAAGGTTCTCCATTTTCTACAGCGACTAGAGTCATATAAATTATTTTCAACATGCACGTGGTTTTTTTATTGAAGAGAGAACGCTCTGGGGCCTTCATCAATCGTGCTAATGAGTTTACTACTTCAGTTGTAATGATTTCGGAATATTAAGAGATAAAGGATGGCAAAAGAAATTTTAATTGACACTTTAATGATTTACTTTGCACTTCATTTTTAATAATTTTTTAGGTTTTCCACCTGTAGCAATTTTGAGAAAAAAATCGAAAAAAAATGAAGATTTTTTAAAAGCCTCATTAAGTTACATTTGAAAATTCCATTAATTAAAAAAATCAAACCACAATTTTCTCATTTTATATTAAAATTGAAGTAATAAAATCATCAGCACGATAAAGATTTCTGCGATTTTGAAATTTTAGTGCGGTTTCCCCTTAAAGTACATCACATTTTTCTCCCTCAATTTAATTTACATAAATACTTCGATATGCTGAAAAATTGATGAATGAATAAAAATTATACCTTCCACTGGTTTTGTTGAAGATTCTGGAACATTTTTACTTGTTGAACTCTGCAATAACAGAAGAATCATGAATTTAATGTTTTAAACACGAGATTTCAAACAAAATATTGAATAAAGTGTCATTTTTACTTCTTCCACAACAACAGCTTCATCACTGTGACTCATCTCAGGTATTTCTTCGGCAATTTCTATTCTCGATCGTTTACCCCGAATTGCTGTGCTTGAACTAGTGGCTAAGCCCGTTCTACTGCTCGAAGCTAAAAGAAATTTCCCAAATTATTATTCATTTTAATTATTTTTCGAATTGATAACGCATTTCAATACTTTGAATCTTTTCATACGTCGATATCCTTAAAATCTGAGTTATGTTTATTCTACTTTAAAGATCTTGAATACCTGCACTCGATGTTGGAATATCAGCATTCTTTGATTTTTTAATTCTCCTCCCAGAGTCTTTGCTCATCGAATCGGCTCTTGAACTACGTTTAATTGATGAGGAAGGCTCGCAATGGGACTCCTCGACTTTGGGGGAGTTGGAGCTGCATTCTGGGGAAGGGTAAGTACTCAGCATGTCGTTTAGACTTGTGAGGAGACCATCGACTGTGATGCTGGTGTAGGATTTCAGGCATTCACCTGTTCTGGGGTCCACTATCGCCAGGTATGGGTACTCTGTTACGTTGTAGAAGTCTATGTAACGTTTTCCGTCAGATGAATTGGATAGTACCTGATGGAAATAAAATTTAAAAAATAATAAAATAATTGATGACTGAAATTCTCGATTGACTATGAATTAAGTAATTGACAATATGGAATTGACAATATGAAATCATACACAACATTATCTTGCATATGAAGGGGTTTATACGAGAAAACGTTGTTTCCCCATCGTTAATTACTCAAAACCCTAATGTTTAAAAAATCTGAAATTTTGACCAAAAATTATCAATGAAATGACAAGAATTTTGGCACCAATTAGAGTTTGTTTTTCTCCATAGTTCAGCGGTTATTTATATTTTTTTAAAAGACAAGTGTTGAAAATGACAAAAAATCGCTATTATTCATGTAAATATTAGCAAATGGATATTAGAGTGATTATCTTTTCTATTATTCATCTGTTCCCATTGTATAATTAGAGAAATAAATATTTTTTACCCAAAAAGTCGTACTGAAGGTGAATATACCGAAATTTTCCTGTTATAAAAATTATTTTCATTGTTATTTTAGAATTGTTCTTCTCGATTTTTTAAATTTACTGATGTCCGCATTAAGACCATAATCTAATGACGGTCATACCTGCCACAGGATGAAATGATCCTTGATAATCTCCTTGATCTGATTATCCGGCCAGACGTCCCTATTTAATATCTGGCACGAGAACTCCTGTGGATTTTGGACATTAACCAGCAGCCAACGATTTATCGTCTTCGCCTGCTCCCTCGCCTCAACGAAAGACCCCATGAAGAGTATCTCATAAGGTGGTCTGAACAAATCCTCAAGTCTCTTGGTTTTGCTGTGCACAGCTCGATTGTTCCCAGTGACTTTCCTCGTCATCTCCTCCTCCTGTCTGCGAATCTCAACTGAGAAGTCGCGAAATCTGTCGAAGACGTTGGAGGAGGCTCTGGGGAACGAGCAAACTGCCTCGGTGGGGACTAGAACTTCCCTCGTGGGCAAGATCGGCGGGCGTACTTCAGGCTCCTCTGGGGGAAGAACTGCATCGAGGGGTGCCCCTCCACTCTCGAATAACAGGCTGATTGCATTCTCAACGTTACCCTCCGCTAGGGTCAGGTATTGGATAGCACTGGCTTCACCTTCCCCTGATGAGGCATCAGATCATGGATAAAGAATTCAATTTACTATTCAATTTACATTCGGCCTTATAGATTTTTTTTTCTATACAAAATAGACTCATCACTCATGAATCCGTGAGGAATGCAAGAAGTGCAAATTATTGAAATGTAAATTAGAAATAGAAATTATTTAAATTATCAAAATTGATTGGCCAATTTAAAATTGTAGAAATTGTTGTAATTTCTTAGATATAGCTGCACTTATAGCTATAGAAATGGATTTAGTGAGCGATATCTATAAGTGTACTTATAAAAATTCATAGCTGTAGTTATAAATAGTTGTAGTTATGTACTACGCCCCCTGCTCGCTCCGCTCGCCAACCCCCAGTACCCCCATGACGCTTACTCTAACCCTTGTGACCCTTAGTTTCCTGACGCTTAATTTTGGAGTCGTAATTTCAAGTATAAAATTTTCGTCACTAGAAGTCGATTTGGATTTTTATAATATAGTGAGATAACTATTTATACTTCTATTATAAATGGAAGTAAAAATTAGACCAGATTCATCCAAATCGTCTATGATTGTTATGTATTGTTTCTGTAATTTTTGCAATTATGGAATCTCGATATATCATGTGTGAAATTCTGGATATAAAGTTGTCTCACAGCGGATTTTCCTAAATAAATTATAATTCTCATCGTTTATGGGGCATTAAAAATCTTCAATATCAATATTTTTACATTTTTAATCCACGAAAAATCGCAAATAAAATGAAATTCTGAAATTATCTGAATGACATGAAAGACTGAATATTTGCATTCAAGTAAGAATAGACAAAACATTAGCCTGCATAAATGCTCATTCCCCCAATAAATAATTAAATTACCTGTAATTTCAATGAACTTTTCAATCGCAGTCCTGTCCATCTCAGCAACCAAACCAAAAATTTCAAAAAATTCTCGCAGACGGAAAAAAAATCAGAATTATTTCAGACGTTTTGGGTGAATCTGTTGAGCACTGTCAGCGTTTCAGGTCCATTTCGAACGATTGGAGCTCCCGAAATTCAGTGAAAACTTGGTACTTCAAGCATAAGAAAATCCGTTACAGATCTCCTGCTGCTTTAAAAAACCCTCTCAACAGAGTAACAAACACATAAATCTATGAATTCACCTCAAAACAATTAATTAATCAAAAAGTTGTTGATGTCCGTGGATCGACGATTAGGCAAACATTCGAAGTCCGGGAATTGTCTGTCAGAGGGCCTTCCCACGCATGCGCAGTGGAGTTCACTTTATGCGCAAGCACTCTGTCCAAATGAAAATTTTTCGAACAATATTTCCAATTTTAGTTGGTACCTAAATTATTATCCTTAGATAACAGTTTAGGCTGCGCTCGCCAACTCCCATAATCTTTTATTCTGACCCTTGTGACCCTTATTTGGACTCTCGTGACTTTCAATTTTGGAGTCTGAATTTTCAGTACCAAATTTCCATCACCAGGAGTCGATTTGTATTTTTATAATATAGAGAAATACAACACTAGTTAACGGAAAACACTTCCAACGCACAAAAGGGAAAGCTAATTTCCATTCAGTCGTTCGTGTCCGTTAAACGCCGTTTACGGACATTGTGAAGAAAAATGTTGTTCATTCCTCGGCCGAAAACAACTTTTCTGACTCGTGTGATTGCATTCCTCGCACTCGTCAGAGAATTTCTTTTCGGCCTAGTGATGAAAATAGTTTTTTCATCACGCTGTGACGAAAAGTGAACTTTTCGGCACGCTCCGCGTGCCTAAAAGTCCAATTTCCGCCACATTGTGATGAAAAATATAGTTCGTAACTCGTGAAAAAATGTCTTTTAGCTCGTGGAATTATATCACTCGCCTTCGGCTCGTGATATAAACCTCCCACTCGCCAAAAAACACTTTTTTGCACTCGTTACGAAATATACTATTTCGGCTGTGTGACAAACAAATATTATCGTCATAACGGCGGTAGGCAGGGATTACCTTACGGCCGGAATGAAAAAAATCTAATAAAACTATTAATGAACAGTGATTTTTTTTAAAATTCATTGAATGTATTAGTCCTTCAGGATTATTTACAGCGATAGTTACATGTAATTTGTTGAAAATTGAATACATTATGTCTTTGGTTGTACGCTCTAAATTTGAATTTTACATTTTTGGAACAACACTGATCGATCACGTAAATTAGTATTTACGTGAATCAAAGTTTTTTCAAATGATTTCACGAGTAATATTTCTAAAAGTCTAAAACCCATGTTTTATCGCATTGGATGCCATCGAATCACAATTTCACAAACATCTCTGCTATTCACATGTTTCTCGCCCTACAAATTTGTTTTCACTTCACACGATTGTGTCCTTAAAAAGGAAATCCTCAGTTTTTTGTCCTAAGCAACCCCCAGAAATGATGTCTACCTCGATTAGAGCCAGTAACGCATATCCAGGAATGAGTCCCCATCACTTTTAATATTCGCGAGGGGAGGTTCGTCGTAGTGACGGTCACGATGCTCCGGAATTAGTGATTATGGCCGAGACAGATCCAGCGACGACTCCATCGACATCTGGAGCTGTCGACCAGGAGAAGAAGGAGGACGACAAGAAGGAAGCTGATACCAAGCGGACTGTTCTCGAGACTCATGGCTACACCCTGGGTGAAATTATCGGCACTGGGTCGTATGCTACCGTTAAGGTAATTTTTATTCAAGCTTTGTTCATTAATTTTTTTGCTTTTGAACGGAAATTTTATAATCGTTCAAATTGCAGTTTTGGATGTTTTGTGGTATATCAATCCATTATAATCCAAAAAGTCCAAAACTTGTACATTTCATCACTTGTACGTTAAATGAAATTTTACGTGCGCAAAATCCCACTTTCTTCATACTGTGATCAGATTGCGTTTGACACTCGTGGGAAAAATGTTCTTTGACCCTTGGGTACACATCTCCTACGAGTCAAAAAACCCTTTATGTGATACCCGCCTGAAAAGTGCACTTTTCGAAACGGTTTGGTGTGCGTAAAGCGGTTGTTGTCCCCACAACGTGCGTAATGTTCACGAGTGTACGTAAAGTGAATTCTCGTGCGTAAAGCTTCGTTCCGAACAGTGAACTCGGCAGGTGTTACAAAAAATAGGTTGCGCGTGCGAAAAAGTGGAGCTTTGCGCACTAGTAACATAAGATTAGTCTAATAGTAATAGTTCAACAATAGTTGATGCACTTGTATCGAAATATACTATTTTTATTGAAGCTGAGGATTATTTTGAGATAAATAAAGATTGGGTTGTTGTCCTGAAGAGGATCTCCGTTGGAGATCGAAACGTTGACAAGCAAAATTTGATTTTTGTTGTTTTTTTTACCGACGACCGCCAGGCCAATTAATATAACTTCACACAAATGATATTTTTACGCACTTGTATCGAAATAGCTATTTTCGTCACCAGGGTTCTGAGGGTTGCCGACCGAGGCGAAGTCGAGGAATGCAATTACACGAGTCAGAAAAGTTGTTTTCGGTCGCGTAAACTGTGTTTGACGAACACAAAGTGTTCGTAAAACCACATTTTACGGACAGTGTGACGAAAAATGATATATATACGATAGAGGAAAATAATGTGCAAAATGGTCATTCGAAAGCTAATCTATTGATAAAAATAGCCATGCTAAATATATGAAGATAAAAGCAACGTCCCACATATTTTTCTTAATGACCCCTTGATAATTTCAAACAGCTCGCGAATTCGGATAGGCACGAGTGTCCAGTTGCCGTGAAAATAGTCTCGAAATTTCAAGCACCCAGTGATTACCTCAAAAAGTTTCTACCCAGGGAAATAAAAGTAGCGAAAGGTTTGAGACATCCGAATTTGATAAGGTTCCTCCAGGCTATCGAAACAACACATCGGTTAGTTGAAGCAGAATTTAGTGCCGACTTTTGATGAGTTCACATGCAGAAAAAATTTCGCAGAAAAACCTAGCGAATTCGCTGTAGAGAATTCTATTGGATTTGGCTAAAGAGCTAATTATAGACAGTTCAGTAGAAATTCAATGGAATATTCTATCGAATTTTCTAGATTTTTCTGTGATTTTTTTTTCGTACGTTTTCGTTCTTATAATGATTCATTTAGTGTTTATATCATCATGGAGTTTGCTGAGAACGGCAGTCTCCTAGAAATCATCCGACGTGACACTTATATCGATGAAGACAGAAGTCGCAAGTGGTTCATTCAACTTCTCAGTGCCATTGATTATTGTCATGAGAAGGGTGTTGTTCACAGGTAACATTAATTAATTAATTGATTATTTAATCTGTTTGAAAGGAATCAAGTGAAAATGCAGCAATTTCACTCCAGAAAAGATCAGTTTTTTTAAATATATCAAACCTTATTGGTTTGTAAACCTTATAGAGTGCCAATAGAAATTCGATACAATTTCTTAGACAAACCTGAAGAAACTGTTTATCCATTAATAAAAATCTGAGAAAAAAATTCAAAAAAGGGACATAAAATGCGAAAATCTGCTCCTGGACCAACACTCAAACTTGAAGCTATCTGATTTCGGATTTGCGCGTGGTCACATGAAGACGAAGAATGGTACAGCATCGCTGAGTGAGACCTTCTGCGGGAGTTATGCCTACGCATCCCCTGAGATCCTCCGAGGGATTCCTTACGAGCCGCATTTATCAGACATCTGGTCTCTGGGAGTAGTTTTGTATGCAATGGTCTATGGGAGACTGCCCTTCGATGATAAAAATTACGCTCAACTGCTCAAGGTATATTCGCATATTCTCGTATATTCGTCAGGGCTGCCTTAAGAAAGGGTCACAAAGGTCAGAATAAATGAATAAATGCATAAATTAAAAAAGTAAGAATTAAAATTAAATTAAATGAAAAAACTCAAAATTAATAAATTTTTCTATAAAAATTTTTCAATAACAATAACACTTGTGTTTAGAAAATAAAAATTTATTCGTCTATTCCTATTGCAGATATTTCTACTGAATTCTTCTATTAACAAAAAATGTACAGAATAACTCAAATTCTCAATGGAAATCAATCGAAGTGACGAACTATTCGAATTGGCAATAGAATCCTCTCTTGACATCTCAACACATGCCCATTCCTGTAAAAATTAGAATTTATCATTGAAAACCAAAAAATTCTATTCATCATTTCAGCAAGTCCAGAGTAAGGTGACATTTCCAAAACTGCCGAAGGTATCCTACGCATGCAGAGCTCTGATAAACAAAATCCTGGTGCCCCAGAGGGCGAGAGCTAGAATCCAGACAATAAAAGAAGATCCTTGGCTGATAATTCCAATGATATCAGTGCAAACGTCGATATCGAATAAATCATTACTAAAGAATGATGAGAATAGTGATGGGGATAGGAGGAGCTGCTCTCGAGGGGATTCCTCCAGGCAGTTGGAGCCTTCTGATGGCCAGGAGAATGTGAACTGATGATGATTCTGTGGATTATTCTTGGGATTGAACGTGCCCCTTGACATTTGTAATAAAAAATTGTTTATTTGGCAACAAAACTTATGGGATTTCCCTGAGACTGAGACTAGTGGTACTGGGTGATTTGTGGAGTATTCTGGCCAGTCATATGTTTGATCGATGCTTGGCAATCATCAACAGGATTATTGTGCTTAGTACGAAGATACCAGCGGATGTGGCGTTGTGACTGTCTGCAGGGGAATTTTCTGTAAGAAAATAACATTTTGATAAAAAGAAATATTCAACAATATCTTTAATAAATATCGTATTCTCTGGTATAATTGATTCGAATTTTTTATTGCTTTCGAATGGCAGCTTCGTAATCGCTCAAATTTAAGATTCCTTTTTTTGTGTTAGGGTAACTAAATGTGGCAGACATCCACAGAATCATAGATTTTAAATAAAGTTAAATTTTGAAGAAGTCAATAGCTAATACTATATACTATGACATGAAAAAAAAAATAGAAGAAGAGAAGAGTGAAATACTAATTCAAAAAAAAATCCATTCGGAAGCCATTTGCTAATTTATTAGGAACAATAGTTATACTCATTTATTTTTAAAAAAATGCAACTATCCAGTTTTTTTTCTTTACCATCTAAGTCCGGCCGTTGGTCCCAGTTCAAACTTCTGTCCACTGCTTTTTTCCATTGACTATAAAGTATAAGTCGTTCTGTAATAAATCAATGAATTCATTGAGGGGGAAATGACCAGAATTTAATAAGAATAGATTTTTGGGTATTTTATTACCATCTTCTGTGATGAGTGGCAGGAAAGTATCACTTGGAACAGCTGCGTCAAATTTAACGTCCCATTTTTTGATTCCTTGAGCCATTCCCGCTGCCATGGCAGCACCCAGGGCTGTGGTTTCACTCATCAGTGGCCTGACTTCCTTGTTAAATTAATGAAATCGTTTTTTAACCCTTTTTTTCACACAATTTATGAAATTTGTAGAGGCACTTACCCACTGATATTCCGCAGATATCTGCCTGCATCTGCATCAATAAATTGTTATTCGACATGGCACCGTCAGCGAGTAGTTTTGTGAGAGTCACCCCAGTGTCCTGGGTCATGGCCTCCAAAATATCTCGAATTTGAAAGCAGACTGCTTGCAGAGAAGCTTTTACTATGTGTGCACTCGTTGTGTTCTCAGTTATTCCGCAAATCACACTGAAAAATATTTAATTCAATACTATTCACTCAATAGATTAAACAAATATTGTTAGAACAAGTGATTTTTGCATTCAGTGTCATATTGTTTTATTCAATCCTCTTTAATTGATTGGAGATTTATTTCCAAACATTCTCTTTTAATTAGGAAAAAATAATAATTTGATTCCAATAATTAAGAGTAACTATTCCATTTTTCAATTGCTTGCTTTAACATTAAATAAAAAATTATGAACATTACGTTTTTGCGTCTTTCTTCCAGTATGGAGCATACAGCCCCGAAAATGCAGGAACAAATGTCAGATGATTTCCGGATGGAATTTGCTCGGCCATGGCCTCAGACTCCTTCACATCAGATAATAAATGCAAATTTTCTTTCAGCCATTCTAATACTCCCCCTGCTATGGCTATTGAACCCTCCAGTGCGTAGATTGGGGGGGCTTTTGGTCCTAATTGATAAGCCACTGTGGTCAGTAAGCCATGCCTAGACTGCACTATCTGAAATGTCATTAAAATCCTTGACGAATGAATTGAATTCAACTGAAATGAGTGAGTTGTCATTGGGAAAGTTTGAATATTGGAGGAACTCACAGCAGTCCCTGTATTATACAGCATGAAACATCCAGTTCCATATGTGCTTTTCGCCTGCCCTCTCTGGAGACACATCTCACCAACCAGAGCTGATTGTTGATCTCCTAAACACTGCAAACACTTCAGTTGATTTTTATTTATTCTCATTTTCATATTTATGAATTTTTTTGTGAATTTTTATTCATGTTTATTCTTCATCTCCACTATTTTGGGGATAGACGCATGAAAAAATTTAATAGAAAAACCTAGCGAATTGGCTAGACAGTTCTGTTGGATTTGAGTTGAACTTTCCATTAGTTTATAAAATGTTTTATAGAAAAAATCAATAGAATTCAATTTTTCTGCGCAACTTATTCTATTAAGACAAGATTGTTCAGTAAATTTGATTACTACTTACCCCTGATATGGGCACTCCTTTCAGCGTCCCTTCATAGATATTCCCATAAATCTCAGATGAACTTCTAATCAGGGGAAGAATGCCCCCTGGTATTTGGAAAAAACCTAGGAGAGTTGGATCCCATTGCAAAGTTGTGATGTTCATTAACATTGTGCGCGAAGCATTTGTGACGTCTGTAGTGTGGGCACCACCATTCACACCTCCAGTTAAATTCTGTAATTATTATTAAATAATTATAATCATGATCGTATCGTTATGGGGGATCTAATTATTATTTTTTTAAACATCAAAGTCCTCGTTAGACTGTACATTTTATGAAATAAAAACCTGACGTATATGTGGAATAAAAATACTGACCCATATAAGCCACGAATCAATAGTACCAAACATGCACCTCCCACAATCAACAGCCTCTCGAACCCTATCCACATTATCCAACAGCCATCTCAACTTTAAAGCACTAAAATAAGGACTAATTGGTAGACCACACAGTGGCTTGAGGTAGTTTTTATTCCGATTACGAATGCCCCTTAAAATATCATCGACAATCGATGTTGTCCGCATGTCCATCCACACTGCAAAATCAAATGAATATTCAACCGACTGTCACATGGATTGTCTCCTCTCAAATGAGGTATTTAATTCACCTATAGCGTTATATAAAGGCTCTCCCGTCGTGGAATCCCATACTACTGTCGTCTCCCTCTGATTGGCAATACCGATAGCAACGATGTCACTTGGGTCAATCCGCAATTGCTGGAGATTGACAACTGTCTGGTTCAGGCATTCTCTGACTGCTGTGAGGATCTCGAGGGGATCCTGCTCAACCCATCCTTCCTTCGGGTATGATAGGGGTATGGCAATCTGATGGTATGTCAATACTTCAGAATTATCCGCTGCAAATACCTGCAATAATGGAGAATTGGTTATTTGGAACACAATCTACTTTTCAATTTAATGAGAATGAGGTAAAACTGTTTCATTACAAACATTTAATGTGAGAACTTCGACGATAAAATAAGATATCGATAACATCGATAACTAACAACATCGATGACTTCAATGAAGGAGCCCTATCAGTTGATAAATTAATTTATGAATTTCTTTATCTCTCTAGTAGGGTGCTAAACCCCCTGCTCGCTCCACTCGTCAACCCCCATGATTCTGACCTTTAATCAGATCCTTGTAACCCTTAATTTGACCCGCGCAGCCCTCACCACCTGTGACCCTTATTCTGACCCTCATGACCCTTATGACCTCTCTTCTGAACTGATGACCATTATTTTGACCCTTGTCACCCTTCATTGTGGCGTCGTAATTTCGAGTACCAAATTTTTATCATCAGAAGTCAATTGCGATTTTTCTAATTTAGAGAGATATTGTGAAAATCCAATTGGACTTCTGGTGATAAAAATTTGGTACTCGAAATTAAGACTCCGAATTTAAGGGCCACAAGGGCCATGAGAGTCAGAATTCGCTAGGTTTTTCTATGAAATTTTTTTAAAAGGTAATTACGAATTTATAATAGAAATACATAAATATTAAAATGCAGAATTAAAATTATTTGGTCACAAACAAAATCAGTCAACTGTATTGTACAATGTTTTAATTTTTAGAAAATTAATCATCAATGGAATTTTTCAAATTTTCAAATATTTGATAAATTAGTATTTTATAAAATCCAATTGAGAAATGTAAAACCAGTCGTTTGATAATAATTGAGAGATAAAAATTATTGTCTAATTTTAATAACAATCGGGGAACTTTAATTGATTTAATGTAAACTTCTCTAATAATTACTAAAGTAATGAGTTTCGTCGATCCCTGATTAATATAAAAAATAGCTATGCTATGCGAAGACAAAAGCAATTTTCCACTTGTTTCAACGCAAAAATGGTACGAACGGACTTATGATGTATTATATTATCTACCGTAACGAATTATATTGTGATTGCATACCAAAAATCTGACACTGCTAGTTCCCTCATCGATAGCTCCAATCAGCGGGCCGAAACTATTCATTGATTCATTTTTATTCATTTGACAGAGCATTGACTAGAGTCACTATATACACCAAGACAACAATTAACACTCCCTGGGATGTATTATTGATTTATTCACCACCGAATTACGTAAGAATAACCCGGTTTCACTGAGTTATTCGAATTGCAGGAGCAAGAGCTCGTACACATGCACCACCCGGAGCTCTAGAGTCCCATGATAATTTTTTACTTCCCTTTGTTGTTTCTTATGAGTGGGAATACTGGGGTCCCATCGTTATGGTTATGATTTTACGGTGCGGCCGAATGACTGTTGGATGATGGCGCTATCTCGCCGCAGTTTTCGGCGAGGCGAACTATCGACTGGATGGGGCACGTTGGTAATGACTGGAGGCTATTTATCTTCGGGGGTATTTGAATTTCGGGAATTCCCAATTTATCTGTATTTAAATCGCAATTTTATCGCGATTTATGGGCATTTGATGACGAAATGTCCGTCATTAATTTTAAATGGGCATGGAAATAATGAAATTATTCGGAATGACATATTTACGGAGATCTTGATCGCAAGATAACTGCTTTTTTTTCAACATTTCCAAAAATAGGTGAGGGTGGGGCAAAATGGATACTGGACTTTTTTTAAATTGTTCATAACTCAGAAACAAATTTATCAATTGAGCTCAGTTTAGGTTCGTTACAAAGGGAAAGAATTGTTCTTTGCATTCAAAAAAAAAATTATTAAATTTCATCAACATTTCAACCCCTCATGAACATTTAGGAAAAAGTCAAAAGTGTCCGTTTTACCCGAACCTCCCCTATATTTAACATTCCTATGAATAAATCATATACGAATTTCCGTAAATTTGTATTTTTTACGGGAAATGGATTGCTTATTATTTTTAATAACGATCAATAAATTAATTTGATCGTTAATGAGTTTGAAGCAATGAATTAATTCATTAATCATAAACATTCAAAAAAGAAGAGGAATAAATCCAGATTTTCAGGAATTAAATAATGAAATCATCAAATAAGGCTTAAATGCAAACTCTGTTTATGATAATAACTGGTAAGTATTTGAATTTTGGAAATTCTCAATTTTTCCGCGTCTAACGGAATTTTATTGCCATTTATTATTATTTGATGACAAAATATGAATTATTAATTCTATAATAAAAATGAAAAATTCTAAGAAAACTATTCGGAACGAAAATTTTTTGAAGGCATTCAGTCATTAAATTTCTGAAAAATTAAATTACACTTCGCAAAACAAATTTCTTTTTGTTTGAACATTCTATCTTTATCAATAAATCATAGCAATCGGTAAACTTATATTTTTTGCACGAATTTATTGAATTGCTTACAAGTTTCATAAAAACAGAAAAAATTAATTTAATTGTTAGTAACTGAATGAGTTAATTCATTAATAAAAAAATGCGAAAACGAAGAAGAGAATTAAATTCAGATTTTCAGGGATTAAATAATAAACTCAATAAATGAGGCTCAAATGCAACCTCTGAAAAACATAAAAAATCTCCTTCAATATTTTCAAAAGGATGAAATGATTGGATAATTATGGAATAAAAAAATGAGAACGTTTGCTCGTGCTATTTTAACGCATCCCTTTAATAAAACCCAGAGTTATTCTCATTTTTGTATTTATGCAGTTAAGAATACGTAAGCCGAGGGTTGTACTTTATCTTGAACAAGAACAAGATTCTTAATATGCGTAAAAAAAGGAAGGAATCGGTGTCTTTGAAGTGAGGTCGAGGACTTTGAAGAGGGGTTTAAAATCGTTTCCCCCTCGTATTGAGTATCGTACGTTATGGGGTTTTAGCTCCTCTCCCTCGGAAAAAAAAGGTTATCACAAGTGTCATCCCTTTGACGTATTTTTACGCAACACTTGGTACTACCTAGATATGGGTGTTGTTTTCACGTAAAGACTTGACGTGTTCCAAATTCATAATTCATTGCGGGAATAGCGAATGGAATTTTTGAGGACACGACGATTATTCACAACATCAACTTCATATCTTCCTCAATGAAACAAAGGAGAAAAAACAGAACTCTTCGAAATTGGAGAAGCTCTATTTGTGCAATCAATATTGTAGAATTGGAAATTATTTTATAATTAATTAGGGAAAATAGGAAAACTGAGAGGTGAAATCGGGAAAATTGATGAATAGTTGGATTTTAAGATAAATTTTTTTACAAATAAAAAAAAATTCAAGATTAACATAAAACATTAAAAAAGCCTCGATCCAAGTGGTAAAAGTCAATTATTTTGGCATTACCGTAATGACTGATTCGATTTTAACCCATATTGTGCTTATGAAGCAAAATATGTCTCCATGTTGTTCAGATTTTTTAAAATCCCCAAGACTAGTTTGTCACACACGAAAAAAAATATTCATAAAAAACCCAGCAAATTCTACTGAATTTCTATTGAACTTCTTTTAACGATTTTTTTTTGGTCGATTCTATTGAAAAAATTTTTTAATGAAAAAATCAGCGGAATTTAATTGTTCTATGCAATTTTTTCTATTGAGGAATTCCTCGACATGAATTTCCAGTTTTCCACTCTATTTTTTTCTCTTTTCATATAAGAAAATCAAACAAAAAAAGAAGAAGAGAATTTGAGCAGAATTTCTATAGAAAATATCTCAATAGTGTAAGTTCCATAGGAAAACCTAATTCTGTAGAATATTTCCCATTGAACATTTCTATTTAAAAAACCCGCAGAAGGTTGTGGAATTTTCCAATAGAATTTTCCAGCGAAATCGCTAGGTTTTCCCCCGAATTTTTTTCGTACCTAATTCTAAACTGGAATTGATTCGCGCTGTTTCGTTGCATTCATTTCCGTGAAAATTATCCACCGTATTTTCATAATAAAAAATGTCCAATGGAAACTATTTAATTGAAAAAATCAGTAGAATTTCTCTTTCTATACATTTTTTTCTATTGATACTCTATTATACTATAGGAAGATTAAATTCTATCGAATTTTCAGTACAATATTTTCTATTGAAAATTTAATAGATAACTTGCGGAATTTTTCAATAGAATCGCTCAAAAACTATAAAACTATAAATCCACTAGAATTTCCCATCGAATTCGCTAGCTTTTCCTCCAAAATTTTTCGCTACCTAGTTCTGAACCGAAATCGATTCACCCTTTTGACTGAATTAATTTTCACGAAAATGATACCCCGTATTTTCGACTCACCGTATCACCCCCGTATGTAAATTTTTCCAATTTTAACGCATCGATGTAATAGAGTTTATGAGCGACCAGCCGCACAGGTTTGTCGACGGTGTATCTATTGATTTTCGGGAAAGCCATGAGAGGATGAACGGATGAGGGAAAACTGTGAGGGACAGGAGGTAGGGGAATTCACTGGTCAGACCGATGCAAGCTCTTTTACTGTCGAACCCTCCCCCTCCCCCTCCCCCGCCCCCACGAACTACTGGACAAAAATACATCTCGATGGGAGGCGGAAAAGCCTCTCCAGCCCTCGAGTAAAAATCAGAGCTCCATGCGAGCGACGGAACTAATCGCAATTTGATAACATCGAGAAAATTCCTCTCATTCCTTCATAAATCGAATCTGTCAAGAGAAGCCGAGACAAAGTGTATGCTAACACTGTACCTTTTGTGGTATATCCGCGAATGAAGTCGCCGGAGCTTTTTCGTCGAACTCTCGAATGGCTCGGGGTTATCTCCAACTACGTGACCTGAAAACATGAAATTCAACCCTCGGTGGACGAGTGTATCGTACGTATAAGGGAATTTTTGGGGAGTGACGGTGAAAAATTCTGGGAGATACTGCGGATTTTGAAGGTAAATGGGGACTTGATGAAGAGGAGACTTCATGACGTTGAAGCTTTATTAATAGTCAAGACTTTTTGATGAAATTCGTGTAGTTTGCGTTATATTTAGAATATTTTTTCATTAAGACTTTGATTACATAAAATCTTGCACAAAGAGCACACACTTGAGATCAATTTTCAATACACTTGAATTGATAATGAAAGTCTTCCCCGTGCAATCGCACCAAGAAATCCTCATCATCAATATCAAGGAAATCATCTTTATCAAAAGAATTTTTTTCCCCTGAGGCCAAAATTAGTTATCCTGACCCAAAAAATTAGAAATTTCGAATTCGACGAATGCGCAGCTTCCACTCGGAAGCGAAAAACTAAAAATAACCATAATCCTTTGAAGAACCCTTAAAATTACGTTCAAACCTCAATGCTAGTGATAGAAGTCAATAATTTCCGTCCAACATGGCAAAAAGAATAATTCAACATCAGGCGGAATGAATCGTTTGTATCCCTTACATAACAACAGTCCGTACCCCCGGACGATTTGAGAACCCCCGGGTTTAAAGCTTACCACTTATCGAGCGCGTAGTTGGTATGATAATGTAATAAAATAAATGGATGCCACTTCCCTCGCGATACAGCCTCTTCCGCTCTTCCGCTCTTCCCTCCCACCAATTTCCCTCTGTCTCCGTTCATCTCAGCCGACGTGTCCCTCCCTCATCCACTCATCCATCCGCCGGCTCCCCCTTCCCACCCCCTCCCCGCCGCGCCATCCCTTTTAACCCCTATATCCTACCGCTGGAAATACGAGAATTGAGAAGGTAGAAGGGAAAATCGGGGTGGCTCACCTCGAAAGCGAAATACAACAAGTCCCGGCGCCATTGCTGGGTCACCCTTCAACGGGAGTTTTGTTGTCGGCCGGATAGTGGGGAGAATCAAGCCCCCGACTAGGCTGGGGTGGGGTGGGGTAGTTTGACAATTTTCCATCCCTCTTGTTCTCACGCGAGCCTCCTCTGATCCTCGCCGGGAGCCAGGGAACAACAAGTCGAAAACTCCGCCCACGTACCGCAAAACCGAGTCAATACTATCCGAGCAACCCCACTCGCTGTCGGGGTGGCTCGCTCTCTCTCGGGTCTACGCTGATGCTCCTGCTTCATCAACCACTGCATCGAAATTCGTTACGTACGGGGTTGTATTCGAGTTCATAGGTTGATTCCCTGGAGGATGCGTTTAATGGAATGAGGAGGAGAGTGAAAATTCGATGGGTTACTATTAACTTTTTTTTCTTAGGGTACATCCCTAGAAGACACGTTTTCTGCACTGCTTCTCACGATTTCTCGTCTGGGAATTGGTATTGCATACTTTTCAAACTCGAAAACGTGAAAATCAGTACAAAAAAATCTTGCCCGGGCTGTTGCGATGGGGTTTTTTTACTCGTGTGGTTGGCCGGTCGTCGCCTTCGGCTCGGACGCCAAAGCCACAGGGGTAATAGGCCCCATCGCAGCAGCCCGGAAAAATACTATTTCCGTAGGATTGTCTCCACGCTGAGAAAAAATGGTATTTTTCCGGCCTGTTGCGATAGGGTTTTTACTCGTGTGGCGTTGGCGTCCGAGCCGTAGGCGAGGACTGGCCAACCACACGAGTAAAAAAACCCCATCGCAACAGCCCAGGAGCAATATTTTTCTGTAGTGATTTTCAAGTTTTCGAGTTTGGGAAGTATGTAATACCAATTCCCAGACAAGAAATCGTGAGAAGCAGTACAGAAAAATATTTTTGCCAAATACTCATTTACTTGAGAGAAGCATTTATTTTTTTTTTTATGGCGAAGTGCAGCGTGCGATAAACTCGACTTCGGCACGGTGTGACGTAAAATATTATAGATTACACTTTGATCAATTTTTTAATGTTGATAATTATTGAAGGTCTTCACTCAAGATTATAACTAACATGATCATCTTCCAGAGCAATATAATTGACATAATTGAAAGCAAATGAGGATTGTCTCAGAATGAATCGAATGGAGAAATACCGATAAACGGACATTTGGTAAAAATATTTTTTTCTCAGAGCATGTTTTTCATGGTGGGTAATATTTATAATAGTCCCCAGCTATTGAACAAAATTCTAACTACACCGACCGAAAAACGAGCAAGTTTTCAAACAAGTTTTGATTGGGTCAACAAAATCATAAGTTGAAAATGACTAAAAAATCACTGTTTAGTTCGAATTTAGTTCGAAAGTCTCAAACATGAATAATCGCCTTGTTTTCAACAACAACGAAATATTTGGATCGAGAGGCGGAGCATTCATACAAGACGATCTCATTTCAGGATAAACATATCTTTTATAAACAATTGTCAATAAAAATTGGCACAAAAAACAACTGCAATTTCATTGAAATTTAATAGTATTTTTGCAGAGTTACAATAAAAATTCAATTGGATTAAAAAAGTCTCTCGGTTGTTCCATTCATTGAATTTTATCAGATGTTATCAATCACTAAAAAAAATATTAAACCTATTCACGACTAAAACTTTCTTCTCCACCTCTCTACCAATAAATATCACCAATAAAATGCTCCCCCGACGGGTGCAACTACGAGAGGAGAAAAAATCTACAATTGAATGTACATTAAGGACATTTAACTCCCCGGTGGTTTTGACAAGTTGAGCATACTCCGGTAAATCTCGTTCAACTTCGGTGTAATTTATAAGCGCTGAGTGTACCGCAGGGAGTGAGTCCTTGCCATGTGGCAGAGTCGCGAGGGTCGGAGTCAGGGATTACTTGGCAATAAATAAATATGTACGCCCGTATAACCACCACCGGAGGGATGAATTTTCGCGTCTAAGACCCACTCGGCTTTGATTTCACTTTTGGAATTCCAGCGTGACGGGTTTTAATCCCCGGGGATTCCCCGGCCATTGTGACATTTAGCCCATTAGAATGTTCATTCTGGGGCGAACCAATATTTACAGGGGCGGGGATAAATTAACAAACAGTTTTATTCGTTTTGATATATCTCGTTTTAATACAATTAATTAAATAGTGTAATCGTTACATGATGAATCACTTGAATCGTTCAATTTTTGACGATATATTCACAGCTACAACGACTTTATCACAACACGAATTATTTGAAACGTCGATGTGGTAATCACATGGCGATATATGTCGACGTTTTCGAATTCTACGAGAATTAATTCAGGGGTGGAGGGGTAAGATGGAATGAGATAGAAATGAAAGTTCAAAATGAAGATTTTGAAAAATGTCTCAAGATCTACAAACGATGGAAAAATTATTATTCGAAGTTAATGTGTTAAAAATTGTCCTTCAGTTTCCAACAAATTAAAAGTCAATTTCACACTTTTAGCCATTTTTTTGTCGTTTGAGTTCTGTTGCACAGAAAAGATTTCTCATTTCACCATTTCACCCCTGAATTACCCAGTAATAAATAAATACATTGATATACATGACTCCTGAGCCCCTCATTAATTGTCAATAATTGCCATGCATTCGTTATTGCATTATCAAAGTAATTAGTAACCTTACACATCTAGGATTAACATTTCGCTATTTTACATGATTATTAAATTGTTTCAGTTGAGAGGCCGACATAATTCATTTATAATTCTTCATAGTATTTTTACGGTAATATCTTCAATAGCGTTTAGGCCCCCAGCTCAACACAACTACGCGGAAAAATATTAATCGTCTCCGTTCTCATTAACTCACGTGCTAAAAAATGTCATAGAAAATCCTAGGGAATTCGCTGTAGAACTCTATTGGATTTTTGTTGAACTTTGTATCAATTTTCGGCCGATTCTACTTGCAAAATCCTCTCAGTCCATTTTTTTTGTCACTAGAATTCGTTTTTTTCCAAATTCGACTTTTTTTATAAAACTTATTCTAAGAACATATTTTCTATAGAAATTCCTTGGCTCAAATTTTTTAAATAAAATTGATGTCTTCCAATGGAGAGAAGGAGTGAAATACAGTGAAAAAAACTTGTGAAATTCATGCCGAGGAATTATTATAAAAAATGTCTCGATAGAAAAAATTGTATAAAAAGATGACATTCTACTGATTTTTCCTGTAAAATAGTTTCTATTGCACGTTTCCTACAAAAAGGCGCAGTGTAGCTGCGGAATTCATCAGTAGAATCCGCCGAAAACTAATAAAATTCCCAATAAAAGTTCAATAGAAATCCAACAGAATTTTCTATCGAATTCGCTAGCTTCCTCTGTGATATTTTTTCGTGCGCGACCGTTCATTCGTGAATAACTACTCAATTCTTGTACATATCACACAGGACTTTCTCCATGGGAGTGTTACCAATCGTCCTGTGGAAGTAGATTAATTCTACTCGAGCTGCTGGAACTGTTCTCAATAGGGGCAGCATCAGCAGGAGTCTTCCGAATCTTGCGGGACTGCCTGGTTGCTGGGTTCGTGCGTGCTGGCCCAGCATCACTTGGGCCTGGTCCTGCAGATTCTCGATTTGACTCGAATCTTTCAGTCCACGAGTTTCTGCACATGAAGAGAAGAGAATGCAGTTGGAACGGGCGAATTCATTCGTGAGGGACTGTTTTGGGGCCGGTATTTTTGACAAATTCAAGAAAAAAAACCGAGAAATCGTGTCTATGAATTCTTATGGAAAAAAAACCAACAGAATAAGTTGTATTGAAAAAAGTCTATAAATGTTGATTTTTCTATACAACTTATAAAAAATAAACATCCATAGTTTTTTACATCTGTAGTTTTTCACTACTGATTAATTAATTATAATTAATTAATCCGTATAATTAATTAATTATTAATTAATTAATAATCAATAATAATGTTAATGTCGGTAATGATAATGTTCGTAATGATAATTTTTCTATAAACAAATATGTATTTGAAAACCAAAAGAATCTTTCAATGGACTTCTCACCAGTGATAATACACATATCAATCAATCATAATTACCGTTAAATTGTGAAGCTAATTGTGAAATCGTGTCTATGAATTCTTATGGAAAAAAAACCAACAGAATAAGTTGTCTTGAAAAAAGTCTATAAATGTTGATTTTTCTATACAACTTATAAAAAATTAAAATCCATAGTTTTTTACATCTGTAGTTTTTAACTACTGATTAATTAATTATAATTAATTAATCCGTATAATTAATTAATTATTAATTAATTAATAATCAATAATAATGTTAATGTCGGTAATGATAATGTTCGTAATGATAATTTTTCTATAAACAAATATGTATTTGAAAACCAAAAGAATCTTTCAATGGACTTCTCACCAGTGATAATACACATATCAATCAATCATAATTACCGTTAAATTGTGAAGCTAATTGTGAAATCGTGTCTATGAATTCTTATGGAAAAAAAACCAACAGAATAAGTTGTCTTGAAAAAAGTCTATAAATGTTGATTTTTCTATACAACTTATAAAAAATTAAAATCCATAGTTTTTTACATCTGTAGTTTTTAACTACTGATTAATTAATTATAATTAATTAATCCGTATAATTAATTAATTATTAATTAATTAATAATCAATAATAATGTTAATGTCGGTAATGATAATGTTGGTAATGTTAATTTTTCTATAAACAAATATCTATTTGAAAAACAAAAGAATCTTTCAATGGACTTCTCACCAGTGATAGGCATATCAATCAATCATAATTGCCGTTAAATTTTGAAGCTGTCAATTTTTAACATAAATCTTCTATTTTAAATATTAAAGTAACCATCAATTTGTACATTTAAATTTCGAAATATTCTATCAATCAATAATTTACGTAGGAAGATTGACGATTATTTGGATAATCGAAAATTAAGTACCTGAAGTTAGAACTAGCTTGCTAACTAAAAATATACGTTTCAGTATTATCAAATATTGTATTCATCATCAATCGAAAAATTTAGCTAATAAATTCTATAATATTTTAAATTTCTTAAATATAGTTAAACTTTGAACAATATAACGAGATAATCCTTTTTAATATTGCCAAAATCTAATATTATTGCCAATCCCTGCTTCTCACAGAATTCCAATAGAAATTCACGAGAATTTCTTAGCGAGAGCGTTAGGTTTTCCATAAAAATTTTTTTACACCTGAAATGATAAATAATTGATAAAACTATCAATTACCTGGTCTGAAGAGCACAATAGCCTTCATACAAGCAAACTCAGCCGGATCGACCATAACAGCCTTGTATCTCTGAAGTGTATCATGCAGGTGTCGAACATCGGCAGCCACTTGACTAGGTTTACCCCCATTTGGTGTGTGCATCCCAGAATGCGGATGAGAGTGTGGCGACAGTGTCAACGCTGTGAGCTCAGCAGCACTGAAGAGTGGAGACGACTCGAGTGGAAGACACCATTGCACTGCATTCAAGAGAAAAAGCTCGGACCACGCCTCCTCGAGCAGAATCACTTGATCGCGAAACGGTAAACTTGCGAATGACGGGAGATTCTTGGCCCATTTAACAGCCATGAAGAGGAGACGGGCACTAGTCTCGTATACCGTTTCTGCACTCGCTGGGGAGTATAATGAGGGCATCACGGGGGGCAATTGGGGGCACAAATTTCGCTGCGGTGTTAAGGGCTCCTCGTTTGTCACGTCTATGCTGTCTTCTGATGCATTGCCTGGAGCAGAACATGAATAAGAAGAAATGGCTTGGATATAGACATGAGCAAAGAGACACGTGTAGAAAAATTTAATAGAAAAACTTTGTGAATTCGCTCAAAAATTCTATTGGGATTCTATTAAAATTCCATTGGTTTTTGCACTAATTCTATTAAAAATTTAATAGGCAACAGTTACAGATACAGATTTAGATTTTTGGATATGAATATTCTCTTGGAATTTTTTCTATGAGAATAATTCAGTAACGAACCGGTAAAACGGTTCAAGTCGACTTAGCTCTCTACTGATTTTTTGAGGAATCTCTCCGAATCTAAAGGAGATAGCGAAATTTTCATAATGAGCTTTTTCATAGATCTCAATTCGCGCTACAAACAAGGTTATAACGAAAATTTTGCTATTTGCCTTACATTCCGAGATATTCATTGAAAACTGACCAAAAGCTAAAGTCGACTTAAACCGTTTTACCGCTTCGCTACTGAATTGGGCATGAATTTTCCAAGTTTTTTTCAAGCGGATCCTGTAATGTAAAACAAAACAAAATATAGCGGAAAAACTTGGAAACTCCGTGGCCAATAATTTTAATAGAAAAAATCTGAAGAGAAAAATACAAACAGAAATCATAAAAAATAATTCCGTCATACCATCCTCCACATCCTGCCGCGGCGGTGAAGAGGTGCTCGTCGTATTGGGAGTGGGTTGCATCGCCGGAAGTGGCATGGGCGCCGCATACCGTGCCATAGCCAAAGAAACCGGTGGTCTGCAACAAAAAGCCCCCAACCCCAAAAATTAAAAACTCCCCAAACATCATCAACTTCACTCAACTCCCGCATTTTGTTTCCGGTTTTATCGCGTCAAGCTACATGTCGTGCCTGCCCAACCCCCTTTTGTACCCCTCTTTTTACCCTAAAATCTCACCTCGCGACGCGCACCCCCGTCAAATGCTGTCCCCCTGAAAGCCGAATGCCCGAGCCGAAACCGAGGACAATCACCGCCAAAGGTTAGACAACAGCCTCAAAATTGCAACGTGCAAGAGTAAACAGGACATGCGGCGACCTTGGCGATCGAAACCCTCGGTCGCCGCGTGTCCCCCACCCGAAAAGACAGCCCCAAATTGTCAGAACTTCGCCACATGCTACATGGAGCTCTGCAGACAGCAGAAGCTGCGACCACTTCCTGTCATCTGCGTGACCCTCCCCCACAGCCTGGACTTCACGACTGATCGAGTGAAGATGGACGACTGGGGGCCGATCCTGCACTCGCTGTCTCTAGACAGAACCCTAAAGTCGGTGAGTGTCCGAAGCAGATACCAGTGCCGCAAGCCTCTGGAGGAAGTCACCTCAGCGGACAAAGCCAGAGCGATCGGCAAAGCTCCCATTGTCTTGACCCGCTACCTCCTGGAGTGGCTGTCCCACAGTGTCGCCCAGTGTGTCCGGAATTCCCCTGCACTAACATGTCTCGAGCTGGAAGGGGTTCCCCTCCCTGACGACTGTCTAGCCGCCTTGTGCGTGGGATTAGCTTCCACGGAAACCCTCCAGCATCTGTCGCTGAAGCGGTGCTACATTGGGGACAACAGCTGTGCCCTGGTCTGTCGAACGATCGCTGATGTTCAGAGCATTCGATCCTTAAACCTCAGTCAGTGCGACCTGACCAGCTACTGCGGACCTGCGCTGGCCTCAGCCTTGTCCAGGCAGAAGCTTCTGCTTTACCATGACACGTGGAAGGACTCCCTCAGGTACAGAGAACCGAACATTGACGCCATGCCAGGATTGAGAAGACTCACTCTCAACGACAATCCGCATCTGGGGGATTCCGCTGTCGCCGAAGTCATCGACGCCATTCAGGACAGCTTGTGGCTGAAAGCTCTGGATCTTCAGCACTGTGGCCTGACAGACGCCATTGGGAACGATATCCTTCAGCTGTTGGAGCAGAACACCACTCTTGAAGTAGTGGATCTTCGGGGGAATGCCAATTTGAGCGACGATATCGTTGGAGAAGTCTTCAAACGACTCGACTTCAATCACACTGGATGCAGACTGGAGTACAGGTTGTTAAAGTTCAAAATTCTGAACACTTCGTTGTCAATAGATTGCCATTTTCTTTTTATAATTCCGTCGGTGAGGGAGGATACTGAATAAATTTTGACAGCAGCGCCGATATTTAGAATTTCATAGACACCTTCGCTCTATATTTTGTCCCTTTTTTATCACTAAATTACACATGCCCTTTAATTATGAATGTTTATATCACTTAATGAAGGGACTCACTGCCATGAGGTTTCTCGGCTGTTTTCGCAGCAACACATTTAGCCCTTGCATTTCTCCAAAATTATGGAAGGATTTAAGGAGGGCGTTGAGGGGAGATTCTCATTGGTTATTTCATTGTTTTACATGTTCTCATTGGGAATTTTTTGTGAGAGATCGACTCAGAAAATTTAAGTGACGGTATCATAATTTTTCACAGGAGATGAAAATTACGCAACGCTCTGGAAAAATTCCGTGATAGTTCCGTAAAATTTCCTTCAACCACATTTCGCTCCGGAATTACGGAAAAGATACGTAATTTTTATTGAATATTCCCCTCCGTGTAGAGATTTTTTAGTTCGAATTTTCTTATTGGCCATTACTGGTTCTGAGGGATCAATCACACACGTGTTGACACGTTCACCCTTGCACGGGGGGACTTTCCGAAATTTTATTACCGTCTTGCGAGAGAAAAACGATCACAAATTTCCCTATTTCTGAGGGACTGGAGAAATCCTGCTCTTCATAAATATCAGAACTGAGAATTAGTACAAAAACACATCACCAGAAGTCGATTTCGATTTTTATGATATAGAGAGATAGAGAGATTTCGTATTAATGTCAACGTAAAAATGTTGCGAAATGTTCTATTACCATTCGACTTAACACTCATTGATCGTAACGTAGGTACTTCAAGGTCTTGCAGAGGGACAACAGAGCTATTTCGGCTGGTGATGACCGACGGGAGAGGACGGAAGGGAATTCTGCCTTGCACAGGCCGAAAAGCGCAGTTACGAGGAACAAACGATCTTGTCAGGCGAACGCCTTGCGGAAGGTTCCTCCGGTGGTTTTGGCTCCTAAAAGAACGAAGCTCAAGCCGCCGATCCCACACTTTCCTGTGCAAAATGGCAGGGTGAGGACTGGGGCTGTTGAAGCGAAACCCACGAAGCCGGTGAAGCCGCTGCTTCACCTGGACCTTCAGACACAGATAAAATCGACGATGGATGAGGTAGAAGGGACAACGATCGAAGACGAGAGCGAGGGGTATCGAGAGGAGAAGTCTGCAGAGCTCGAGGAGCTACTCGCGCACTTGGCGAAGACTGAGGGCTCCGAGGAGAAGATGATGAATGAGATGAAGCAGATGGAGGTCCAGCTGAAGGAGGAGAGGGCCCGACGAGAGGTCGCGGAGATGAAACTGCGACTGATGAGACGTGACCTGGAAGATCTTGAGAACTCCCTCAAAGCCAAGGAGATTGCGACTCGCGGGTATCTCCTCATAAGCCAGAAATCTCTGGACGAAATCGCCAAGTCCTTTGAGGAATTGCTGAGGATGCTGGAGGACGGGGCAGAACGGAGTGCTGGCTGGAGGGAGACGGATGTCCAGGCGAGGGAAGTGTTGAAGCGAAAGGTGACGTTGCTCCTGCGTAAGACAAAATCGGAGAAGCTTGAGAGGAGTATTTTGGAGCCGGAGTCGCCAACGAAGGGGGTCAAATCCACTGGGGACGTGAGCACGACATCACCGCCTGTTCCTTCGCAGTTGGAGAGACAGGTTGGCGATACTGGCGAGGGATCGTTGATGGAGGACAGCTGGAGGAGACAGGGGCTCGTGAAATCGTCTTTCTCGCCTTGTGAAAGGGCAAGGGCGCTCTTCAAACAGATCATCAATGGCGATGTCGTTCTCAATCTCCACAATCGGATGAGTTAGTCGGGGTGATTTTGTACAAAATGGGAAACGTGAAATTCCTAGGTGACGGTGCTTAGGGGAGACGACTCTCCGCAGCGTGATCATCAGTGATATATAAGATTTAAAATTACTTATACGGGACTGGATATTGTTAACGTACGTGGGGTACAAGCGCTAATAAAACTTGGAATGTTTTTCAAATGGGCTTGAGTTGATATTAATCGGGCTGTGATTATTATCGGGAATATTTATCGAGTTGTTAACTCGTTGGGAAGACCTGGTGATACTATGCCTCTATGACACTATTGATTATCCCGTTATTTCCAGTCCGCAAAGCGTTACCTGAAGTGTTTCCAACGGTCAAGTGGTCAAAGGTAATTTTTCATGATAGATCATGCTCGGCGTGGCGTGGTATCGCGGCATATAGATGTTGTGGCTCGCGATGTTGAAGATAACGCTCAGCCAAGATCAAACGTGGTAACGGCGTCCTTTCTGGTGTGCCGTCGCCTCTTCACCTATTCTCAGCGCTCAGATTGTTTTTTTTATAACGGCTGTGTGGGTTTTGTATTTTTATGCTTTAACCCATAAAGCAATCGGTCGCGATTATAAGGAGCAGTCGGGCGGGAATTTCAATCGTTCAGGGAGTGATTTATGGGAGGGAAATATTCCATCGAAAAACCTAGCGCTTTTCGCGCAGGAGTTTGAATTCTCGGTGATTTTTTCAGCCAAGCCTGGGAAAAGTCATTGTAAATGCCACGGTTTCCACTGATTTTACTGTAGAATTATGTAACAAGTGGGAAATTGCTCTTGTATTGCATATAGTATAGTTATTTTTGCTGATAAATTAGCAATATGTTTCCGAATGGTTATTTTGCACAGCATTTCCTCCTATCATGGATAATTCATTATGTATTTCATTTTATTAAATTGAATGAGATTTCTTTTCAACTAATTTTGTCCGATTTTCAACTAAGTTGAATGTTATCATCATCATTATTCTTATTATCCATTTCTTCTAGACAACCGATTGTCTTTTTCACGGTTCTATCTCTCCCCTCAGCTCTTCGATAAAATGTTAGTCCAAAATGTTAGTCAATTTCAGTGGAAAATTTTCAACAGTGCAAATACCTCGGACTAAAATTTCTAAATATTCTAAAAAAAATTTTGAATTGAGGCACTCACCCGAAAACTCCAACAGCAACAGCAGCTTCCCGCAAAGCTCTCTCCTGATCCATTTCCACCAAAGCCTCAGGTCTAATTGTCGCGGTATTCCTCGGCTGTCTCTCGTTCTGCACAGCTGCAAATGAACCAGTCAAAATTCCTTTTTATCAGACTAATTCTTTCATGTCCAATGGTTAATGTACTAGCTGACAATGGGAAATAATGAATAATCAATGGCTACCATAATCCATTTATAGCGAGTGATGTAACCATCGGGTGAGCTGATTATCATTGTCGATTGGAGTTGTGATGGGGGTCGAGACATCGTACTCACTACCAGCAGCAGTTCAACCGTTCTCCACCCACTTTCACCTAACCATTCTCATCCCTCATTTCTATTTTCCGCAATTTTATTTGATATAGTTATATCAGACTGTTGGGCTGCATTTGACAGCGAGGCTAACGTGAATTCCTTGTTTTGTATCTGACGCGTTAGGTAACTCGCAGTTATTATGGCAGAAGTATTGTTCTGATACCCTTCAAAAACGGGGGAAGGACGCTGAATGGTAATCATCAGTGTGTGTAATAGCTGCAAGAGTTGAATTTATCGCTTTATTCGGTATCAAAAGATTACTTCGAATTTTAAAATTCATGTGAATGCGACCCATTAAGGATCGAAATAATAATTTCCCGAGCAATCGTCTTTCCTTCATTCATTAGAATTAGATTTTTCTATGCAACGAGACCGAACGCGCGCTACAGCGCGCTGTAATTGTAACAATCATAATTGAAAATGTCAAAATTAAATTAATCATGAATTAAATTTGCCGTCTCAGACGACGAACCAATGAGGAATTAGCGTGACAGACTTGCGAGATATCGATAGTTAACGACTTTAAGTGTATTTTCTTTTTTGAATAGAACTTATACTATTGGTATTTCCTCGGCTCAAATTTTCCAAGTTTTTTTTGCTTGATTCTTTTAATGAAACACGCAGGGGTCGCGAGCATGTCACTGAGTATCTAATGTCTTTTTTTTTTCGCCATCAATGCATTGATGGCGGGCTTCCGAATGGTCTGAAATATTGCAAAAGTTTATAGCTTCACAACACTAACTAGCAGCAAAAATTTCAAATGGTTACTGCCAATATCTTTGAATATCATGCTTCAAATTAATTCAATCATAGATTAAAATGTTTGCTTTAATGTCATTACATCGAAGTCTAAAAATGATTACGATAGCTTTATTGGTTGATTTGATTTTTATGATGATTGTTGAAAATTCGAAACTTCGAAATGAGAATTCGAAAATTCGTAAGTTATAATAATAATAATGATGATGATAACATTGAACTAAGTTGAAAATCTGACGAAATTAGGTGAAAAGAAATCTTACTCAATTTATGTACAAAACAGGGATAGCCAAATTTGTAATATTTTATTACGGTTAAATATTGTAGCCATCAATTAGATGACATCACTCTTGGAATTTTTTGAGTACTTAAATATCATCAATTCAAATATTCACATTTTCAACTATTTTATCAATCAATAATCGAGGTAGGAAGATTGATGATTCCTTGTGTAATCGAAAATCCCCTTTCAATAAATTTGAATTATTCATTTAGTAGTAAATTTACAGTTTCATATTAACAAATTTTGAATACATCATTATTCGTAAAAAATCAGATTATCAATATTACTTTATTTGAAAAATTGAATCAACATATTTTAAACCTTCAATAATGTAAGGGTCAAATCCTTGTAATATTACAGAAATTTAATATTGATGAGGATCCCTGGTACAAAATAACCATTCGGAAGCATATCGCTAATTCATTAGTAAAAATAACTATACAGGAGCAATTTTCAACTGGTTCACCTGAAAATCAGGGGTGATATTACCAGATACTTTCATCCCCGGCAAACTAAGAACAACTTCATTTGCGTCATTTAATCATCTCTGCACTTTGTCCCTCGAATGATGGGCGTATGAATACGAAATCCCACAAGTAGACCACATATATCCGTTCATCCGTTGTCGCTTGATGCGGTTCACCGCTCAGCCAACGTGTGATACATACGCGGTAATCGTTGCTCGGGTAAAGTTGCTATGCAAAAGGGATGGTATGGGGGGATGAATTTGCGTTCCTACTCTCTCGTATGTGTGTCTCTCATCGTGACGCGTCATTCGCTTCGTAAACACTGCGGTCGTTAGCGAATGGTCGCGTGGCCCGACGCCTGAAGGGTTAATTGGAGGAAATAAACGTATACAGGAGGAGGATGAAAACTACAGTGGGCATGAAGGGGCGCGTCCTCCTCTCGTGAAGAAGCGTTGGACATTATTTTTTGCCGCTTCCCTTTCTTTCTCAAAGTACTGTTGCATCAATTACCGCCCGCTGGGTTCATGCAAATGAGAGTGACACTGGCAACGTTTATCTTTTTTACTTTTTTTGGGGAACGATGGGGGTGTAATGGGGTAAATTAGAGAGAAAGAGCGGTTAAAGGAGTTGATGTTGAAAAATATGAAAGAACTCGGGGGGAACCTATTAAGCTGCTCAGCACGCCACAAGTAGAGGTGACATTTTTTTAATTATGACATTTATTTCTATGCAAATGAAAAAAAAACTAAATTGCGATTTACTCTACAAAATTGTTTCAATACTTTTCATGAACCAGAATTGATTTTTAATAATGCAATGTAATCATTAAATTTATTCCAATGCTAATCGAATGAAAAGATTCCGTTTTTAAATAATGATTTGAAAATTGTATTAAAAACCGAAAACCCGTTTCACTTTTTTTCAAATAATAATCCTCGACAAGGAAAAAAACGGTAATTTGAATTTAGAGTAAAAGTCTTCGCCCTGAAAATAGGAAGATAAGACCGATGTACATCCAATTTTCTGTTTTACGACATCAAGTTTGGTAATAAGAAAGTTAGACGGGAAGAGAGAAAAGAACGAGGATTGTAAGGGCAGGTGCGGCAACCCGTCGGGCAGAAGTATTAAGAGTTGAATCGAAGACGCGACACTGTTTCCCCCTTGTACGTGCGCTATATTTATGGAGAGAACGAGACCACGGGAGCACACAGGGCCCTGCGCTGATTGATTCTCGTATTATAGCCGATTGAGGGTACAAAACCATTCCGTCATATGAGAACAAAAACCAGAATTTTCTGTCACATAAAAAACTATCATAAAAGAGATAAAAATGCTAGTGACACAATAGAATGAAATTCCACTGTGAAAACTAGTGTCTGAATTTGAGTCGTTGAGACTTGCATTCGAATTTAAGACATTAAGACGACATTTGGAATGGCGTTAATTAATTAGACGCATTTTTGTGTTTAATGTCATAAATTAATACCAAAAAAAACTTTGCCTTGAGATTTCAAAGATCTTGAGGTGTTTTGTGTGGAAAAAGTAAATAATGACATTCATCTGGAATTTATATAGAATGTTTATAATCACCATTGCATTATCCATGAATTTTCCTAGAATTTTTTCGGATTTCTTTTTCGCGTTATTAACGATTAAAGTCGCTTCTTATTCATGAGCTCTTATGGAGATTTTTCAAGTCTCAAATTGATATTTTCAGGTTTTTAATTGAGACTTTCGAAAGTCTTAACTTGAACTTACAAAAATCTCCAGTTCAGTGTCATCCCAAGTTTCCGGACATTTTACAATGATTTTATTATTATTCAAACTTCGCAGATCCGGATTTGAATTTCGATAGTGAACCGATAGAAAATTTGAAAAATTAAGAAAAATTAGAAATAATTTTAAAATGTCAATTTTTGTAAATTACGAGCATTTTCTATAAACAATCAATTATCCACCATAAAAATCATGTGTTCGAAATCGATTTCATGCTTTAAAAAATCATAATTCTGTGCAAAATGTAGTTTAAATGACGCTGAATATTCATGATTTTTTTTCAAATCCTTGTCACGCAATTTAATTTGATGATTGAAAAAGGTTTAATCTATAGTGGCGTCTGTACCAAACTATAAAAGATACTTGGATATCCTTAAGATTTTTGAAAGACCCAATTCGAGATCGTAACTTCGGAATTTTGAATGGAAATTTGTTCTGTTTCTATATGAAGACGTCGTTAAGACACTATTTTTCACAATGTTCTCCACAGAAATCATCATAATTACCATCTTTGTTCATGCCCATTTGCATGCACTTCTTGAGACGACACGCTTGGCACTGATTTCTGTGCGCCTTATCCACAATGCATCTGCCAGTTCCCGCTTGACATCTGAAATCAAATGAAAATTACTTACTCAACGAATTTACTGGGAAAGTACACGTTCCACGGCATTATCATCGAAAAATCACTGAAGTGTGTGTGTTGCAAGAAATGGCGTTAAATTCAATTTGCCCTCACTGTTGAGAGACTAATTTTGTTATCCTTTACGGAAGAGAGCGGGAGCGAGGGTCACGTAGACTCTTTCGTCTCTTCCTCCTCGCCCCCCGGTCCTCCACGTAATCCTCGAAAAATCCTTGCACTACTGGTATTCCTCTGCGCTCCGCAGAAGAGACCCTTCACGCGGTAATTCCTTCCGTAATTCTTCACAGAATGAGATTAGATATTTTTTTCTGATATTTTCACTGAAATTCCAGGGATTTTTGGAATTGAAAAATCACATTGTCCACTCGTTTTGCCATAATTTAATGAGAAAATCAATGGAAATTCGAATTTCAATTTAATTATTCAGTGAAAGTTACACTGAGAGAACAAATTTGTTCTGACGAAAAATTAGGTTCCTCTGAAGAGATCTTTCGTCGTGTTGAATCATTTACTTGTGAACAAAAAAGAAAGTTTTCACCAAAACACGATAATTTTTGTAGTAGGAATTGCTCTCGAGAAACATGTATCTATCTCCCGTGCAAATATATTCAACTAAATATAAACACTTATAATTTCCATGGAGCAAATGATAATTTCAACAGGAAACTACAATTTTCTTGCCGAAAACTATCTTGTTGGAAAAACTAAATAATTTCGAGGGGACAATTTTTTTGGAAAAAAAAAATTCTTTCCTCGTCAATGTATTCTTTCTATGGTATATAAACCTATGGAGTTCTCTCAGATCAAATGATTGTCGTGCAATACATCATATATTTTCCTGATCGCAACAAAAATTTAATTTTCGTCAAAGATATGAAATTTTCTTCTATCAAATCGGCTAATTCGTTCTCTCAGTACTGTCTCCTCCCGCCCTGACGAAAAATTGTTCATTTTCTCAAAAAAAAAAGTGAAAAGGAAGATAACTTTAAAGATAATCCGATAGTTTTCTGGTTAGTGCAATTGCAACGTAAGTCAGTCACGTTGTAGAGAAATGAGGGGTTAAAAAATGACACAGGAATTATCTTGTCCTGGGGCCAGTGAACGAGCGTGAACACACGCACACAGACACTGGGCTATCCACGGGGTAACGTGAAGAGGGTGCGTGTCGTCCTGGCAGGGGTCGCACAAATTGATTTGCGTTCACACCCCAGTGGAGCACAGGAGAGAGAGAGAACGGGAGATTGTGCCTGGGTGTGTAACGTCCACGCTCGTGTGCGCGCACTCCTCATTCCATTCAATACGTATTCACCCTTCAGAACCACATCATACATTTATTTACGCATTTCGGTCTCTATATTTCCCCTCCTCTTAACCATTGCTATTGGCATTGTTTGCTTTATCGAGTTACGCCTTGAATAACCGGAAGCATCTGACGATGATTATGTTGACTTTAAAATCAGAGTTATTAATATGGTATTGAATGAAAAAATTATCAAGAAATTATCTAGCTGGAAATTTTCGCTGCACGTTTTGGGAATTTTCATGACATTTTAGTTCCACTGAAATTTCGGGGAATTTCGTCATTAAAAAATCAGAATCGCGTGGAGAAATCAATGAAAACTCTAAATATATTTTTTTTAAATCGATTTATCAATTAAAGCTCACGTATGAATAAGATGCAGGATTTCCTAGTGGAAATTCTACAGCAGATCTAGCAGATCTAGCAGAGATTTAATACAGCATTTGCTGTAGTATTTTTTATACGAAAATCTTATAGCGAAATAAAATCATACAGCCTATTTTCCTGTAGGATTACTATAGAATTTGTTTTAGAACATTTTATCTGAAAAGTTCTATAGGAAAGGTGCGAATTTTCCACAGGATTTGCTACAGGAAATTTTATAAGATTATCTCATGGAGAATTCGAACAACTATAGGGATTTTTGGACAGAATTGCCTGCGGGATGTCCAACGCTCAGAATTAAACCTACATTTCCCGCGTAATCTCCCTCCCCGGAGGAAAAATGAAATAATTGTCCTCCACTAGGTATCTGAGTACACGGTGGACAATCATCCCGATTTTTGGGAACAAAGTGGTACAAGCGATCGAAAAAACTCGAATAAAAAAAGATAAATCGATAACCGACAGCTTTAATTGCATCTGCTCGATCTTCGGGATACACCCGTGTGAATCCGCTGTGTCCCCGGTAATCCAGCGATTGTGGGCGCGCGTCGGGACGCATCTGTCGTGGCGGTATAGTATACGACCTCTTCCCCTTGCGATCCCATCGAGGAAGTAATTGGTTATCTGTGCGAAGGCCTCTTCAGTCTTTACCGTATTACGGAGCCATCTGACAGCGATGTTTCACTTAAAGGACCTTTGGGAATTTTTTTATTCGGAATCTATTTCACCCATAAATCCCTGTATTCATGGATTTTTCTTATGTAACAAAAAAATTGTGATTATCTTGAAACATAATTATTATTTATTTGAAAACTTACTGATTTCATCAAATGGAGTTTATTTAATTCGAACTTTCAACCATTTATTCAATCTCCGTATTTCATTTCCAGAGTTTTTTCTATTTAGTTAATTTTCCATACACTTCAACCAAAATGTTTCAAGTATATCAGATGAGTAATCGAATTCACTCCAAATAAAGGATTATTACACTTTAACAAATCGATCGCCATTAATTCAAATTCAATCCATCAATTAGTTTTTTTTTATTTTTATTTTTTTCGAAAATCGGTTGTCCCACGATAACTAAAAAAAATGTTGTTTGGATGTCCTTTTGACCGAGTTCGAAGATGAAGGCGATAGCAATAATTGTTCAAAATCAGAATTCCGGGGATATCTTTGAATATTATTCTTCAAATGAATTCAATCATAGCTTAAAATGTTTGTTTTAGTGCCATTAAGTCGAGGTTAAAAGATGATTACGATAGCTATGTTGGTTGATTTGATTTTTAGTTAAAAAGAAATCTCTTTCAGTGTAATAAAATGAAATAAACGATGGATTGTACATGATAGAAGGAAATGATGCGCAAAATAACCATTAAATTACTATATGCAAAGCAAGAAAACAATTTCCCACTTGTTTTGTATTACTCTTGCAATGAATTCCGTAAATGCCGAAACCTCCAGTTCCAGCCATTTAGTGTCCCATTACTCCAGTTTTTACTCTATTCAACGGGTCAATAGTTTGTGTACATATCACAGAGCTCGTCCACGGGGAATATTAAAGAAAGTCGACATGTATGCGTGAAGAGTAGCCCGAGCAAGTGATTCCAGTTGAGAGGGATACGATGGAGATGGATCGTCAATTCCCCAATGGGGTCTCGTGTGTGCAAGCAGCAGTAATAGTCCCTCCAACAGTTCAGTATTCCCGGGGCTTTGGGGGCCCCAGAAATTATGCCCAACCACCATAGCCCAGGGTTTATTGTTGACGGTATTAAGGATGAGCCCACTCAATGCTGGACCACATGGCACTGCACAGCTATAACTTTCAACGCGTCGAGAGATACATACACGTCCTTCAGTGGAGTATCACGAGCCCCCAGTGGGTATCACGAGCCAAATGTTTGCTCGGATATGTTGTGTTGCTGTTGAGGATTAAAAAAAAGAAACACCAAACTGACGAGTAATTTGATGGATGGGATGGCGAGACAAGTGGAGGTGGGGAGTAATGCCATGATAAAATCGTTTAGAATATTTCACGGCTGTTGAGCTCGGTGGTAAGCCCCTGCTGGGATTATCCGTGGAATAATTATGTGCATATACGTGGGAGTCGGCAGGTTTTTTTGTGGGGATGAATATGGGGTATCAACAATTTGATGATTCTTCGAATTATCGTCAGGTTTGTCTCACGAACGACAAAATTTCAAGGAAAACCCAGCGAGTTAGAGGGAAAATTCTACGGAATTCCTGGTGAAAACACCATTTGTTTTTATTGGTCGATTCTATCGAGGAATTCCGCAGCTTTACTGTGCGTTTTCTTCATAGAGAATGTTCGTTCGGAAAAAGCGAAGAATTTCATCTTTCTAGACAACTTTTTCAATTCAGAAATTATCTAGGAGAATTCGTTAACATGAATTTTTCAAATTTTTTTTACAATTTTCCTTCTTTGTTCATTAAAAAAAATTAACAAATGGAATTTAAAAAATATTTTCCTGATATTAAATCATTTTTTCCCTCAACGCATTATTGTTCTCCAATGTTCCTTCAGTTTAAGTAGCGAGAATCAATAATAATGCAGGCGGGTTAAGAGTGAAATGTATGTCCTTTAAAAATGACATTTTTCAATGTTCACTAAAAAAGTTGGATTTTTTTCTCATTAACCCTCGGTCACTCGCGCTCGGCCGCTAGCTTTCATCCGTCGCACGGTTAGCGCAGCGCCGCTGTCTTAAACCAACGGCAGTGAATTAGTATTCTATTCATTTTTTTCATTTGTGCCCCCGCGCAGCACAAAAAGTGCTGGTTTAAAATTTTGTCGGCTGAACTAATACATTTTTTTCCACTAGTGAAGGGAGAATTTTTATTGTATTTTTCAACTTTTTATTAAGTGCACGCAGATAAATTTAAAAAAAAATTGTAGTGCTAGCACAGCTCAAAGTGACCGCCAGAAAAAAATTTCAGTGCCGGAACTAGAAATTTTATTGGGGAAAACGTGAATTTTTCCCCGTATTTCTGTGAAAATTTCACAGAAATCTCCGGAAATTTTAGCAGAAATACCGAGAAAGTTTACCTTAACAGCACTAGAATTTTTCGCAGCCGGTGGATTGTGATTTTTTCCAGTACTCTTACTAGAATTCAGTAGTGAAGCGGTAAACCGAGTTAAGTCGATTTTGACTATTAGCCAGTTTTTGCTGAATATCTCGGAATCTAAGAGAGATAGCAAAATTTTTCTCATGACTTTTTTTATAACGCTCTATTGGCTCTACAAAAAAGGTCATGACAAAAATCTTCCTATCCCTTTTAGATTTCGAGATATTCGTCAAAAACTAGCCAATAGTAAAAAACGACTTAACCCGGTTTACCGCTTCGCTACTGAATTTTTCTATAAAATTTCTTTCCGTGTGCGATTGGCACCCTTAACGACGCCACCCCGAGGCACTTGGACCCCCCGATGCTCCCCAACACGCCTCCACTACGTGATTCCCAACTCGCAAAACAGATTCATTCGGAATATTAAATCGGAATGAAGCAACTCACCGGTAGATGAGCTTTCTGCGGACGCTTCTTTTGAAGAAGCCACTGCAGCCGTTGCAAGCGAGGATCCCATAGTGCTTCCCCGAGCTGGTGTCCCCGCAGACCACGCAAATCAGCCCCAAACTCCGGGGTTTACTGCTGTGCTGGGGCTGTTGCTGCTGCTGCTGCTGTTGCTGTTGATGGGACTGAGTGAGCTGCTGCTGCTGCTGCTGGACGTGCTGTTGCTGCACCTGGAGGAGATGGGAGTGACCGTTTCCCAGGGCCGTCAGGTACGGTGATCGCGCCATGGGGAAGTCTGTTGGTATTCCTCGACAGAGAGGCACTGGACACTCTTGCACTGAACGGGATGCGTAGGGGTCGTGACTCGAGGCCGAGCCCGTCGTGCCCATGGGACTGTAACGCTCCGGGAGGCCTGGCGATATCACACTCGATTCTGCTGAATCTGGGAAAATTCATTTTTATTTTTATTGAAAAAATAGACAGTCTTTGCGGAGATTTGAATGGGAAAGGGTTGTTTAGGGGGGTTGTGTTGGAATGAAGATTTCACGTACGAAAACATGTCAGAAGTTTAGCGCGTGCGCTAGAAAATTCTGTTGGATTTCTATTGCATTTTCTATTTGTTTTTGACTCAATTAAAATTGTTGAATGGGAAATATTGTATCGAAAAAAATCAATGGAATTTGATTTTTCTAAAAAACTTCCTTGCCGCAAACTTTTTTATTTGATTTTTTACCAATTTTTTCTCTGATTTTTTAGATTCGTGGTTCAATCAACAAATAAATAAATTTGATTAATGAAAACAGGAGAGGAATAAAGTGGAAAAACTTATAAAATTCATTTCGAGGAGTTTCTGTAGGGAATGCCTCAATAGAAAAAGTTTCTCAATAAAATAGTATCATTGGGCATTCTCTGTAGAAAACGCGCAGTAAATCTGCGGAATTCTTCAATAGAGTTCACCAAAAATTAATAGAATTTTCGATAAAAGTTTACGAGAATTTTCTCTCGAATTCACTGGGTAATTTCCATGCAATTGTTGTTTGTCCGTTTTGAGGAAAATTCGATCCTTGTAATTGTTACATCCCTTTAATTATTATGTGTAATAGATTATTGAGTGATAGATCGAAACAAATTTATTAAATTTATCCAATAACCCACTCCATTGACTTATTTTTATTTATGAGAGATCGTCGGTGTTTGCTTATCCGACGGTCTGACGTACGACTCATGGAACGGCGAAGTAAAAAGATGAGAACAAAAATAAACATTGATCGATTGTTGTACCTATCGATATCATATGCCAGACTTTACACAAATGTCGTCTGATACGAGTGAGACTGGAAATGACCTGAGTTGCAAAATTGAAACATAAGACGGAAAACAATTGACGGGAAATTTTGTCTTTTGAGAGTAAATTATTACCGGTTCATGTGTTGTGATCCATAACAATGCATCTCTCGATTGGGATAGGTAATGCGTCATGAGGATTCGTAACATCAATAATATTCAGGCAAACATTTCTTGCAGGTGCCGTGTGAGTAGCAAACAACATCAAATTTTTTCAATAACTTTCGAGGAATTAACGACTTGAATAGTTTAATTTTCAGAATGAATTTAAAAATTCATTACAATTTCGGAAAATTACTCTTCCATTTAGCGACGACAGGAGATTTCACGATTCTAGAAAGACTCCCCCCGGTGATCTACACACGAAACCCCTTAATCAATCTTTAACGTATGAGAAATCCCTTTAACCTGAGAAATTCAATTTTGAAAATTCAATTCACTGTCAAAAGCAACAGCTACTGAATTCTCCAAAAAATTACAACAGTGAATATCAAGATACTTCCATCACTCAGTGATAGGAATATCAACCAATTATAATTATCGTTAAATTGTGAAGCTGTCAATGTTTAACATAAATCTTGAAATTTTAAATATTAAAGTAACCATCAATTTATACAATTAAATTTCGAAATATTCTATCAACCAATAATTTAGGTAGGAAGATTGACGATTATTTGGATAATCGGAAACCAAGTACCTAAAGTTGGAATTAGCTTGATAACCAAAAAATTACATTTTAGTATTATCAAATATTTTATTCACCATCAATCGAAAAATTTAGCTTATAAATTCTATAATATTTAAAATTTGGCAAATATAGTTAAACTTTGAGCAATATAACGAGATAATTATTTTTAATATTACCAAAATCTAATATTATTGTCTATCCCTGCCATCACTTCACCCAAACTTTTTCAAAACCTCATTTCTCGATGTAAATGCTGTTTGCCTTGGAGTCAAGCACTGGAATCCCCTCGTACCCTCTAAATCTCCAGAGGGAAATGGAAAACAGAGATGAAAAAAATGATGTTGTATCCGAGTCTTCCCCTCCAGAAAACACCACGAAAGCAATCGCCTGAGAAATTCCCACTGTCTCAGCCACCGGAATTAAGCCATACTTACTATTCATGCCCACAATTGATGAAATTAAACGATAAGGTTGAAAGTTTCGTTCAGAAGTGTGTAATTATTATTCTCCGAGGATTTATGCGAATCAAGTCCAATCAAATTTCGCCAAATACGTGGCCCTGCATTTATGTATGTATTTCCATCCCCCCGTGGTCTTCAACCCTCTTGACATAGAAAAACGATTTCTGGGATTACTTCAGGAGACTGTCTCAATTCAATTTCATTGCTTTGACTATTCACCCGATGGGGGCTCCAAAGAAGATTTATGAATTCGTCTGAAATGTCTGTCGTTTATGCAGTAATTGCCGTAAATAATACATAATATGTTACACAGAGAGAGAATCAATATTATAACGCTAATAATTCAGTAGCGAACTGGTAAAACGGTTCATCGGATTTATCTCGCAGTTGAGTTTTTGAAGAATATTTCCGAATCTAAGAAAAATAGCGAAATTCTCGTAATTACATTTGTTGCAGTTCTCAATCGGCTCTACAAAAAAGATTATAACAAAAAAATTTCTATCTCCCTTAGATTCCGAGATATTCATTGAAAACTGGCCAATAGTCAAAATTGCGTGCAATTGGTAATTGAAAATGAAATTCAATGGAATTTGCAAATGATTGGGAATTTAAGGCAATTGAAGTCTGCATTATTCCACAATGTTCAATGATTTTAGTTCTCATATCAAAACACATAAAAATTTCAAACTTTTTCCCTTGAAATTTCTAGAGTAATTTAATAATCCGAAACAGTTTTTGGGAGGAAATATTGCTGAAGGTGTAATTGGAGGTGAAACAATTCTTTATGAATACATTATTGGTGTTTATTCGTGATTTGATTAGACGAAATATTTTTCATCGATACAGACATCACCAATTTCTTCATCTACCCTTCACATCCATCGAAGTAGGGAATAGGGAGAAAGTTTAGCGATCCTCAGCATCACCGATAAAACATCTGGGTGCGAGCAGTCACTGAAATGTGATTTCCGTACAATGGAGGGGGTCGACAACAGTGAATTACTTCTCGACTACTCGCTCACACCACTTACTTTATTAGTCACGCTTTTCATCAGGGTTCTGACTTGATGGGATTTTATTTGTCCCGCGAAAGAGATCCACCAATTTGTCATTATTCATTGGGTAAAGGAATGAACAATTATGAGAATCAATAATTAACGATTTAGGTCTGAACGTTTTTATTTTTTTAAATTTATTTTTGTGTATTTACATTAACTCATTATTCAAATTCTGTTTTATTATTTATTCATCAACCTTTTAATTCTCTCATATAATTCTTGTTTCAAAAATACAATTTCGGTTGATGAAATCGTAACTTGATAATATTCCATGCAGAATGAAAAATAAAGTACTGTTTTTTCAAATTTTTTTCCATTCGTTTTTTTTTACAAATGATGTGTCAAACCTTAGTAGATGACTGCTATTCATACATTCACATAAAAAACATGCGTTTCCCCCCCTATTGTTCATTCCTCAAAGTCTTCATGTTTTGAAAAAATAAAAATAGTTCTCCAATTTAAACAATTTTATCCTTTCGTTTCTCCGTTATTTCGGGGTTGCGAAAAATCGGGATGAATGTACAATGTAAAAGTTGTACACCAGTAAGTAATATCTCCCAGAAATTCACTCGAACACACCCCCAAAGTATCGCAGTAACGTTTCAGAAGGCATAGGCTGCAATGATCCCATAATACCGGGGCGCAGGTGGCGCTCGGCAGCCCCGCACCATCCACCAGCATTGATATGCTAATGAAATTTGACGCCCTTACCAGTGCGCGAGGGAGGCTGGAAATCTACTCTACGGGTACGTTCTTCGCCCTGCAGTTTTTTATTATCCTCTCCCTCTCTCTCTCCCTCGCCCGCGAGTCTCAGTTTAACTCTGTCATTGCATTCCGCTCGACGCCCAGTCGAGATTTGATTACCCTAATGGCCTGATACTCTTGTCCCTTTGCATTGCCCTCTACTGTATTCTGTAATTTTTTGATGACGTTTTCATTGTTTTGATGTCCCAAACCGGTTGTCCCTTTTCGTCTTGCACTATTCAATTGTTTAATCTTTGTATTAACTATCATTCACTACTTTTCATTGAAATTCATGTCAACTTTTATTTTTGAATATGAAGACGGGTTGGTCTAGAGTTGATAATTTCCTGATGGCATCCTCGCTCATTTTTCCAGCTCCACTGTTACTACTTTACAATAATAATTTGTTTTAAATTATTGGAGCAGAATGAATAGCTAAATTGTTTTGAAGTTGTCGTCATTACACGCACGAAAATATTCCATTGAAAAATCAGTAGAATTTCATTTTTCTATACAACTTTTTCTATTGATACATTTTTTATGGGAATTCCTCGACGTGAATTTCCTACGTTTTTTCCACTTATTTCTCTATTTTTTCATTGAAGAAATCTAATAACAAAAGTTAGGAAATTTGCACCGAAGAGTTGTATAGAATCATCGAATTCTATTGATTTTTCCTGTACAATATTTTCCATTAAACATTTCGATCGAAAAAAAGCGCAGATGAGCTGCGAAATTTTTTTATGGAATCAGCTAAAAACTATTGAAAAATTCAATAGAAAAACCCTGCGAATTCGATTTTTCTGTAAAACGTATTCTATTGAGATATTTTCTACAGAATTTCCTGGGCTCAAATCTTCCAAGTTATTTCATTCTACTTTTCTCTTCTTTTTACCAAGAAAATTAAACAAAAAAAACTTGGAATATTTTAGCCGAGGAAATTCTTCAGAAAATATTTCAACAGAATAAGTTGTAAAAAAAAACTAATTCTATCTGAGTTTTCGAGGAATATTTCAAAATCTACAGCAGATAGCGAAATTTTCGTAATGACATTTGTTGTAGTTCTTAACCGGCTCTACAGAAAAGGTTATAACAAAAATTTAGCTATGTCCCTTAGATTCCGAGGTATTCATTGAAAACTGGTCGACAGACAAAATTGACTTGTACCACTTTACCACTTCGCTACTGAATTAAATTTTCTTGCTTTCATGACTTGAGCCTATTGTGCCTTCCCTAGCTAATTTCGAGCGGAAGATGTGAATGAAATTTGTTCAGAGGAAATTTTTTGATGACATGCTTATCATTTTGCCTATCACCACCATTATTATATCTCCAAACAATCACTGTTGGGCTTTAAACAGCACGCGCGTTACACGTATGTACCTGACATGTTATCTGTCGTATTATTCCAACAGGTGTAGAAATCATTTATTTGTCTCTCCTGCTTTCATTCATTTGTTAGTTTGACATTGCCACGCAGCCTTGAAGATTTATCATATATCAAAACAAAACATTAACTCGATGCATGAGTAATTGTCGATACCGTTAATTCTTGAATTCTTGACTCTTCATGCACTGCATTTCTCAATGTTCGAGGAAATAATATTCGTCACGTACCAACGGGTGATATTCCACGGCGATTAATTCGGGAAAACATGGCATTCCACTTGATTAATCCGTCGGGATTAATTGTTCATAAATTCAATAAATTGGCGCATTTTGATGCATAAAATAGTTGAATTACTGTTTGGATTGAAAATGAAAATATAAAGTTCATTGATGCCACGAAATTTTAAGAATGATGATTGAGAATTGTTGTAGTTTTGAACATGTTTGGGTTTTCAAACAAGAAAACATTTTTAGTTAGATATTTCTGTTCCTCTCTCTCTTTTGTTCGCAATATTTAAGGGGAGACTACTAGGAGTTTTACGAGTCGCGGGCTATTGAAATGCGATTTTTTATACAGTGAAGATCGATTACAAATGTCTAAAAATGAATAATTAGTGCAAAAAAAAATTTTTATTGTTCGTTTGCCCCGCAGACGCCTAAAATATTTAAAATCGTTCAGGGCCTCCAATTCCTTAGCTACAAAGGTTTCTTTTTTTTTTCAAAATGTTTGAAAAAATATGTGCAATAACAATTACGAATTAGTTTTTTAAAATTCACCTCCTACGCAGCTAATTTCGTTATTCTTTAAATAAAAAATTGCACCATTCATGTAAAATAGCCTGAAAAATGTTTCGGAAAGAATCGAGAATACATTTTAAATATTTTAAGGATCATTTCCGCATCAACGTATTAAATTCCAAAATAAGCTGAAGGTCAAAAAATTGCTCTCCTCCATATATTTCAAATATATTGAGCAAATTTGTGACTACTTGAGAGAATGCAACATAAAAGTGCAGAATAGACAGTAATCAACGACAGATCTTAAATTTGAAGGGTTCATACGAATAACGCAGAACAAATCAGTGTGAATAATTTTACAATAAATTGAGCACTTTAAACAATCAAAAAACATCCTGAACGCTGTACCCCATGAATTTACTCCTCTCCCTCCCTAGATTTCAAAAAAGCTCACCATGTCGAACGCTCAGCGGACTAGGACTCCTCGGATGCTCGGACCCGGTGTCATTCTGCGACGGCTGCCGCTGCATCTGACTATCCGAGGCCCCAAGATTAGCTGTCCCATTCATCTCCACTCTCACTTGTCAAACCAATCAAACGGCCAATCCCAACAACTCCAGTGAACTAAGAATTACAACAAATCGCGATTCACTCGACAAGTCCCTGAGTTCTACCGACACTTGAATTTCATTTCTCTCTGATTCAATGTTCCACTCGACTTCACTGAAAACTCGAGACTTTCCGCGTGCTCATTATTTATCTCTCATCTCATTGTTTATTTTGACACCTGTCAAGTGTCATGCTCATGGAAACACTGACGATCAGTTAATTTCGATCTGTCAATAAACCGATTGATCCGTGAAAATTAATTAATTTTTGAATTATGCCCCGTGGAGAATTGCCCGTGGGCTATCACCTCTCGTCACGCACTCGTTTTCCGTTGTAACACGTCAGGAGATAGCGGCACGGAGCTTTGGCAGTTCAAGTAGAACAAGTACCCGGGTATTGCATGCAGCGGTACCCGATTGGTCGGACTGTACTTTTGAAGGCGGGATCAGGAGGCAACGGGAGAAAAACAACAAAACTGGGGATACGAGGATTTAACCTATAGCCGCTACGTTTGACGCGGCGTCGCGGCGCAGGCGCCGCGGCGAGACTGCACCCCCCCTGCGGGTGAGGGTCTGTGTGGGTGTGCGGGAGACGATGCCCCTTTGGACGGCTTTATCATCTGGGTGTCTGACTAAGACGGTGTGCGCTGCCATACTATCTGCTGCGGGGATTCGTGGTTCCCGTGAAAAGGGGGCAATTGTTGATCGTTGGCGAGCAAGAGGATGGCCGAGGGTTGGGGTGCAGCGGCTGCCTCTGATGGCTGGGGATTTTTTAAATCGGGGGGAATTGGAGGAGAATTCGCTAAGAGAAATTGTTGGGTTTAAAGTTGTATAAATAAGAATGGATTTTTTTTAAACATTATTTTTTTACAGCGCTCTGACTCGGTTTTGAGTGAAGCATGAAAAAATTTAATTGTAAAATCTAGCGCATTCGGTGACAAAATCTATTATCTATTGGATTTCTATTGAACTTTCTGTTAGTTTTTGACCGATTCTATTGGAATGTTCAATAGAATTCGATTTTTTATAGAAATTCCTCGACTCAAATTTTCCCATTTTTTCCTTCTATTTTTTTTTTTTTTTTCATGAAGAAAATCGAAGAAGAAAACTTGGAAAATTTAAGCCGGCGAAATTCTATAGAAAATTTGTCAATAAGATAAGTTGTACAGAAAAATCGAATTGTATTGACTTTTTCTACTGAACATTTCACTAGAATCGGTCAAAAACTAATAGAAAGTTTAATAGAAATCCAATAGAACTATCTAGGGAATTCTCTAGATTTTGTTATCAAATTTTTTCGTAAGTGGTGGGGGGGGGAATTAGGGGCATTCGGTGAGAGAAATTATTGGGTTTAAAGTTGTATAAATATGAATTAATATTTTTTAAATCATTATTTTATAATTAATTAATTTATATTAATTATTATAAAATAATTTCTATTAACTAATTTATAACTGACTCTGTTTGGAGTTACACACGAAAAAATCGTCGATCGGAATGAGAGTCAAAATAAGTGTCATGAGGCTCAGAATATAACGAGGGTAGAATAAGGGTCCAAATAGGGATCATAAGGTTCAGATTAAAGGTCACAAGGTTAAGGGTCAAATTGAGGGTATGAATAAGGTGATAAGGATTATGGGGGTCACATAGAGATCACATGCGAGTGATATGGGGGTCACATGTAGGTCATACGGAGGTTGGCGAGCGGAGCGAGCCAGGGGCATAGCCCCCCGCCATTTCTAAAAAAAGAAAATTATAATCCCTGTTCAAATCAAGTCTTTGAACTTGAAAATTTCCCTTTCACCAATTAGAATAAAGCCGCTCCAATCAACATGTATTCGAGTCAGCCCCTTCCTCCAAAACATTAACTACACAGTTCTACTTCATCCATCCGGGAAAAAGGTGTTGCAAACGCGAAGGATTCGACTCTAGTATAATTAATTATTCCATCGAACTCCCGATTCCTGAAGTGTTCGTCGGGTGTCGACATTGGGAGCCCTGGTGTGCGCCGTAATCAGTTTTCCAGGAGTCCCCGGGTAAGATCGCAACCCCCTTCGGTGGATGAGAGAGCGCGTAGCGCCGGAGGGGGTGGGGTGAGGGTGGAAGAGGGCTTTGACTCTGTACGTCCGCCATGCTGGATTTGCCGTGGTGTTTGTGAGAGAACGCGAGGAGTCGTATTCCACCCTCTACCGGGCAGGAGGTAGGGTGGGGACGTCAGGGGGTGGCTGTACCTATATTCTCAATCTCACCCCCCCCCCGGGCCCCTATTACATGACTAGGCCACGCCCACCGCGCACAAAGACCAGCCAATCGTAGGGCAACGTCGTGACACTGTCGTCCACCAATAGGATTACCCTCTGACACGGTCTTTCGTTTGTCACCAATTGCACAAGCCAAACTTGTGAATGTTTCGCCTCGGCGAGTATCTCCGAGTCTCGTCTCTCAATTCCAGAGGGTCGAATGCACGGGATAAATGCGGTCTATTATTTGGGGATGAAATTCTCTATTTGAGGAATTCAGACGATTCAAGGGATTTTTAATTGACGTGTCGCTGGAATTATCATCATCGTAACTTTTAGAATGAATTTTTGATGAATGGGTGATTTTTAGGAGATGAATTTTGCTCATTGTTTGGGGATGAAATTCGCTTTTTGAGGAACTTAAAGGATCAAGGAGTTTTTAATCATTTTTTTTAATAAACTAGGATAATGCGGATGCATATTTTGCATCAAGAATGCAAAACTTGAGGAAAAAATTAGTGGAAACTACAATTTTTGGTTCAATTACCCCAGGAAAATTGATAAAAACCGAGAAAATATATTTTTCAATTTTCAATTAATTGAAAATTTTGCGTAACTTAATGTTCAATAGCTGAATGCTTCGATTCAAAATACTTCGATTGAAAATAAGATGAGAAAAATTCGAAATGTCATTGAATTTCCAGCAAAATTTGAAATTCAAACCTTTTCTTCACATTTCACGTCCATTGTAATCACGCCCACTGCTTGTATGCATTTTATTTTATACCATTATAACAATAACGTTTCAATGCTTTTCGTTTTTGCCTCGTTGTACACCTGGAGCTTATAAAAGAAAAATGACACTCAGACACAGATAAAATCTTTTCATTTCGTAAGAACATTTTTTTAATATTATGAAAACACCTTAAGAACAAGTTATTTTCCCAATTCCCCACGAAATTTTCAACCTCAACAACTCTAAAAAACCTGAAAGATATTTTGAAATTGAAATAATTTATTGTCCTGTCATCTCCCTCAATAGTATTGACCGATCCCTCTGTAATGATCTGTATACGTTTGTCAGTTACATCATTCGACCGTCACAAATTTCCAAAGAGGAACAATTCTAAGAGCACAATTCGTTCGATATCGCTCCGATTACTCAATTCTATTGAATTGAGAAGCGCCAATATTCTTGTCAACAAGCATTGAGAGCTCATTGAAAACGGTTTCCATGTCTAATTCAGCATTAATGGTGAAAAGAGCCTTCCCATAATGTTTAAGAAGAGCTCGATTCTCCCGGAGAAATAATTTTATTCGTCTCTCAATTGTCTCCTCATTGTCGTCCCTCCGTCCTGACGTAATCGCCCGACCTAAGAGTCGCTCTTTTAGGAGACTTTCCTCAGCCTTTAAGTAGATTACCACGTCTGGTGGACGAATGGCCTTTTCAAAGAGCTTCGCTTGGGACTTTTCGCGGGGATAACCGTCCAGGACGAAGCCGCTCGTGTAGTTCAGCGAGGAAATCATTTTTTCTTTTATCAAGTCCAGGACTAGATCCACTGGGATTAACTCTCCTCGGCCCATCATTTTGTCGATTACTAGGCCACGCTCTGTGGGCTTTGATGCCTCCTCTCGGAGAAGTTCACCGCTGGATATGTGAATGTAGTCGTATTTTCGGGCGAGACGCTCGCATTGAGTTCCTGGAATTTTTGTCGATATTTGGGGTTCGGTAATATTCTTGCAAAACGGTAATTTCTTGTTAAGTTTGAAATTTTCTGGGTAATTCATTTTTTCGAGGGAGACACGCACAAAAGAAATCGTGGAAAAACGTAACGAATTTGATAGAAAATTCTATTGAATTTTCTTGAAGAATGCCGCAGCTTTACACACGTGAATAAATTTAATAAAAAAAAGCTAGCAAATTCTAAATATTAAAAAGACTTAAATATTCTATTGCGATATTTTCTGTCGAATTTTTTCGGCCCAAGTTTTTTTTTTCATTTTATTTAATTTTTGTCATCAAGAAAATCAGACAAACAATCTTGGAAACTTTGAAACGAGGAAATTCTATAGAAAAAATCTCAGTGGAATAAGTTGTGTAGAAAAAATGAATTCCACTGACTTTTTCTGTAGAATATTTTCTATGGTAATGGAGAATGTAATACAGAATTTCCGATAGAACCAATTTTATAGAAAAATTCGTGAAATCAACAATAATTCAATTTTTCTATAGAACGTTTTCCACAAGAAATTCTAGAAAGGAAAATTCTATTGGATTTCTAGTAAACTTCTTATTGATTTTTGGCCGATTCCTTTAAAAAATCCCACAGCTTACCTGTGCGCCTTTCTTGTTAATGAAAATTGAGAATGAAATAAATATTGTATACTAAAAAGCAATAGAATTTGATTTTTCTATACAATTTATTCTGTAGAAATTCCTTGGCTCAAATTTTCTGATGTTTTGCAGGCGATTTTTCAAATGAAAACAGCACCAAAAAAATTACAAAATTTGTGTCGAGGAATTTCTGTAGAAAATGTCTCAATAGAACAAGTATCGCAAGATGCAATTCTTCTCATTATTTCTGTGAAAGAATTTTTATTGGAAATCCTCAGTCAACAGACGTTCAATAAAAAGTCAACAGAATTTCCCATCGAATTCCCCAGTTTTTCTATGAATTTTTTCCTGTCTGATAAAAAAATGCATTTGTTACGTAGTTCATATCCCACCGCTAATTATTTACGAAATTGATATTCTAAATGCTTTTGAGAACAAGCCTACCATGTGGCAGCCAATACGTAGAATAAACCGTTTCACCCTCGCTATTCTCGCCGACAGGATGGAGCTCACCTTTGCCAGCCCCTGGTCCTCCCAGGACGAAAATAATGGGAAGCCTCGAGTTCCTCAAAGAATTCTCATCGATCTCAGCGTTGGGGTTCTTCAGTGGAGCTAAACGATTGCCCATCGTCAATTGCCACAATTTTTCCCGAATTGAAACGTCTCAATCAAAACGAAATTGATGTGATGATCTTTCATCAGAAAATTCAGCATCGATTTCGTCAAACAAAAAGCCATCGCTTGATACCTCAATTTCAATTTCATTGCTGTCGATTACTTACCATAAGAGCTGATCCAGGTCTGACAACAGAATGACTTTTCCACTTCAACAATAATTGTTGGTATAATTTTATTACTCTCAGTGCTTAAATGTCGTGTATAAACATTTGTAATTCATAATTAACATAAACAATAACAATCGATTGAAGCAGAGTCAATGATCTAGGTATAAATAAAAAGATAATAGAGCTAGATAATCTGATTGTCTACAACTACCTACTCCTCAGTGACTACACAGAGAGAAAAATCTGTTGAAAATTATTGCTGAAGAAAATACAATCACTCCAGCAAAAATGATATTTTTCTAAAATTTCCAATTGAAAAAACTCCACATTAATCATTTTAATTTAATAATTTTTAATAATGTAATCCTCAATCATTTTTTCTCTTTGTGTTTTGGATAATCACATCTCTTCGTCACGCACAATGAAAAATATAAAAATTTTTGTAAATTTTCTAGTGACGACGAGACTCGCAATACAAATTACCATAAAACAACCTGATACTCGTGAAAAATGTATTTATAATAATAATAATGAAATTTACACTGATATTTTAACTTTCTTCTTTCTCTTATTTTTCTTCTTGTCGTGATGGAGTTCCTGTTTTTTTGTTAAACATATTCGACAGTACCAGTTCTCCTCGTCGGCTGGGGGAACTTGCATTCCAACACAAACCCTGCAAATAAAATTGTATAAATGAATGAAAGGAATTCATTAGTAAGTCAAAAGTGAAAAAGGAAGGGAAAAGTCGGTAAAAAAAATAGGAATTCCGTACCAGTGATACCAGGCATCGCAATCGTCACATCCAATCATGGGGGTTCCATCGTCCTGGTTCCCACAGGCTGGACAAATCCACACTTGGTGGCCTGTGTTATCAACTATTGTTGCAACTGGACGATCTGGTAGTACTACAGGTACATGTTCTTTTATTTCTTCTTTTTTATCTGCTTTTACTTCTGCATAAAACAAAAATGATGATTAAGTACATGAAATGGTAAAGTTAGTGTTCTCAAATCAATTGAAATATTCTTTTCATTTTTATCAAAGAAAATAATCATGAAGATGTTCTTTAATTCATTAATTGTTTGAAACCAAATGATTTCATCTTCAATATTGATTTTACAATTTTGGAGGTTCATGAATAAAAATGATGGATTTAATTGCAATCAAGTGGACAATCGCATTTTTTTAAATGAGAAGAGAGAATGGGATCTTTTTTTGTAATTCTTATTTTATTATTCTTCTCTCATTATTCACACAAAAAATTGGAAAATAAAATTTGAACGATTATAAAAGCGTCCGTTCAGAAACAAAAAACCATTCTTACTTGGAATTTTTGGTTTTGGAGGTCTCGTCACTAACGCCGAAATTTTTGCTAATTCTGGACTAGATTCCCTTTTGACAACGTCTTCGGGCTTTTTCACGAGTGGTTTAATTGTTCTGAAAAAAAGAAAAATCATTTAAAACGAATTGACTCAACAATGTGGAATTTTTCACGGCAAAATACTCACATTTTCTTCGTCGATGGATTATCAGGGGTGGGTGGCCTCGGCGAGGATTTACCGAGCTTGAGGGTGATCTTGGGAACACTCTCACTCTCCTTCTCTTTCTCTTTCTCCTTTTCCTTCTCCTTCTCCTCTTTCTCCTTTCGTTTGTCTTTCTTCTCTTTCTTCTCCCTGATTTTCTCCAGTTTTTCCTTCTTCTCTTTATTCTTCTCCAGTTTCTCTTTGTGCTTTTCTTTCTTGTCTTTTTTCTTTTTTATCTTGTCTTTCTTATCAATTTTGTGTTTTTTCGGTTTCTGGAAAGTGAATTAAATGGTCATTTAAATTTTATTTTTCTCCTGAATACAATTTTTTTGTTAATGGATTAGCAATTTGCTTCTGAATGGTAAAAAATAGTCCACTCAAAGTTGAGCAATTAAAAATCTTCCATTCAGAAGTGAAAAACATCTGGCTTTACCTTCTCAACTTTCTCAGGTTTCTCCACTTTCTCCACCTTCAATGGCACTGGCACTGGCACTGGTGGATGACTCGGTCCTGGAGCAGGAAACAAATCATACCTCGGTGGAATGATTTTCATGTTGGCAGGTGGTAAGAATGGTGGTCGTGGCAAGGGCAAGTGCTGGAGAATTGGTGGTGCAGTGGGCATACCTCGTCCCAGTGGAAGTGGAAATCTCGTGAACATGGGTGGTAGCCCATGGGGTATCAGTCCTGGTCCTGGTGGAATAAGTGGGCCTGTGGGAATGAGCCCAGGGGCCGCAGGGAACGGCGGAAAGTACGGAAAACTCGGTGGTATTGTCCTGTCCTTTGAAAGACAGGTCTCCAGTGCCTCTGGGGTTTTCGGCCTCCCCAGGACCTCCTCGGTCATATCATGCACCACTTTGCTCTGGGAAAATATCAGGTATAAACTCGTTAAGACGTTCATTTCTACCGGAGGAATACTACACTGATTTTCCACACGAGATTAATTTTCACGTTACTGATCATTCGGTAATGATCTGTTTTTTTTAGTTAGTGATGAGTGATTAGGTGAATGAGTGAATGTATTGAATGCTACAGTTATCATCTATACTTTCTTTTATTCGAAAAATATTCGTTATTTGAACATTATTCAGCTAAATCTAATAAATAAATAATTTTCCTTTTAGGTAATTCTTTCGAGTGTTCTCTAAGATTATGAAAATTATTGACATTCGATTTTTGGAATCGTTTTGAGAGATACCTTACACTAATGAGATGGTTTATCCTAATTAATGGAAGTTAATGGAGTTATTATTAATAAATAATATTTCTGATGGACTTATGGTAGTTATGTTGTTAGTACAATTTTGTTGGTCGTGGTGATACATGTGAAGTAATACTGCTGGGATTCAGTTTAGTCTTCCTCTGGGGAAAGAAAGCGATGGTAGAGTGGTGAAATGTGGCAAAAATCTTGACTTTTTCACTTCTTCGAATGTGCTCTTGTTTCTGGAATGTGGCAATTCAGGGGCGAGATATTGAGAAACATTTGGAACATGTTTGGAGGTATTCATTGAAAACTAATCAAAAGTCAAAATCTACTTAAACCGTTTCAATTAATTAAAATGGAAAATTGACGATAATTTAATGAGTTTGAATTGTTTTTCAATCATTCTCCGTTCATCTCGAGATTAATTGCTTTCAGGGGAAAATATTAGAGCACTTTTTATTATCGCTTCGTCTGATGATTGAATATTTAACAAAAAAGAAAACTCGATGACGTCGTAACGAGTGAAAATTAATTTCCATTAATTTTGCATTAATCTCAGAAACAATCGATGTCAATAAAAAAAACAAAATCCTTTTTGAAACTGATGAAATTCTTAACCAAAATTCGTTTAAAATTTCCACCTAAAACCACTAATTATCCAGCAAACAATTTTCTTTTCTTCAAAATGAAAAATCCAAGAGATAATGACTTAGCAACCACATTCCACTCCTCCTCGAAAAATAATGAATTCATATCATAAATATACCTTTTGCGGACTTTCTTTAAACCCAGGGCTCTTCAAGTTATCTTTTTTCTTACTACCCTTCTCTTTCCTCTTTTTCTTAGTCTCCACAGGTGGCCCAGGGACATTCAGCTCAGGTGTCTTGGGAGTGCTGGGCGTCCCCGGCGGTGACATATCGTCAAACATATAAACATCATTATTGGGACTCCTCAGATCCATGATATCACTGTCCCCATGAGCATGAGCATCAGGCGTATGAGGGACCTTCTTCTCCTCCCTCCTGGGCTCGACCTCCCGATGCTTATCCCCAACTTCATCAATGATCAGCCCCGGCGAGTTATCCCTGAACTCCACCTCCTTGTGCTTGTGATGATCGACAACATCTTTGTCGTCCCGAGGCTTCGATATCTTCTTAAAAATATTGAGCTTCTGCTTGTCATGCTCTGAAGGCAATTTATCAACATTCTCCTCCTTCTTGTCAGGTGGATTCAGGGGAGATGTCTTGTCTCCCTTGCCCTTGGGTGCACTATTTTTCGAGATTTTCGACGGTGATTCCTCCTTCTGTGCTGGATGCACTGGGGTTGGACTCGTTGACGGTGAGAATGTCTTTACCCCACCAGGTTTCAGGGGTTTTAGTTTAGCTGTCTCCTTCATCCCCGCCAGCTTCTTCACCTTGGGCTCAGTGATCTTGTCAGCTTTGAACAAATCCTCCTGCTTTCGGTTCTTCTTTTTATTCTCCTTGTCCAATTTCTTGTCCTCAGGTGTCTTCTTAACGATTTTCTTGATCTTCTTCTCGGATTTTAGCTCGGGGGGGACCATGGGGTACGTCGCAGGCGGTGGAGAGTCCGCTCGAGCCTGGACTGGCGTCCTGGGCTCAGGGAGTTTTCCCTCGCGTGCAGGCGAGAGAAAACCTGAGGTCGTCATCATGACACTGTGGATTTCTCTGAGAGGTCTGCTCTCGTTGTCCATCCTCGGGCGTTTGCCCATCCCTGGACTGTCTGACAGGGGCTCCCCAGGACGTTTGAATATTATCTCTGGGGACTGAGTCAGGACTGAGGGCTCAGAACCTGGGGATGTCGTCTGCCTGTCCAGGGGGGAGTCCGGACGAATCTCGGGCTCCTTGTCGGAGGTCGTTTCGTCGTCTGGGTGCATCGCTGGGAGGTGCTCGTGGATGTGGACTGATCTGGTGACGACTTCTCTACTTCCTGGCTTCAGGAAGTTCAGGTGGTTCTCACGGGTTATCGGGTATTTTGGGACTGATATTGCACAGGGCACTGAGTCCACGTTTTTTACGTACTCCGAGAGCTGCTCGATGTCGATACTCATGTGCTGGAACGCCAGGCCAAGGTCATCCAGGTTCACCTCCGTTCTTCCCACTGGAATTTTGGGATATTTAGAGAAATGTGGCGTGGGTGGTGAAAACGGTCATTAAAGATAATCGGGTGAGGGGTAGGACATTCTCAAAATGCAGCCAATTTTATGAAGATTTTTTCACACGTTATTGAATCCATTTCGACGACGTTGGCAAAATTTGAGAAACCGCAGAAGCAGGGCAACACAAAAATGATTTTTAAAGTTGCTGTTTATACGCGAGGTTAAATGGGTCAACTTGCAGAGGTTTGAAATGTTTGAAATAGGTTGCACCGAGCCCAGTTAAGAAAATCCTCAGTTACAGCATTAGTAAATTAGTAAAAATAATCTGCTGATAATTTTGATTGAAAGTTCCTCGAAGGTATTTCACAAAAAAACGTGGGGTGTCGATGTATCATCACGAAAATTTCGAGGAAACGGTAGCCTTCTGTTACCCCTTAAAAATGTACAATTCTTCTTCTTCGAGAAGAGCCCACTCAACATTGCAAGAAAAGTAAAAGTTCAATTTGCCCCGCCCTTCCCGATGAATTATGGAATCATTAACAACTCACAAATCTCTGAATACTGATGAGACAATCTGTAAACCCTGAGGAAGTACTCCTGCATGAGATCAACCATGAACTCCAGGGGTGTCGAGTTTATCGAGTGCCAGCCGATGGTCTGGCATATCTGAGCTACAACAACTCTCAATATCCCTCGAGTGTAGTCAGACATTTTGTTAAAAATCTCCGGAAACGTCAAATCAACTGAAACAGATCCACAAAAACAGAGGAGTGAGGTTATATTCATGAATCCCACCAAAACACCACTAGCCCCTCTGCTCCAAATTTTTTAAAAATATCCTCAGACTGGAATCAATTCCGCTCACTCACCTTTTAAAAAACCATCAACTATCAACGCAAAATCAGATGTTTGTCGAAATAAAATACAACTAGAATATAGTACGCGTTGGTGTAACGATTTCTCGAGCATCAAGGGACGCCTCTCCAAAGGATTTCATCCATTTCCACATTTTAACTGAGTATTTTCAACGATTAAACGATTATTTTTGGGTGATAACCCACAGTCTGTACGTAAACTGCTGTTTTATTGTGTAATTTCGTCGTAGGAGTTGATCGTTTATGTTTATGAAACTCGACAGTTCAACAACTAGAGCGGCTGCGTTCTGATACTGCCGAGTTACCGGCACAGGCAGCTCGCCCAGCCGTCAGATTCGACCGTGGCGCCATCCCTCCGTTGAGGTGATACTATTTTTGGCTTGGGATCGCCTGAACCCCGAGATCTGAGCCTCTACTTTAGTCTATCCTCTTTGTGTCCAGTCGTGGAAGAATGAACGGAGCCCCCCCTGATATCAGTGTCACTAAACCGCAAAAGCGTAAGTGCGTGATAACCGCATTAGAAAGTGAGTAATACTCATAAAATATCGATATAACCGGATGAAAAAACTCAGTATGAAAACCTGGAGGTTTCCGTGAGACTTCTGTTGGAGTCTTATTGAAAATTTATATTTGTCTTTTTTTCGTTTTTTTTTTCAATTTCTCCAAAACAATATTTACCTTTACTATTCAGTTCTTTTTAATTAGACAGAATTTTTCATGTGAATTTATTTCATATGAATTGTTTCCTTGAGCTTTTAATCTGGTAAAACTCCTGAAACTCTTAAAACGCAGTTAAAAAATAATGTAAAAAAGTTGATAAACAAAAATTAATTTTGAAGAATAGTTGATAGAAAATTTTTTTTTGTTTGAATTCCGTCAAACAGTCGTTTTTCGACTATTTCATTTTGCCCGGCCACTCTCCCTCATTACATACTTTCACATGTCTCAACAATTAAAAAATGATTTAAATTAAAATCCCCAGGAGGAAGACAGCCAACACCAAGAACTCGTTGGCAGTCTAAAGCCCCAAACTCCTGAGAAATGAGCCTGTCACCCCCAGAGCTGCTGAAGCTCCTGCGTCTCCTCGACGAGGAGAATGCCAACACCCCCCTGGACACCCTCATAAAGCAGCTCCACCAGGAGTTCCCTCCCGAGGATCGTTTCAAGGTCGGTCTGACCCTGGTGCTCCTCCTCCAGCAGATCGACTTGCTCCCAAACCCCTCCCAAAGATTGATAGCGATAGCACTGCTCTACCACCTCTACCAGAACGAGTCGTTCGCATCAACACCGTTTGCCAGTGTCTTCAACAAGATCCTCAAGCCGATGGAGCCCATCAACTCAGAAAAATCGAGCCAATCTGGCCAGGCCCCGATACTGTCCCAGTACGAGACCAAGTTCCTAGCTAGTCTGCTGGGGTTCAATTCATCTGAGACCCTCAAACGCACCCCCAGGAAGATCATCGACAACTTGTACTTCTCCCCAGCAAACGTTAACAACGATGCACTGACCAATCTGCAGCTGCAATTGGCTGAACAGCAGTCCGAGTTTCCGGCGGTCAGCAAGTGTGGAAGTCCCATCATTTTACCGGACTCCGAGGGCTCGAAGAAGGTGGAGAGTGATAAGACTACTAGGAGGGAGGTGAGATCCATAAGATTATTCACGTTTTTAAGAACAATTTCGTTATTCTATTGGAATTGCATTGGCTTTTTACAATGAGAGAATAATTTCCTAATATGGGGACCATATTTAGTTGAGAGGAGTCAATTACTTTCAATGGCTTAAGGATATCTATAGATTCAACCATTTTCAATCATTAAATTTGTCATATTAAGTTGTGTGAGAAAATTTAGAAAAAAATCATGAATATTCAGCGCAATTTAAATTACATTTTGCACAGAATTATTATTTTTTTAACATTCGTTGTTTACAAATACTTAATTGAAATTATTTAAACCTTCAGAAACCTTACTTTATTCGGCATGAAATTGTTTCTGGTAAACTCCTGAATCTGAATGAAAATTGATTGTTTTGTCGTACGTGTTCCCACACACTCATCACGACCCTTCCTTTATCCATCAGGTGATCGAGAGCCTGATCTCCGGAGATCCCCCCATCTGCAGTCAGAACTACTTCCCTGAATTCCTGAGACTGGCGCCTCCGCTGTACAACAGATCGAGTGGTCTTCCCTGGATGGACGTGACCGAGCGATCCCAATTCACAGTGGAGTACGACACAACGATGTGCATATCGAATAGCGCAGGGGCTGAGGCTCGTAGATTGATGGGAAAGGCTTTTAAAAATGTACTGACTCTCCAGCAACAGCAGCACCTGGTGACTGAGCTCGAGAAGGATCCCAAGCTGGTTTACTCGATTGGCTTGACACCACTGAAACTGCCAGATCTCGTCGAGAACAATCCACTGATTGCCATTGAAGTACTCCTCAAACTCATGCAGTCTAGTCAGATAACCGAGTACTTCAGTGTTCTCGTTAACATGGAAATGTCGTTGCACTCCATGGAAGTCGTCAATCGTCTCACCACTACTGTTGATCTTCCCACTGAGTTTGTTCACCTTTACATTAGCAACTGCATTTCTACCTGTGAAACTATCAAGGACAGGTACATGCAGAATCGACTTGTGAGGCTGGTGTGTGTGTTCCTGCAGTCGTTGATCAGGAATAAGATTATTAATGTGCAAGAGCTGTTCATCGAGGTGCAGGCGTTCTGCATTGAGTTCAGTAGGATTAGGGAAGCTGCTGCGTTATTCAGGCTGCTTAAGCAGCTGGAGTCGGGGGATGTTGCGGGGCTCAATGCCTCGGCGAAGAAAAATATCGATATTTGTTAGGGGATTGGGGGAGCTGGGGGCAGTAATCTAAAGTTATTGTAATTATGGCTTTCTTTTGATAGCTGGATTTTTGGGAATTGAGTGAATAAAGAGGATTTTTCATGGATTTTTGGGACTTTTCATGGTGTCTCCTTGGTTTTTCTTATTCAGTTGACAATAATTTTAGAGATGGACATTTTTAATTAGGTTTTTTTCATCGTAAAGCGAGAGCAAATCATTTTCTTGAATTGAGAATCCGCAATTTCATCACTCAAGTATGAGAAAATTCACGCATGAAAAAATTCTCAATTGAAGAATAAATATTTTTTATTCAAGATTAAAGCATTTTTTAGTTAAGACTTGCTTGACATTCTTGAAGTAAGAATCCGGAAAAATGTAGGAAACCCCTAATCCATTATAAAAATTCGATTCAGGTTTTGTTTTCCGTGCTATTACCAGATATCAATCTTTTCCCCTAGGGTAATCACCTGCAAGAATCTAAAAAGTTTTGATATTCCGTCCTAAAATGGTCTCAACCCCCTTAGAGTATCCCTAAATCTCTTTATATCCCACTTCCTCCCATTGAAAAACAAAAAGTTCACTCGAATGACTCCGTAAGCAATTTATTATTCTTCATCGGAATAAAAATCGGTCAATACTCAATTCAAGGGGAAACATTCCCAATTTATCTACAATTCAAAAATTAATTCCTCGAATAAAAATCCTGAGAATTGACAATTTTAGAAAATTTTGAGAGTAATTCAAGCTGAAGTTTTTTACATCGTGAATCCATCATAATGTTGAGTGAAATTTTTTAAATTAGCTGATTATACCTTGTTATCAACAATTGGACATTTTTTATTGCTGCTAATTATCAGAATTATGGAAATTATCAGTTCGAAAACATTCGATTCTTCAATTGAGATTATAAAAATCCCTCCAATCTAAAATAAAAAATCTGGCCTCCAGAGATCTTATTCTGTGCTATAGTGAGATATCAACCTTTCGCCTCATTAATCAGTTTCAGATGCCTGAAATTTTGATGCTCCATCCCACAATTTTCAATTCCCCTGGCGCCCCTCAATACTTCACCCCCCACCGCTCCTATCGATTTTGTTTACTGGAGTTGCTCCGAAAGTTTTCGGAGCCAAGGTCCCGCTCCAAAATAATAGGTCCGGAAAAGACTCTCTCTCTCTCTCTCTCTCTCTCTCTCTCTCTCTCTCTCTCTCTCTTCCTCCAAACAGCGGTTATGCCAACCTCAATATGTGCCCCAAGGGAGCCCCATAAGGGACAGTGACAATATCCGCCTCGATTCATGGCTAAAAAAAACCCTAATCCAACAGTAAGAAAAAAAAATCTATTGATTGAAGATGAAATACACGAGCTTGTGGCACGTTATTTTAATACTATTCTCATGTTTTGGTGTCAGGTGTGCTGACAGCGGTAAGTTGATAAGCGTCATACATCATTACAAGCGTCAAAACTTAAGATTCTAACCTAAACTACGTGCTGTCACGTACGAAAAGATTTCGTTGAAAAACATTGCGAATTCGCTCAACAATTCTATTGGATTTCTAGTGAATTTTTCATTAATTCCAGGCGAATTTCGTTAAAAAAGTTCGCAACTTAACTCCACATTTTTTTTTCAATCGAAATTTTCAATGCAAATTTCAACACAAACGTTCAATGGCTAAGATTCTATCGAAAAAATTAAAATAATTCGATTTTTCTATGTGTTAAATGTATTCATGTATTTTCTACAGAATTCCTCGGCTGCAATGTTTGGTTTTTTGCTTCCGAATGAAAGCCTTGTTTTTGGCCGATTTTTCGATTTTCTAATTTTGATTGTAAATGGTCTAGAATGTTATGAAACGTGAAGAAATCATGTTTTTAGGGTCATGTCTGTATGATATTGAGATTTGTAGATAAAAATCTAAATTTTTGACTCATTGTAGCTATTTCTTCATTCTTGTACGCACGAGGAAATTCTAGTGATTTCTCCGATAAAATAGTTTCCATTGGATATTTTATCTAAAAACCGCGCAGTGAAGCTCCGGAATTCTTTGAACTAATAAAATATTGGATAGAAGTTCAATAGAACTCGAACCGAATTTTCGATAAAATTTTCCGTTGTTTAGGATATTTAGAAAATTTAGAAAATTCATGTCGAGGAATTTATAAAAAAAAATGTCTCAATAGAAAACTTTGTATCATATAAACATGAAATTCTACTGATTTCTCCCATGAAATACTTTCCATTAGACATTTTCTCTTAAAAAACGCGCAGTGAACGACGCAACGAAATACTACAATAAAATCGGCCGAAAATTAATAGAATTATTTATATCTAAATCGCCAGGTCTTTATGAAATATTTTCGTGCGTGTTACGACTTAATTTATATATTTTCATTTTGGTTCCCTTTCTTAATGTTAATGTACATTTGTTTCAACAATCGATAGACAAGTTACAAATCAATTACAATAAGACAAAAGATGAAACAACTACTGCTGTGCCAGCGTTTAATGCGTCGACGAGAGTGGTTGTTGCTAATGAAACAACCCCGAGTACACTGATCTCCAGTGTGACACCTGTAACTGAAAAATACACCACCTCGCCTACGTCACCCACTGGTACACTCTATACAACGAAAAATAATCAATATTTGAGTACTAACACGGCTAGATTGAGTACAACTACTGCGATGCCACTGGGTACATCGCGTACAATCGTCAAGAGGCAATTTGATACACTTAGTTTTATGGGTGAGTTTAATTGTTCGTTATTGTACTGTTGTCTCTAGTTTTATTCGTCAATTTTGATTAGCAGTTGCTGAGATTATTTTGGTCAGGGGGATGTAGGACAATTTTTGAGAATGAAACGGAGGAGATCTGGTTGATTCGTTTTTTGTTATTTTCTTAGTGCTTGATTATCTCGACAATTAGTTCGGAGAGAAATTTCAATGGCCTTTTTTATTGGAAATTTCAGAAGCTCCGAAAAAGTCTTCTGATATTCTCTCGTAAAATTTATAGTTTTCGAGATGAATGCATAAGTCACAAAAAATTAAAAGTAATAAGAGCATATAAATAATAAATTTTTGTTATTTGTTGTCAAGAGAAGATAGAAATTTCATCAGCTGTAAAAAATGTCTTTTGGTATTTCCACGTCATGTTATTATTATCTTGAGATAAATGGACGAAAAATAAACTCAAGGGGAAGTAGTAAAATTTGAGATAAAGGACCCGATTAATAATTGGTGGTTTGAAAGAAATTTAAAATGGACTTTTTTGTTTGTAATTTTATCAGTTACAACGAAGTTCATCAAATATTTTTTCGCAGTATCGATAGTTGTCGAGGTAAATGCATGATCCACAAACATTAGAATGAAAGAAAAAAATAAAAAACCTGATTTTTTGTATTTTTTGTCAGAAGAAATGGAAGAACAACAAATGCTAAAGTTCACTCATCACTTTTTTATTTTTATCAACTGTGCAATTGACTGATTTTAATTCGATTTGAATTCGAAATCGAACAAATAATGAATTAGGCTCACGAGAAAATGTTCGAAGCTGACGAAATTTCCAATAAAAATATCTCTGGACAAAGGTCCCTAGTCACTCTCTCTCTCTCGAGACGAACGACAAATTCAACAGAAATTTTGCTACTAAATGAGTCAAAATCATCGCATAATTCATGAAATCCCCAAGAAATAAAATATTCAATTCTCTCAGCACTTCGAAATAACATATCACCAAAAGGATGTATCAAAAACTCAGTTTTAACTATGATGCATCAAAAACAATGTCTAATTCTACCATTTGACGTTAAATATTGCCTTTCAGGTGGATGTCTATTTACTGTAACTATTATCACCGTTGGAGTATTCATATGGAAGATGTACGAAGCTAAAATCGAACGTAGCTATCTAACAATCTAGCTGAATTGTCACTAATTAATTGATGAATAAAAAATATTTTTCTACGTTTATAATATCCCTTTGTCCATCGTTCTTACTCTCTCAATCACCCCCCAACAACATGAGGGAAAAGGTGAATGACAGATATTCATAGAATTGGTTCCAATGATTTCTCATAGTTTTATCATCAATCGAATTCACTACTTATTCTAACACTCGAAGATGAGATCTATACATTAGGTATTCTCTTCTCAAGAAAATTTCTTTGCACTCATTGATTTTTTATCGATATAGAAGACAGATTGTGGAAGAAATCAGTGGCAAATTGATAGAACGAAATTGTGAGAAGTCAAGTGAAACAAACTTTATTATCACTCGAACAAACGATGCGATTTCCACAAGTCACATTTCATTCTAAAGTTCCAAAAAAGATTTCGGAAATGAAGAAGAAAATTGTTGATTTTCACTCAGCCGATCTCGAATTATTGGCAGTTGAAGACGTTCATATATTTTCGTTTCTATCATGAGTCCTATCATTTTCGCAACGTTTTTTTCATAAATATGTTCGAATGTAAGGGAGATATAAAAAATCTTGCAAGAACATTTTTTCTAGCTCTGATATTTCCCCACAAAAAGTTCCTCACGAGACTGAGCTAAAACAAAATTAAAAAAAAATAAAGTCGACAAGTTTCGCTCCATCACTTTGTTCCTGAAATAACGTATTTTATCAACAAATAATATTTTCATATTTCTCATGTGAAAGTGAAGGTCTAGCGCACGTAACACTCGTTTTCCTCATCTTTCATTCCACATTCATAATAATAATAGACTGCAGCTGTGACCCTGGATAATGATTCGTATTCTGAATTCCCTACATTTTCTCTGCGATATTCTCGAAAAAAAAAGAAATCTCAACGATACATCAATGATTGATTTCCAAAAATTGGCGCACTCGTTCGTTCATTACAGATATGTGCATTGGTGACTGAAACAAGAGTTACATATATTACATATTCTCTGTGAATGCAACAGTTGAATGCATCAAGTGTTACAGGTTGCAGTATCTACAGTTACTCAGTATAAATAGTTGATCGTACAGCATTAATTTTACCATTATTATTATTATTTTTGTTTTTTAATACCCGTGCAGACAGTCAGAGTCGTTACTTGCCTCCTACAATTGTCGTAAGTTATCTAATATATTGGAGGAAGTGGTTGGAAGTCTATTACGTCTCGTAGAAGATTATCTCGTTTATGTGGCGAAGTGAGGAAGTGAGATGAGTCAATTTCGCTTGACAATTTTCGTTATGAAATTTTTCATAATTTTAGGTACTTCAATCCCTAGATGATGGCGGGAAAGTTATTTCGCTCTACTACTTCATTACTGAATTATCAAATTATCTCTGTTGTAATGAAGGATTATAGGGGGAATGGAAGGAGACATTCTGCTGGAGACGAATCGATGTTTGTGCGGAGAAAAAAGTTGGAGAAAAAATTAGCGAACAAGTCTAGCAATTGTGGAACGAATTCGAATTTTAGTACTTTTTCTTTCTGTACAGAGTAAAAAAATTCAATAGAAAATGTAGCGAATTCGTTAGAAAATTTTATTGGAATTCTCTAGGAATTCTATAGGATTTCTACAGGATTTATATTGGAATTGTGTTGAAAAACTGTACTTGTTTTTTGCGCTGATTCTATTGCATATTTGATAAGAAATAGTAAATTTTGAATTTCCGTTCGAATTTTTGGAAATTCGAAATCTATAGACTTTTTCTTATCGAATATCCAATAGAATCAGCGCGAAAAACAAGTAGAATTTTTTAATAGAAATCCTATAGAAACCCCCTCGAATTCCTATAGCATTTCAATTTTATAAGTTTTTGGAAAAGAGTTAATCTATTTTTGCAATAAAAATTCTCAATCTCTTCAATAATTTTTAACAAGCGATTTTTTTTGGCACAAATAAGACTTGTTTGAGAACTCTGCTGTTTTTATGTCAGTGTAGAATGAAAAAAATCCTTGGAAAATTTGAACCGGGGTAATTCTACAGAAATATCTGAACATAATAAGTTATACAGCAAAAATAGCAGAATTGGATGTTATTGCCTTTTTCTACAGAATATTTTCTATTTGATTTCTATTGAACTTTCTATTAGTTTTTCATCGACTCTATTGAAATGGTCAATCGGAAATATTCTATAAAAAGCGTCAAAAGAATTCGATTTTCCTAGACAACTTATTCCATTGAGATATTTTCCATATAATTTCCTTGGCTCAAATTCCAGTTCTTTCGTTTGATTTCCACGCTGAAAAGAAAAAAAAGAACAATACCACGAAACAAAAATTTGAAAATTGGAGCCAAAGAAATTCTACAAAAAATATCTCGAATTAAAAATAGAATAAGTTAAGCTGAACCTCTCTAAAAACCCCCAATTACCGACCCAATTCAGTACTAAAGTAGTAGAATACCTTACCAAAAGACCAAATCATCGTGAAAACCATCCCCCCACCGACTAATCCTCAAGCTCCCCACACCACCACCGCCTAAGAACGCAAAACTGAACCCAATGCTCGCTATCGCCCCCCGCTCAAAGAATGACCCCCCGTAAAATCCCAAACCCCTCAATTATGTGTCTACGTACAGCGATAGGCGCGTATCATTGTCAAGATTATTGTTGCGAATGCACCTCGAGCGGTCCCCGCAGCCCTTACTCCCTAACAAAAACAAATTCATTGTAATGATTCCACCGATTCTCCTCGGAATCCACCCCGGGTTTGAGCTGCTCAGCACTGCCGCCCGCAGTGCCCGATCCACAGCTAGCAACAAGTTTGAAGCCCTGCTCCTGGAGCATATCGAAGGCCTGCTCAATGAAACTGTGTTTGAGGAAGAACCTGGAGGTGTATCTGTCGGACATGCCGTGATCGGGGTCCCGGCTCTCGTTGAGGGTCTCCCCGAAGACGTCCCTGCACAGCGCAACGCGTCCGCAAACAAGTATTCTGGAGAGCTTCCTGAACTTGACGTCGGCAAGGCCATCCCGACCGAAGGCAAAGCTGCCGCGATAGCCAACAGTGATGTAGCCAACTGGACGTTTACCATTGGGCTCCTTGATGGCCCTCTCCAAGCCCGGCAGTCCGTAGAAGACGGCCTCGCAGCGTAGTCTCTCGCGCTCGCGAAATGCCTCCGGTAGAATCAACGAGTCATTGCGGAGGAAATCGAGAACATAACGAAAGAGCACCCCATCGCGATCCAGGAAGTACCGCCCCTTGGAGTCCCTCTCGAGACTAGTCTTGCCAGTTAATATCGCTGACAAATGCGACTCACTCTCCTTCATCAGGGTTGATCGCGATGTCGTGTAAAAGACTCCACCCACATTCAATTCAACCACCGACGGCAGCTCACCCTCAGCTAGACTCATTATTCACCGATTATCACTTCAAGCCTCAATCTGCAAACAGTTGGATATTTTGGTTTCTCAATTATCGGGGGATTTTTTTGCTGGGAGGGAAAGTGGGGGGAATTGTTCACTCACTGGAACTCGTCACCTCGCGCTTTCTCAGTAACTACTGACTGGTGAGTGCACGACACTCAACTCCAGTTCCTGTACGAATGGGGAAAAGTGGATGAAATGCGCAAGGTGAGTTGGCATCCCGCGCATTCAACCCCCTCGAACTGAGGATTCGATCTGCCATCAGCTTTCACCACCGAGGCACGAGGGCCAAACCTCGTCCCTCAACTTGTGCCCATTCCCTTTCCAATTCCGAAGGCAATCCTCCCCTCGCTTGCAGCCACCATATGTTCACCCCTCGTGATGTTGTATAGATTTTTTCGCTCACTGGATTAGTGTAATGCGATGGGTGAATGAGGTTTCGTGTTGAAGAATTTTGTTATCCCTCGTTTAATTCAGTTTTGCTTGGTGGGGGGTGGGAGGTATTTCGGATTGTGAGGCTGTGATTGAAGGTCTAGACTGGAGTTTTCGTCCTGATTGATTGCCGCCGCGGGGCGGACTCTTCAATGCACGAGAATCTGTAGATCCGCGGAAAGATTCTTTTTCAACCCCTGATTTATGATGGAGGAGTGATTCGAAGTTTGAAGGCTTCGGGAGGATTTTGATTTTTGATATTGTTGCATATTTGCCCATTTCCTCCCTCTCAACCGCTCTTTCTCTTTCTTTCTCGTTATTCTTTTATCTTCGTTCCTAGGCCACGAACGTCACTCCTTTTTTTTTTTTTTTAATTATTTATTTCGCCCCAAAATCTTTTAATAAAATGATTATGAAAAGGGGTCACTGTCTTGACAATGACAATGACAATGCATTACCATGGAATACTTGTCAACAATTAGTACCTGATGCAAATACTTGAATAGATTACTACTTTATTTCAAACTTTTTTCAATCCAGTTGAACAATTAAATGCTGCCGTTCCGAATAGTTCACTACCGCATTGTAGAATTGCTTTGATAATTAATGACTTTCTATAATAAAAAGACCAAAATATCACGCACGAAAAAATTTAACAGAACGTAGCGAATTCGCTAGACAATTCGATTGGATTTTTATTGAACTTTCCATGAGTTTTTGGGCGATTCTATTGAAATGTTCAATAGGAAATATTCTGTAGAGTCACTTAAATTCCATTTTTCTATACAACTTATTCTATTGAGAAATTTTCTGTGGAATTTCCTCCGCTCAAATTTTCCCAGTTATTTCATTCTATTTGTCGTTGAAGAATTTTTTCTGCACTGCTTCTCACGATTCCTCGCCTGTGAATTGGTATTGCACACTTCCGAAACTCGGAAACCTGAAAATCACTACAAAAAAGTCTTGTTCCGGCAGTCGTAACGGGTTTTTTTTCCCCGACTGGTTAGCCAGTTCTCGCCTTCGTATTCGGCTCGGTCGCCAACTCCACAGTCCACACGAGTAAAAAACCCCATCGCAAAGCCCGGAAAATACTATTTCCCCTCGTTTAATCGAGTTTCCTTTGTTGGCGGAATTTGGGATCATCAGGCTGTGATTGAAGGTCTAGACTGGAGTTTTCTTCTTGATTGATTGCCGCCTCGGGGCGGACTCTTCAATGCATGAGAATTTATAGATCCTCTGAAAGAATCGTTTTCAACTCCCGATTTATGATGAAGCAATAATTTAGATTTTGAAGTCTTCATGGGATTTTTTATTTTTTCATTTAATAAACTCAAGTGAGAGAAAAGCAACATAATATATCATTTTGTAATAGTTTACAAATTATTGCATTATTTTGATAATTATTGTTTTAGGAGAAAATGTTCAAAAACATTCTCGTTATAATTGAACAATTTTGTACTGAACTGGTGAATTCTGAAAAATTACTGCTACTCAAGAGTTCCCAATTAATAATGTTACAGAATGAAGTAAATTACTATTTCCTCCGTGCGAATGAGAATGGAATTGAACTAAATGTGTAGTCATTTGATATGACTTTAGTTTGATTTTTAATTCATTCAAATACTTCAAGATCATTACAATATGGTTGAATCTAAAAGAGATACAAAAATAGTCATAAAAACTTTTTTGGCTCTCCCTGTCCTTTATAGAGAAGATAAATTCTCGTGTTGAAAAATTTGTTCTCCTCGCTTAATCCAGTTTCCATTGTTGGAGAGCGGAATTTGGGATCATGCGGCTATAATTGAAGGTCTAGCCTGGAGTATTCATCTTGATTGATCGTCGCCCCAGGACGAACTCTTCAATGCACGAGAATCTATAGATCCTCTGCAACTATCTTCTCCAACCCCCGCTTTTTTGATGAAGTAATAATTCAGGCTTTCTACTTTGACTGTCGAGCGAAAATTTACTCTATCGGAATTCTGTCTGAATAAAATACCAATAGAGTGGAAAAACCGATGGGGAGAAAATAGAAAAGTTGGAAGGTTTAAATGGGATAGGGTCGTCATGCCTAAATGTCAAAGGAAATTCTTTTTGATGTAGTTGGTCAATACAAGCCTTTGGAAATAGTGTATCTGGCATTTTTATTTATACGGTATTCCATACAACACGGGTGGTACTACATTTCAATGATGATTTATTTTTTCTCGAGTTGTGAACAAATTTTCTAGTCGTTTCGGGAATGAAATGGTAGAACTGAAACTATCGACATTCCATTGGCTTGTGATTCCTTGGACATGTTTGTAGAACATATTTGGAGCTTCAAAAAAGGTCTTTCATTAATTTCTTCATTAGATCCAAAATATTCCCTGAAAATTGAGAAGTTGACTTTAAGTTAACTTTAAGTTAACTTTTATAAAGAACTTTTTTGAAGCTCTTCATTTTCTCTTAATTTTCGAAAACTGATCTGTTCTAAAATGAAACAGACATTTGTTGAAAGAGATGGCAAAATTATAGGACTCAATTCCGCCATCTCCAGAAGTTTTCGAAATACTTGAAAAAGTTAAAGTCGATTATTCTCGTTTTATCACTTCATCCCTGATTCAACGATTTATGCAGCACTTCTAATAATATCAGAGTATCTCTTGACTTTGGTGGAAATGCTCAGGTCGACGTACTTGTCGCCAATGGACACGAGCATTCCCCCGATGATGGCAGGATTAACCTTGGTGGTGAGCAGGAGAGTTTGGCCCTTCTGGAGGAAGAGTTTGAGGGTCGATTCGAGTTTGCCTTTGGTGTCGGCGTCCAGGGGCTTGGCGGTGATCACTTCGCAGATTACCTCGCCCCTGTTGGCTGCCATGATCTGCTTGAAAGCATTGACGATCTGGCCCATCATTCCGAGACGGCCATTCTCGGCGAGGAGAACCAGGAGATTTCCTGTGGCGGGGTTCAGGCTCAATTTAGAGCTAATTGCCTTGAAAACCTCGGCCTTGGCGCGGCGTTTGATTGACGGGTCCTTCAAGAAGTCGGCGAGTTTCGCATCGCTCTTAGCTAGGCCCTAATAATAGAGATTATTCTTCGTGGGTTGTTGAAAGTCAGGGAGAGTCGTGGTTCAAGGTGAGGACTGTTGTTGTTCGTGGTTGCGAGGAATATTTCTGTTTTTTGAGGGGTGCACAAATCGGTTTAAATCAACTGGGATTAAATGGTACCGAGAATATTATTTCATGTTGGATCGTCGACATGAATCAAGTTTGACTCGGAGAGATGCAAACCGGTGCATCGGCCGGATTCAAGTTGATTTTTCGACTGGGAAACTGAGAATTTCAGTTCAATTATTCAAAGAAAAATCGTAGAAATAAAAGAAATTCCGGTACATGAATTCTTGAATTTTTCAGATTGTTCAGCTTTTGCAAGTTCGAGAAGAAAATTCAAAAAATCCAAAAATGAAGATTTTCTAAAAGCCTCATTTACTTGTATTTATTCTTTATGTGTAAACCAAAATCAAGTCAAACAATTGAGGATTGTGTCATGGACACTTTTAAAAATTCCATCAATGAAAAAAATCAAAACCTAATTTGTTCTTATTGTATCTTATTTTACATCTAAAATTGAAAGTTTCTCCTTAACAACGCGATAAATAACATTGTAAACGTATTTAATTATATTTTTGTAATTCCTCTTTCAAAGGTTCCTTCAAAAGGTTGAAATACTCTAAATGAAGACAATAAAAGATAACAAAAAGGTCGTTCTCGTAATAAAAACAAGGGAATGCTCCTTGATTTCCATATGTCACGCAAATAACGAGTCGACTATTAATTACAATGGTCGGTCTGGTATGAATAGAATTTTATGTATTAGTTATTAGCTGCGGTTAGATGGAAAGTTGTAATGCGTAGATTTTAGGGGAGGCAGTGAAAACGGTCGAGGAAAAAAACAAACGACGTATCGATCACGTAATAAAACACGCATGGAATTTGGGCTGTTTTTTTTCCCGTGGCCTGTTGTTTCAGATTTCAATTCAGATTTCGACCTACAATCAACGTGATGGAAGGGATGATTCCTTTGGTGATAAGATTCAGACTGAAAAGGTGGAAATGTTGAAATCTGACAAATTAACAAATGCAGTCATTCTTTTTCTTCGAATGAAGCGTTTAGAATTATTTTTTAATCAAGACGATGAGGAAATTGAAGATGAGTTAAGCAGAAAGGGATGCTATTCTGAGAATTATTCATTCATTCTTCTAATTGTTTAACTCAATCCCAATTTCCAATTTTGGAATTTTCTTTTGGTATTAAGGATATCCAAGTACTTTGGCTATTTTTTCTTCAGTGAAATGCTTTTCTACTTTTGTAGTCAAAGATCAGAGCTTTCATTTGAGCCCCATTTGACCCGAAGTTACCGGACATATTACGGTAATTGAAGCATAAAGCTGCTCTGAAGAATTTTTCGAGAAAACTGAATTATTTCGTTATTTAACAACAAAAGATATTGAAATCAATAAGAAAATTGAGTCGGACTCAATTAGGTAAAGAATAACTTGAAGAAAGAGGCTGGTTAAACTATGATCCTTGTGGGGTTCATACCAGCTGCGCCCCGTCGCGAACCCTGGGTAATGCCAAGAGCTGATAAGGCTTGATATTTTACTTCAAATAGTGCAATTTACTTTTGGTATTAAGGCGTTCATTTGTATCTCGAGTCATAACTAAATTTTATGAAGAGAACACGAGAATCATTGGGCCATTCTTTCCTCCATCGTGGAAAGTAATTTGATGATAAGAATGTTCTTATCGAAGATGATTAGGCATCTAGCAATAGAAATCAATGAATTTTATGTACATTTGTTTAATTAAAAAAGTTTTGTGGGAGAGCATTCTGGAAGGGGTTTTATTTTTTGAAAAAAATCACTATGATGATTATGTAGAAAATTACTACTTGCAACTGAACAAAAATGCAAAAATAAATAATCTAAGGACAAGTATAAAGCAGCAGCCCTGATTATTCGACATTTTCAGGGACCACAAAAGGTGAAAAAGTTGAAATATGACAACTTAACAAAAGTAGCAATTTTTTCTTCCAATGAATCATAAATAATTATCTTTGAATCAAGACTAAAGATAAATGAAGTAGAAAAGGGCTGCCTCCAATGTTCAATAACTCCGAATCCGCAGAGTGAAAATGAATAATTTTTTTTCATTTTCAAGGATTTATCATAAGCTTTAAAACGAATTGAGACTCAGTCAAATTGTACCGTTCAGTCAGGAGATATCGAAGAATTACAAAACTTCAATTTGCCTCACTCGCAATTATTGATTGAAGAGATTGTCCCATCAGTTTTCACATGCTCGATAAGTAATGAAATTTCACCTGGAACTTCAGGAGATCCTTCTCCACAGCGTCGAGTGACGACTGTTTACTAGCTGCTGAGTAAAGAGCTGTGGCATAACGTCCCTCAATTCCAAAAACCTGGATTGGAGGCTGGAAGAGAAATTCAAAGAGTTAATGGAACACATGGGCTAGGTTAACCAACTCTCTCCATAAAAAATCACAATCTTTCCCATAATAATCATCCCATCCCCCAGATCAACCCCCTTCCTCGCATTCCCTCACTTGCCCCCAATTCCATCCCAAACCACTAAATAAAAAATTAATCCACAAAACCAAAAACTCCAATTCAAGAATTACATAACGAAATGGATAACAAATAAATCCCCCATACCTTCACCAACTGCCGTGACACCGATGATGAGGAGAACGACCTCGCCTGTAAAACCCCAAATAAACCATTAACCAATTCCCTTTGGAAATAATCTAAACAATTTAAAATCGAACATTAAAAAATCAAAAACTTGCCAAGACACTGAGTCGGCTGGTGGAAGCCATTTTGGAGTGATTCAGAGGTTAGAACAGTCGCTCAGAACTGGTCGCAACGGTCGCAAGGTTTAAAAATTTTTCGCGAACACCTGGATAACCAGAAGAACCCCAAAAATCAGGTGAAAACCCCTTATTTTAATTTTTTTTCTTTTCGCAATTTTTGCAGGGAGAGACGGAAAGGATCTAAATTGGGTCGACCAATGCGATTCCGCCTTTCATCTCCCCCCTCGCCCCAACCCGTGAGAATCCATATTAGAAATTAAAAATGACCGTCATTTGTGAAATCGCGTCATATGACCAAAAATATGACGGTCACGTGAGGCCCAAATATTTTAACTATAGATGACAGTCACAAATAATTAGCAAACGAATTGTTGCAAATTATTTCGGAAATAAATAACAATTTTTTTGAATAAATAAAAAAATTGTTTCATATACAGACATGCAAAAAAAACTGCGATTTTTATGTCAAAAATGCACATTAGGTTAACGCGAAATGAATTCAAATAAAAATTGATAAAAGAAAAAAAGTCGTATCTGTATAGATGAAAAATAACTGTCTTCTGAATTTCGTCTTGGCAATTTATGACGATTATAGCGAGGGAAGGGAAATTTCGAAAGCCATCATAAACGCCTCGTCATGTGACCGTCATATGCCGGGTCATGTGACGCATTTGCATCTCTAGTCCGTTATAACCACAGTATCGCTCGCCGATAGCTGCAGGCGACCCCTCAACACATGCGTAAACACAAAAAAAGGCTTGACGATGAGTTTTGACGGAAAACCATCAGCCCGAGAACTTCACTCCTTCCACAATAGTTTATCAGTTCTCCTGAAAGCGGTTGAAGGACACAAGACAACAGTCGATTTGAGAAATGAGTCGTATGTCCATGGAACAGTGGAGCAGGCCGATGGGTAAATAGAATAAAATAGAACAAAGTTTGAAATTCCTCGTCAGTGGTTTTTAGGGTTTTTATCCGTCAGGTTTATGAACGTCGTGATGAAGAATTGTGTCTTCACGGACCCCAGGGGTGATAGATTCCCTTTCGATACCTTTTTCGTGCACGCCAGGAACATCCGCTGTGTGCATATCCCTCCAAATGTGAGTAATTTTCCATAAAAATATTCGTTTTTGTTGTCGCATTATTGGGGTTTGGAACTTTGGGCTGGTGATGTTGGTATTTTGCACTTTTTAAATTCATTTTCTTTGGGATTGGGGTGCATTGTTCAGCTGGAAGACACGAAACTCTATTACAACTGAGATAATAAAAGAGTTTGTGGGGTTTTGTTGAATTGGAGAAAGTTGTCGAGTTGTTAGAAGTACATTAACGATTGCATTTTACTGAATTCATCGTTCGTTTTGGGATTAAGACGACACGTGGGGGCACTCAGCACCCTTCATCCATATGCCTGTGGGCATTGGCGACTCTTTTGAGGTTTGACATCACAACAAACGAGGGAAAGCACTGATAATTTTGTTAAGAATCTTGAACAAACGTTTGCAATTGTTTTCGTGATAACGATTACTCCAAAATGAATTAGTCTCTTCGATAAACTGCACTTTTAATTCGTTTTTTGAGGGGTGGTCAGGGGAATTATTCCATTAAAGTCATCTCCAGTATCGACAATCATCTCAAATAGTTGAAAAAAAAAAATTTGTGAGGTTTCGTTACCCTGGGGACCATAGCATCATTCCTGAAGAAATTAAATGATTGCATCTTATTAAATTCATCATTCGACACCATTCAACGTCAGAAAACATTCTGATAAAAACATTGAAAAAGCAATATCAACATTTTTCATGACAAAGATCACTCGAAAACCATCAGATTTTTTCATAAATGACTTCAAATCAAATTTCCGTGGAATAATTAGTGGAATCATCCAAAAAAATCGTCTCCAGCATCGACTCTAATCCCAAATAACTCCAAAAGAAAGATTTGTGAGATCTCGTGCTCACCACATCACGTGATTGAATCCAAACTATCAAGATTACGAAAAATCACAGATAATAACTAAAAAAATCAAGGATCAAACACTTCATGATAACGATTATCTACAAATCCACCAGTATCCTCTGCAAACTGCACGGCGACTCAATTGTTCGTCGAATAGCAACTGGAATTATTTCAAACAATCGTCTCCAGTGTCGCCAGTCGTCCCTGAAACCTCTCCAGAGCCAAAACCAAAAGATGAGTACCTTCAAGTTCAGCGATTACGACTGCATCGGTTTCGATCTGGACAACACCATCCTCTGGTACAACATCACGAACATGGTTGTGATGGAGTACCAGGTGATGGCGCGGTTCCTGATAGAGCAGAAGGGGTACGACCCAGAGTACCTGGACAAGCCCCTGACAGACGAAGCCATTGACTTCCTCCAGAAAGGATTGATCTTGGACTTCGACAGAGGAAACATCCTGAGGACCAATCCCGACGGGGTCATCAGAATGGTCAGCCATGGCACGAAGTTCCTGACAACCCAAGAAATACGAGAAATCTATCCAAATCAAAGATGGGAAGCTATCGACCTCCTGACGAAGGACCCAATGGCCGTGTGGAACGGCCCCTGGTCCCTGAAGCTCCGAGCACTGATGGACTACTTCGACATGCCGTTCTCATTGATCTTCGCTCGAGCTGTCGATGGCGTTGACTCCAAGAGCAACACACCTGTCGACAAATACGAAATATGGCCTGACATATACGCAGCTGCCTGCGAGATGTTCGAGAGGACTAATTTCAGGAAGAACAGGGGCCAGTACTTCAGGGAATTGAAGAGCAATCCTGACAGATACTTCAGAAAATGCAGTAATGAGATTGTCGATTGGATGAGGGACATGAAGAAGGAGAAAACAACCTTTCTCATCACTGGATCCAACATTGACTTTGCGAATTTCACAGCTACCCATACAATCGGGGAAGACTGGAGGTCTTTGTTTGATGTTGTTGTTTGCTACGCGAAGAAGCCTGGCTTCTTCATTAAGGATTCCCCGTTCTGGACGCTTGACGATCATGAGGAGAAGGAGATGATCTCTGGGGAGGAGTTGGCCAGGGGTGGGGTGTACTCTCAGGGGAACTGGGGAGAGTTGAAGAGCTTCCTCGGCAGACTCTGCAAAAAGGATTCCCCCAAGTGTCTGTACGTGGGGGATAATCTTCTCCAGGATGTGCAGATACCATCGACTCATGTGGGGTTGCATACAGTGGTTGTTAGTGAGGAGCTGCATGCCGAGGGGATGGTCAACATCTCGTGGCCACATCCTGACGAGAAGTATCTGGTGTCCAATATCTGGGGCTCTTATTTCTCGGTGTCTGATGGGGAGTCGCGAGAAGACTCTCACTGGTCCAACGTTGTTGAGAGCCACTCGAGGATCTGTATTCCTTCTCTGAAAGTTGTTGCCGAGCATAAGATTGATGAGGCTTTTGGAGCGTTTGATAGGGAGCATGATAAAACGAGGGGGTTTCATCCAGCTGCACCCGCTGGCATTCCCTCTCAAGTCATCTCTTCGTAATGGTTCGTGTTTTTGTTAGATTCCAGTTATTCCTGCTATCAAACATGAACTTGAGTCCATTCATCCGGTATTCAGGAGGGGTAGTGCACAGACGAAGCAGAAGAAGACTTTCAGGGAGAAGAGGTTGGGGGAGAAACTGGCAGAGGACAGAGCTGCTGTTCAGGAGATTCTAGCGAAACAGGAGAATTCAGATGACGAAAGACAATAGAATGTTGGGTAGATGGGTGGATAGTCTTCGATAAGAGTACCATATTTTTGTAAAATCCTTTTCATTGGACCAAATACAGAATTTTCAGAACGAAGAAGTCTTTCTTTTGAGATGCTAATTTTTATAGCTTACAATAGTTGTGATTCATATTCCCAAGCGGTTTTCTTTCAGGGAACATTCTTTGGGAGGAGTAGGAATAGAAATAGAATAGTATATTTCCTTGGTGCTACTATTACAATTTTACAAAAATACGACTGAAAGCATTCCTCGTAAAAAAAACATTGCCTTTATTTTTTTTTTGTATAAAAATACATAATATTGGAATAGCCCTGAATGTGGAGAGTTCCTGAGATTTTTATATAATTCACATAATTATTCAGCATATCGAGCATTCGTAAATGTCTGGTTTGATTGAACTCGAACACTCATTCTTATCAGTAATAAAATTTGTGGACGCAAAAAGTGAACTATGATAAAGTTATAAATAGTTGTATAACAGTCATGGAAAAACGAGAAAAAATTAAGCCACAGTATAGTTGAAGTAATACCACCAAGAGAGCGATTTGTGGAGGCATGAGAATGTCTGGGAAAGATTTCTCAAGTTCTACAGACAAAGACGAAAAACTGTTGAAAATTACACATGAATTTTGCTAGTCGCAGTCTTTGAGAATTTTTTTTTAACTCCCGGGGAAAATGTAGTAAGTCTAGTAAAAATTTAAATATTTTGGGTGAGAACTGCCCCATCTTTTTCATATAATTTTGGTCAAAATATGAAAAAAGTCAATTTGCGAAACTCATTATCTCGCTTTACCTCTTCCCCCACTAATTATGCCACAAAAATCTTGTTATTGTCTTTCAATAGCCAATGCAATACCCATTCCTCCTCCAATGCACAAAGAGGCAACACCCTTTTTCCCCCCAGTCCTCTCGAGCAGATGAATAAGTGTCACCAGAATTCTCGCCCCTGAAGCACCAATGGGGTGACCAAGAGCAATAGCTCCACCATTGACATTAACTTTCTCTGAGTTCAATCCCAATTCTTTGAGACAAGCCAATGCTTGAGATGCAAATGCTTCGTTCAGTTCGTAGAGGTCGACCTCATCCTTCGTCCAGTTGGCTTTCTTTAACTGGAGAGAATAGTTAATATAATTAGAAAAAAATTTCTCGATTTTAGAATTTGGACAGTTATTGGAAAATTTTGCTCACGACTAGTTCAACTGCTGAGACAGGTCCCATCCCCATAATTTCAGGCTCGATTCCAGTCTCGGCTATTGCGACAATTTTTGCCAATGCTGGAATTCCTCTCGCAGCAGCTGATTCCGCTGACATCAGCACCACTGCTGCTGCACCATCGTTTATCCCTGACGCGTTGCCAGCTGTTACTGTACCTTCAGTCTAGGAATCATTTGGAATTATTCATTATTTTATTTTATTCGTTTTTTTTCATTTTTATCTATTGATATATTTTTTGCCTTCGAGTCACGATGTTGAATTGTTTTTTTATGGTTGTGATTTATAAATGTGTAGCCATTAAGTGTCAATAATATTATCTTCAGAAATATTTCAATACTGCAATCGTTAATTAAATCAGTAATCACAAAAAAATGCTATTGAACATTGAAAGTATAATTAAATATAAATAATGAACATCAATTTCCTGTCGAGCTCTGTCTCAAGAATTATGAGAAATGATAAATAGAATTGCTTCGATAAAATTATCTTCATATTTTATAAATTCACCTTGGAAAATATTGTGCGCAATTTTCCAAGAGTTTCTACTGTCGTCGCAGGCTTCGGAAACTCGTCAGTGGATACAACGATTGGTTCTTTTCTTGAAGGAATTGTCACTGGTACAATTTCCTTCTTGAAATAACCAGCAGCTATGGCAGCTCCTGCTCGTTGTTGGGATTTCACTGCATACTCGTCCTGTTCTTTTCTGTCTATTTCAAATTTTTTTGCTATATTTTCAGCTGCAAAAAAAGAAAAATCTCTCTCACTACAAAAAATTTGAGAATACAACAAATTTGTAATTGGGAATCTCAGTTGCTACGGAAATATTTTATTTCTTCTGTTTGAAAACTAAATGTTTCTAATAGAATTTATGCAGCTTGAATGACGATTTTCCCTAGTTCTTGCGGATTAAATTCGAAAAATTGTCAAACAAAAATTGGGGAACCACGACATTTATCAATTACAAAGCTTTCATTCGGAAGCAGAACACATTTTCTTCTCCTAACATTCAATTTTCTTTCCCTTCCTGTTCAAAAATATAATTAATTTGCAATTAGGGAAATTTTGAATTTTTCTAATGGAGTTTATTCAGCTTCTATGGGAATATTTTTAATTCTCGATGATGGATTTTAAAAAATCACAGCAGTATTATTTTTTATTTCACCTGTGACCCCCATGTGTACACTACTGAAAGCATCAGTCAGCCCATCAAGAATCATGGTATCAGCCAGTGCTCCATCCCCCATTTTAACGCCATTTCTCATGTTAATGGCATGAGGTGCTTGGCTCATGCTCTCTTGACCTCCAGCCACCACTACCTCTTGCTCTCCAGATTTTATCGCGAGATATGCGTTTGTCACTGCTCTGTGAAAACGATTTTCCATTTTCTTCTCTTCTTCTGAATACCAAGGCTTTGCTATTGAATTCAGATTTTTTAAATACTCACTTCAGTCCTGAGCCACAGATCATGTTTATCACGTATGCAGGAACTGATGTAGGTAGTCCTGCCTTTATCGCAGCTTGACGAGCTGGATTTTGTCCCTGACCTGCTGTCAAGACCTAAAGCGATCATTTCACTTTGATTTCAGTAACTGAATGGTGAAATGAGATAATTAAAATGATCTTTTCAATAGAAGATCAGAATTTTTTCTATTGAGCCAGAAGCAAAATATGACAAAACTGAATTTTAGTTATTTTTGTTCATGTGTGAGATATACAGCGGAAAATTCAAGTCTTATAGGAGTGAAAATGTTACCCAATTCAATTACATTACATAATAATAATCACACAAAATCTTTAGTCTTCAATTCTTTATCTTTGTCATTTATCCTATTTATTTTATCGAAGGACAAGGATAGAAATCAAATTTATGGATATTCTTTCATTATTCGAAAAAAATATATCGATTTTAAAACTTTCCGAAGAAAATGAAATAAAATAATATAGTATAAACTAATCTAGTGACGAGGGCGGTGCGTCCGTTCGCTACCAATAATAGTTATGGCATATTAGCGGAAATGTTGTTCATCATTTAATTACATTCAACTATTTTGATATTTGTCCTTGTTCTACTGGCAGCACCTGGGAGGATGATTGTACATCGATTTCCTTAACGGAAGGATGCAATGATATAATTAACATAATTTTTAAAAAGAAAATACGATAAAATTGAAATTTTATTCATTTCACTTCCTGTTCGAGATATTCAGCGCAAAATTGAAGTTTACCGGAAATACCCGTCAATTCAATCATAATTGTTATGACATAATTCAATCACACGATGATTTTGTTATCTCGATATTTACCTGACCCAGTACGACCTCCGACACATGGCAGGGTTTTAAAGTCGCTCTTTCAAGACTCTCTTTTATCACAATGCTCCCCAAGTCCGAAGCTTTCAATGACGAAAGAGATCCACAGAATGATCCTGAAAGAATTGATTGTTTTTTTCTCTACTGTTTTTTTTTCGAAAGAATAGTTCTTTCCACACTTTCATTTCACGGCTAGAAATAAGGTTTCAGAAAATTTAAACAGTTTTCATAATTTATCTACGAGAACGGAATGTTCAAATAAAGAGTTATTCTTTGTTAAATGCGATTTGGACGAATTGTGTACGAATTTCTTTCAAATTTTTCTCACGCAATTCAACTGACAAATGTCCAAATGTTTCGGGTTTTTAGTTATCCTCAATATTATCATCATTTAATCATTTAATTTGAATTCTAACGTGCGTATTACCGTTAATAACGAAGTATTTTCAAGAACTGACTGAAGAAATGCTGATAGTGAGTCCAACGGGATTTTCGAAAGTGGGTTGACACACGGCTGACCGATTCAAATCGAGTATAATATCAAAACGAAATATTTTCAAACATCTCTAGAAGCAGTAGAACACCGCTAAATTAATTCCCCCAAAATTCGCCATTACCATAATTCAAATGTATCATTGACAGCCGATTGATTAAAGATATCGTTCGACTTCCTCAAATTGCGGGGATTTAAATTTCGCGTTTGACATACATTCCGGCTCATTGGGTTATGGTTTTAAAGGGGATATGATGGTTCAATTGAGTGGTTTAACTCACCAATGGGAGTCCTCACTGCGGAGACAATGACAACTTCTCGGTTTGACATGGTGATTCCCACGGAAAATATTGAACTTTAATTATGTTTGGAAAGAGCTGGAGATTTATGCAATGCCGCCGTCGATACCGATGGTGGGAACAAGTCTGGTTCGCTCGGAGCAACTCCGGCTGAGGCAACGTGTACCCGAGATTATTTTCAGTACCGTAGTCGGGGAACGAGAACCCGCCTCTCAAGCTTCATCTCAAATTAAAAATAGTATCAATAAACGTACGCACGAAACAAATTTATAGAAAAACCTAGCGCATTCGTTAGAAAATTCTATTGGCTTTTTTTTGTGAAACATGTATGAGAAATCTATTGTTGCAAAGTTGTCTGATTAAATTTTAATACCAGTGTGTATGGAAATTGTAGAACTGTATAGGAATGAAAAAGTGTATTACAATTTTATAATACAGTTTAATATAAATTACGTTCTGTACACGTGTGATAAATTTTGCCCGGAAATTTCTAACAGTGCAGGCTTGAATTGGAATCTCGATATTGAACCCTTAGGAAACATTTTAAGTCTGAACGAAAATTAGTAACTTTAATTTTAGAGGAAGATTGATGAAAGAATTAAAATATTGCAATTTTTAAAATTACGAGCATTTTCAATAAGTAATTCATAAATATTCAATTTTCTGTAAAAATCATTTGTCCGGAATCGTAACAAATTTATTAATATTCAGAATTTTACCAGAAACCGATTTCATGCCTAAAAAAATTAGGTTTCCGAAAGTTGAACCAATTTTAATTATTAATTTTTAAACAACGAATATTCAAATAATAATTCTGTGCAAAATGTAATTTTGATGACGCTGAATATTTATGATTTAAAAAAAAAAATTCACGCAGTTTAATTGACCAAACAGTTTTATAATTTTTCGAGAAAACGATTTTTGAAAAAATGAAATTCAACAGAAATGCCAAGATTTTTGGCAAAACTAAAATCTTGCTAGAACCAAAGTTGCTAACGTTTAACCCCACAACTTCTTTAAAAAAAATCAGAACTAAAAATAACAAATGTCTTCCCTCATTGAATTCTTCCCGAAACAGTGAAAAGAAAACATAAAATAAAATGTAATCAATCCAAACTTCAAAAATTTCAGAGGCCCGCGGCTACGCCCCTGCCCTCCTAACCTCCCTGACCGTCCGTCAGAGTGCGTCTCAATCGCTCGGAACCTATTTGTTTTTACCCATCGTGCATTGTGACCAGTGACTGGTGCTAAGATGGCTGACAACAAGGAGGAGATTTCGGAGCTCGTCAATAAACGAGGTAATTACTTAATTCCTTGATGTTCACTTCGAGTGTTCACCCGATAGCATTATTACCAAGTCACCGGTGAGTTCGGTGTGGCCGGTATCGGCCCGAGGTTCTCCGTAAATTACCTGAAACAATTGCCATCTTGCAATCGAAGGTGCTCCGGGTCAACGGGCATGGAACGTTGCCGATTAATGATGAAATGAGAAAAAGAGAAATTAAATTTTTTTTCGCTGTCTCTGCACATTGTTGTTTGGAATTCGATTGTTCGATATTTGTCCGTGATAATTGGGGGTTTGTCTTGTGATTTTATTGGAATATTGTACAACTGTCAGGTCGTTGAACGCGCGGCTTTTTTGACAGCCCGTGGAGACGTTCCGACCAGGTGAACATATCCCCAGTGAAAATTCACGTTTCAAGAAGGACAAATAATCGAGATAAGGACACCTCTTGTCTTGATATTTGCAGTGATGGGTGACGTCAGCGTGCCCTTGAATTTGTCGAGTAATTTCCGATAGAGACTTGGGGGGATATCTTTATTCTCAAAATTTCACATGAGTAATCGGGTGGGAGGCATTATTCCCGGCGCCAGACATGTGTTCGTTGTCCAACAGTCAGTGCTCGGGATACCTTGTATTTTTATCCTCCCTCGGAGGGGAGGAACCAGAGGATGAGCAGGAAAAACTACGCTGGAGAGCTTTAGAGGAGTGAGAATGCGGGGAAATTTACTTTTTTGGGATGTCGGCAGTAGGATTTTTAGTTGGAGTTGATTTTTTGTGAATGTGGGGGGACTTTTGAGAGGATTTTTAGCGGTGGAGGAAGTCAGGGGGCATTTTATTTCCTCTCGATTCAGAGAGATTTTTGAAAAATTCATTTGGTTCAACGATCTCAGGGGGAGTTTATTATGAATATCCTGGAGTTTCATAGAGATAAGGACATTTTTACGAGAATTAATTTTTAAATTTATTTGACGATTCATTCTCAAAGAATATATCTGAGGGCAATTTCTAACAGGATTTTTATTGCTAAATGCAGTGCCGGGAACATTTTTATTCCCTCTGGACCCAGAGATATTTTGGAAAAATTGATTTGGTGATTCTGATCTCAGGTTGAGTTTCGGATGAATATCCGAGAGAATGTGAGAAGTTTTTTGCAGGGCACAGTGAGGGTTATAAAAACTGAATTTAGGAAAATTCCTCTATTTCTCAAAGAGTCTGAGATATTTTCTAGTTTTTCTAGCTGTAATGAGTTTCTGGCGGATGATATAATTTTACTTGACAATTAATTTCTAAACAATATGTCTGAGAGAAATTTTTAAGAGGATTTTTATATTGTTAGACAAAGTGATTTAGAAATATTTTTGGAAACCTGATTTATTCCTTAGTGGAATTTGCCGAGGGTAAATGATAAATAACCTTTATGACGAATTCTTTTGGTAGGATGAAAGAACCCCAAAAAATATATTTACTGAAATTCCGCTACCACTCCAGGAGTCCAAAATATTTTCTAAAAATTGAGGAGTGAAAATTATGGAAATAACTCTTACGACTTCCGAATTCGTTTTTTCTGAATATCTTCAAGCGAAGGGAGATGTAAAATGAGAGCTAAAAAAATTAATGTCCAAAATTTTTTCTCCTGCATTGTTTTGTGGTTCTCACTTTGCTTCACAAAAATACAGTCATTCCCTTTCAACTACAAGATATTTAACTAGAACAGACAACTAAGAAAAATGATTCATCCCGTTCCACTCGCCTTTCAAACATCTCCCATTCCTCGCTCTCTCTCCTATTTTTAATTTTTCCTCTCGATTCCTGGAGGCAGAAAATTGGAGCGTTTCTCGCAATTTTCGTTGAAACGTTATTTTGTCATGGCACCACTCGCTGTACCTGGTTCTTCTTCGCCTTTCAAATCCTTGATACTGAATATCCTAACGTGTTTCGTGTGGAGATCACCGGGGGGATGAAACGGAAGGGGAATTATTCTCGAGCCCTGATTCAATCGCTGACCACGAAATTTTCCAATTTTTAAGTAACTATTTAATCGTGCATTTGAAAATTTTTTGAATATTCATTTCATTTATCAGATTGACTGATTTTTTTCTCATCACCTACGGGTATTGAATAATTGCGTTTTTTTAATTATTGAAATAATATTAAAATGCGCTTCGAGTTGGTAAACCTGTCGAGTGTTTTCTCTCTCTCTCAGTTCTATGATTCAACCCATAACTTTCCTATGATGCTCACTGACATTCGAATCACGCGCCTGCGCGTGTGGGCGCAAATGCCCCGAAACTCATAATTTTTCGAATCATTTGTTCAAATAACTTTCCTATGAAATCTGAAAAAAAATCTAAAACTTATACGAGTTCTCAAGAAAGATTTTATTTATCACCCACTGGTTTTTCCTGAAAAGTTCTTTATTTTTTTGGGTGCCATGGAATTTTCCCTAATTGAGAGTGGGGTAACCTCGGAGGTTATAGCTGGAGGGGTTACGAGAACATCCAAATTTCATTATTTTTTTTCTTGAGACTGAGATCTGAAAAAAATGTGCAAAAATTCTCAATGATGCAGCATACTCAGACATTTCTCCCACGAATTTTCCAATTGTTTTTCATTATTTCGACTTTTCACACGAAACACCTTAAACTGCAAGTCAATTTCAATGTTCATGTACTGTTTTTCACTCCTCTCACTGTTGCGGAGTTTTTAAAATTTTCCTCTCGGGAATAAAGAGAGCAGTATAATGAGGTCCGCAAATCGAATCTAAATTTGTGTCGTCCAATGTGCATGCATGCAAGCCGTAACACACTTGCCTCGTCTCCACACACTGGTAACAACTCCGGAATGATACTAACATTAGCTCACGGCCGTCAGTCGAGTCATCGTGCGGAGTGCGAACTGAAATAGTCATTTTGCGTTCAGTTGGAAAGACTTTTCGCCAATTTTTTGAACTTTTTCACGTGTCAGTTCAGCTATCGCGTGTTCCGTGATTAATATTGACATTTTCTTTCCGACATTTCTATTTTTTTTCTAAGTTTTTTTAATTGCGAGGGATTTCGCCTCAAGGCGTTAATATCAAAGGGCGCGCCCTTGTCTCGCGTGATTCGCACGAATAATTCTACTGCTCTCTTTTTGTTTTTTTTTTTTCTCCGATGATAGACGATATCAAGTACAATTCCTTGAAGTATTCTATGAAAAACTATTTGGATGATTTTCGTTTGATGATTCCAATGCAGATTCAATTATTGGAAAATTAATTAAATGAATTACGTTGAAGATAGATTTCATATTTATTATACATTGTTAAAACTTTTTATCGTGTTCTAGTTGTCATTGAAAAACCTAATATTCCATTGATTTTCAGATTAAATGTTCTGAAAATGAATAAAATACTTTATTTTTCAGTTCAATTATTCTGTGAAAATTCGTAAAAATCAGGGAAATTCAGGGAAAATTTGAAAATTTATTTCATTTTGTTTCTGAATATTCATGTTCCACTGAAAATTCAATCAAGTTGTGAAATTTTCATTTCACCCCACTGAAAACTAATGAATTTCTGTGAATTCTACTTGAAACTTCAAATTTCATACTCATTTTTTCCCTAACTTCGATTCAATGTCACTCTCATGAGATTTACTATATCTTCCATGAAATTTCAAAAAAATTTTAACAGTGTAGATGAAATAAGCTGATCTTCAGTGATTTCTGAATATTTAATGACTGCAAGAACGCTCCAATTAAAATATCGAATGAGAAATTGTTTCAAGTTTCTGTCAGCGAGTTTATTTTTAAATTCAATTATACATTCTTCACAATAATGCGAAAACGGAAGTCAGTATTGAAATTGCAATAT